GGGGGGGGGCGGTCAGAAGAACGAACTCCGTCCGTAAAGGGAGTGGGTCAACTGTGGCTCTCTTTGAAGTGCCGACATCCCGGAGATGCAGGACCAGGGGAGGGTATTCCGTGTCGTGAGATTGGCTGGAGTTTCTTCGCGCGAGGTTCGGGCGAGACTATAATGGACGAGCGACGGCAGTCTCTCGCTCCTCGATTTTGCAATGCTTTGTTACAGCCCTATAAGTGGATACCAGTCGGGCAACTCGTTTTCTTCAATCTGGCGGCGAGACCGAGCAAGGACTTCTGCTCCTCTGGCACAGCGGCGCGGCTCGACTAGTCGTGTTTCCTTTATTTTCCTTTGCACTAATTCGCGAGATTCTAGTTTCCGAGGCGTCATAGTTTTTGAGGCTACGGCGATCAAGTGTCATGTGGTTGGTCCTCTGGGGATGTATATAGTTTCTATAATCCCCCCATGTCATGATGCACGTCCAGAACACTCTTCTGTATAACAACACGAAAACCAGCCAACAATAATACAAATACATCATCGAGAATCCTCTCAGTTATTCATCCCATTTCACTTAATAACTTATAAAAATGACTTGGCAAGCACCAGAAATCGGCTCCCGTCCAGTCGCTGTACTGGGCGGCGGCGTCCTCGGCCGACGCATCGCCACCTCGTACGTCGCCGGCGGCTACAACGTGACGGTGCGGGATCCATCACCCGTGGCACGATCCGACGCACTGCAATTCATCGAGGAGAACAAGGCAGCGTTTGCCGAGCTCTGCAGCCCCCCGGTACCGGGACAGTACGGCACGTACGCGGCGTACGAGGACATTGAGACGGCGGTGCGGGATGCTTGGCTTGTCATCGAGGCCGTGCCCGAGAAACTCGAGCTCAAGATTGATACCATGGAGATTTTGGACCGCGCCGCGCCCCGCGACTGCATTATTGGCTCCAACAGCTCGTCGTACCGCAGCAGTCTCATGCTTGACAAGGTCTCTTCCGAGCGCAGGCGGCTCATCTGCAATGTACACTACACCATGCCCATGGACATTCGCACCGTCGAGCTCATGACCGACGGAGAGACGGAGGAGGCCATCTTCCCCTTCCTCACCCAGGTGCTAGAGAGAACGGGAATGTTGCCCGCTACTGCCAAGAAGGAGTCGACCGGGTAAGTGCCAGATGACATGAGTATTCCTTCGAAAATCATTGTTAACCAAGAAAACCAAGTTTCATCTTCAACCGCCTCTGGGCAGCAGTCAAGCGCGAGTCCCTTATGATCATGGCCGAGGGCGTGAGCGACGCCGACCAGATCGACAAGCTGTGGAAGCACATGTTCCAGGCTAAGGTGGCGCCCTGCGCCTTTATGGACCAGGTCGGCCTCGACACGGTCGCCTTTATCGAGGACAACTACATCAAGGAGCGCGGATTGGACGGCAAGCTGACTGTTGACTGGCTGCGCGAGAACTACATTTCGCAGGGCCGATTGGGCAAGAAGAGCGACAAGGGCGGTCTGACTGTTGCGCCCAAGTCCTCGTAGGGCATGAGTCTGGTTATGCATATAGAAAACATACAGCGATAATTGCATCAATTGATACCATTACTTCCCCATGTCGATCATACAGATCGTCAGAAATACCCTGGAAAGGGGTACAAAGCTTACACTCTGATATCATCCAAATCCTTCAATATAGTCCCAATAAATCGTATAGCAACAAGATCTTCCGTGTCATCGCCTGGCTCGCCCGGGTTGAGATTGTCCTCGTCGAGACAAGTTAAGCAAGAGACAACGACGCGCATATACCTGTCGCCCACGCGTGGTGCCAATTTAGTCGAGGCTTCGTTGACCAAGAAGTCCTTGAGGCTAAACGCCAGATCTAGGAAGCTTGAGGCTTTTATTGCATGATTGTTAGGCGTCTTGCTTTTCGAATACGCCCGAAATCTGTGGTAAGTTTTTCCAAACTTTGCCAAGTAAGGGCCGCGATCAGGACGTTCGCAATCATATTCGACAAACGATTCCCAAAGACCAATTTCAAGCAAGCAGACACCGAGGCTGTAAATATCATGTTGCATATTAAACGTCTCTGTCGGATCTTCTCCCTGCCGAAGAGGATGCCGATACACATTCTTCTCCCAGGATAGATCGCCCGCCATCATGGTGCCCGCATCGGATGCCCGGAAAGCATCAAAACCGGCCAGAAATGCGTGGCTTTGTGATGACTTCGCGTCTTCAAAACATAGAATCGACTCAGGTCGGATGTTCTTGTGCACGAAAGCAAATGTGTGAACATAGCTGACAGCTTTGGCAAGTTCCCGAGCGATGCGCACTTTGCGCGATAGTGACGGTTCCTCCCCGGAAGCAAGTAGGATCTGCCGCAGTGACTGCAATTGATTCATGCCATGAGGGACACGGAGGACTATCTGAAAACAGCTGTAGTCATGTTGGCTCGCTGAGGGTTTGTGGAGTGAATGATCTCCAGACATGTCGAGACGGGGAGATCGTGATCGTAGTGGTAGACTTGAAGTCTGTTGGCTTTCGAAACATTTCGTTGGTTCAGGGGGTGTATTGCTGCGGGGAATTCCAATAACGCCTTTGCAGCTAAGCAATCCGAATACCAATGGATCAGATTTCGACAATCTGGCCGACAATACTCGGACATCGCGCATGACATCGCGCACCTTCGCGCCCGAGCGTACGTCGATACGATCAATCACGTACCACTTATTATCACTTCCTGACGTCCTCCGAGCCAACTTGATACCTGTGTAAGGGATATCGCACCATTCCATGGGCGATTCTGGCAGGAACAGCGACTTGAACTTGCTCAGATCAGGAGATAGCACATTTCGCAACCCTGCTGCGAGAGCCAGTGGATTGTTTGATGCTATGACTGACCCTTCAAGTCCAAGCCCTTTCTTCCTTGCGCTCAATAGTTCGCTGTCAATCGTGGGACTTGTGATCCTCATGAGCAGAAACCATGATGGATCAAAACGGCGCTGCCATGCCTCGAGCTCGGCGATAATGTCGTCGATGGCTTCCTTTTTCCAAACCCAGGACGCATTTTTGGCCTTTGACCTGAAAGATAAAAAGCCAGGCCGTGAAAGCGACTCTCTTTTGGTGACTGTTTCGAGTTTGTTCTTGGCATCCGTAAGGCTGATGCACAGCTGGCCAAGTAACCCATCTAGGATGCGCAACAGCTCGTCGTCAATCGCTGATTCGATGTGTAACATGAAGTCAACCTGTCGCCGTGTTCGATCCCAGCAGCTCTCAACAATAAGTATCCGCTGTTCAACCTCCTTGCCAGCCTCTTTCCAGTTCTTACATATCTTGATGACTTCCGGTCCTAGCCTTCGGCGTCGTTAGTCGTGCTCGGACTTCTTGCTGTAGGACAATCACTCACGTGAAGCAGGTTTGTACGATGCCAATTACTGAAACTGGGTCCATGATTCAGGGGTGATGGAGTGATTGTGTAAAGAAGCCTTTGAAATTTCGGAGAAGCAGCGAAAGCAAAGAAACTACGTTCAGATGCAACTATATCCTGCTGGACCTCGCTCTTGAACACGAGATATTTTCTGAAACTAGCGTGGCTATAAAATGCTTAGAAGCGGTACTCTAATTTCTCTCGACCATAGACGTTATGTCTCAGTGCACCATCTTTTCCATTTCACCCTTTCAATCCGTCGAATCAAGTCAGAAAGCCGTCGGAGATCCCGCTAAAGCTGCTTCCCCTCAGCAATGCCGGGCGTATCTTTACCATGCAGCTCACTTTCTTTATTTAGGCGAGCGCTAACTACATGCAGTATCCCCCGCCTCGAGATTCGCCCAGCTCTTGATGTAGTTTTGATGAGCTATGCGCCCCCCCAGACAAGTGTTTTCTTTTTCGGCCTGATACCATAAAAGGGGTGTGGGCAGCCAGTGCCGCCCTCCAGAGCTCCGTGTATCATCTACCCGTGGTGTCAATGGACCTGTCTAGCCCCTAGAACAATATCCCTTGTAAGTGGCTTTCACAATACCTGACAGGGATAACATAGAACCCCCGACCCTTTCTACGTAAGACGTCTTTCTACACGCTGATGTTTTCAGCCCCGCGCTTAGAACTCTCCCCTCCTCTTCTCTATGCATTTTTCGTTGCGAAGTGCACAATCGTTCAAGTGCAATCATGGCGTCAGATGTCATGAACTACAGCGCCATCGAGGAATGGAGGTTGAAGTACGAGGAAGTCGAAGGCGGCCGCATGCATTCATCTCCCGATGGCCGTAACATTTGGCGCACAGTGAGAACATTGGGAAAGGGCTCGTTCGGAACCGTATGCCTCGAAGAGTGCACATCAGGCCCACAACACAAGACGTTGCGTGCCGTCAAGGCCATCGCCAATCACTCCCTGACCGGGCAAGCAAAACAACGTGAAGTCCATGCGATGATCACCTTTTCTGATAAACAGATTCGAGAGGTAAACTTCAGAGCTAGCCTTGATCGTTGACAAAAGTTGAGAGTTTCGCAGTACCAAGAGCACTTTGTCCAATGCTCTGGTTGGTTCAAGGATGACGGCCATCTCTACATTGCCATGGAATTTGTTCCCCATGGTAATCTTCAGGACTACATCAACACAAAGCAACCCATACCAGAGGCTGACGCCGCTGTGATCACGGCCCAAGTCGCTCAGGCCCTACAATACATGCATCAGAAGAGCTTTGTCCACAGAGACTTGAAACCATTGGTCTGTCCAGCAGCAATGACCGGATATAGGTAGAGTGTAATTATTGCTAATAGGGCTGTAGAATATACTGGTCCACAATCCAGCCCCGGAGTGGCATGTCAAGATTTCTGATTTTGGTCTTGCTAAGAATACCGATGGGTCATTGCTTGCAACGCAAAACGTTGGCAGTCATGGCTATGTTGCGCCAGAAGTACTGAGACGGTCGAAAAGTTCCTATACGGCCGCTGTGGACGTATGGTCACTAGGAGCTATTGCCTACTGCCTGCGGACCGGGTCGCCCCCTTTTCCTGATGTTTACAAACTGGTTGATTATGCCAATGGTCGCAGAAAATTCCCTCATCTGAGTATTGACAAATCTAGTGGTTATTTTTGTGTTGATTTTGTGATCAATACCATGCGCGTCGAAGCGCAGAAACGATTGACCATTGAGCAATGCATAGCTCACGACTGGCTATCACGAAGTCACGACATTGTCGATGAGTCCGTCTTCTTCTGTTGTGTATCGATGACGAGAAGGGCTAATATTTTGAGTAGCAGCGACACGGCTTCTGAAGTCAACAGAGATTCGGTTTTCGACATTGATGCAAAGGGGACTTGGGGATCTACGAGTACTGAGGCAACAAAGATGTCTTCCACCTACCAGTTTTCATCAGGAGAGAAAACAAATCTGCATGATAAGATGTCCTCCATGACCATAAGAGACCCCAGCGTCACCGTGAATGCTAATGAACCCACCGCTGATTATATTCGCGGTGGCTTTCGGCCGCACAAGTCTGACATCTTCATTGCTCTCATGGGTGTAACGGGTGCTGGAAAGAGCACTTTTATATCCAAATGTACGGATGCAGAGGTTGAGATCGGACACGGCTTGGAATCCTGTAGGTATCATAGAGATCCAAATTTCATAACCCACAGTAGCACTAATATGATCTAAGGCACACGAGACGTACGGATCTATCATTGCTCGCGTTTTACTGGTGTAAATGTCTATCTCATCGATACTCCTGGGTTCGATGACACCAATCGGTCCGACAAAGAAGTTTTGCAAGAACTCGCAACATGGCTCGGGTCCTCATACCAAGAGCACATCACGCTGAAAGGCATCATCTACCTGCACCGAATTACAGATGTACGCATGCAGGGTTCGGCTCGGAGAAACCTGATGATCTTCAAAAGACTATGCGGGCCAGATGCTCTGAAAAATGTCATTCTTGCCACCACGAGGTGGGAACAATTGAACGACGAAGAAGTTGGCCGAAAGCGTGAACAGGAGCTGATGCAGATTGACGGCCACTGGGGATGGATGAAACAGAGAGGATCTCAGGTGTTACGACACTATGATACGTCAAAATCTGCGATGGCGCTATTAGATATTTTCGTCATGTCCCCAAGCCACCCAATTCCTCTTCAGATCCAAACTGAAATGGTTGACAACCAGAGAACATTGGAACAGACAGGGGCTGGCCAAGAGCTGGAGCGAGCAATTGCAGAAGAACGCGAAAGATCTTCGAAAGCACTCGAGGAACTGAAAAGCGAGATGAGAGAGGCACAGGCTGCACGTGACAAAGAAGCAGCTGAGATGATACGCCAGACACAAGAAGAACTGACTGACAAGATTCGCAGGCTCGAAGCTGACCGCGAAGATCTCAAAATGTCGTTGGACACAATGTACATGGCGAGAATTGACGAATTGGAGAGGAGGATAAAGAATCAGGAGCGAAAGGATGAGGAGCGAAAAGACCAGGAGCGAAAGGATCAGGAGCTTACGTTTCCAGAACCACCAGATCCCAAGTCTGTCAGTAGAAGCACGAGACTAAATTTGTGTTTTAAGAAGATACTAACCAAGACATTAATGTGCTTAGGATGTAAGTAATACTAAAACTAAGGTCCCATGTTAGCCAATTGGCTGATTGAAGCAATTGCTATTCGTCCAGGATGTGAGTAGACGGCTAAGAGCAGGGTTGGTTATCCTTGAGTTCATAAATTACTAACGCGTTTTTGCTAGCCTCCACAGGTGAGCAAGCGGCCAGTACAATGCTTTCGTGCGTGTTGACAATATGGATGACTTACAAAATTGTAACAGAGGCAATTTGTGAGTCTAAGTCAAGTCCTGCGTGCATATCAAGACATAATGAGCCCTAAAAAGTGTTATAGGAAATCCGTGTTGGGGAAATATTCAGGATTGGCCGCAAGATCGGAGGCAGTTCCCTCGACAGCGCCGTCTACTATGGAACTAACATCTTGTCTGGCGCAGAGGTTGCCATCAAGCTTGAGACTGACACGACAAGGCTCCGCAAGCTCCACCGCGAGGCACCAGTGTATAAAACGCTTGCCGGAGGCGTTGGTGTTCCCCATGTCCACTGGAGCGGCACCGAGTTGGACCGCACAGCTCTAGTACTCGATATGCTTGGCCCATCTTTGGAGGATCTGCTCCAGTTCTGCAACGGTAAATTCAGTCTGAAAACGACGCTGCTATTGACAGATCAGCTCCTCTCACGTCTTGAATACATACACTCTAAATCCATTATTCACCGTAACATTAGTCCAGAGGTTTGTCTAATGGGCATTGGAAACGGTGAAGATCAGGTCCATGTGATCGATTACAGTTTATCCAAGAAATACAGAGATCCAGCAACCCACGTCCACATTCCGTACAGAGAAAACAAGAAACTGTATGGTGATCCTCGATATGCGTCCATAAATGCCCATCTTGGTGTCGGTACGTGGCTACATTATTTTCCTTTGATACAGTACTGATCAATTTTTATGATCCAGAGAAATCTCGTCGTGACGATTTGGAGTCCTTGGGCTACATGTTGCTCTATTTCCTCCGTGGTAACCTGCCTTGGCAAGGCCGATCGGCTAGTACCATCCAAGAAACGAAGCTCAGCACCCCTACCGAGGTACTTTACCGTGGCTTTCCTAAAGAGTTTGCCACCTACATGAACCACGTTCGATCTCTGCCTTTCCATCATCATCCCGATTACTCCTACCTGCGCAAAATATTTCGTGATTTGTTTGCTAGTGAGGGCTTCCAGTACGACTACGTTTTCGACTGGACGGTACACAAGTACGCTCAGGCCAACTCGAACTAAAGTCTGAGTATCCTGACTCACCATTCGGTAAGCATAACCTTGCACTCGTTCTCGGAAAGTGAGGCGACGATCAGATAGACACAGGAATTCCCTCGAACCTTCCCCGACTCCCTCTCTCGCTCTTCTTAACCACCACCACGACGTATTACTCATGGAGCAGGTGTTCATACGCGACTGACTGTTCTAGTGCGTCATGATACAAGACAATAAAATTGCTACTCCATTAATATCGCGAACACGATCGAATCAAGCGATAAGAGGCATAAGGATATCAGGCAGAAAGGCGCCGGGAAAGTGGGAACGGCAGTGTAATTCAAACAGCTTGGAAGGGGTGGACGAAGATGTGCGAAGAAGCTTTATTCATTTTGAAAGAAACGAGGGCACGACAGCATGGTTATTTTCCCATTTGCCAGTTCTGCAGGCTCGATATTTAGGCTGGTTTTTATTTTTGAGTTTGAATCTATTACCGCCTCCTTTTTGTGCTTACATGATGTCGAGATCACGTAGATGAATAACGGTGTGACGGCAGCTAGCCGCCGGCGTACTGTAGCACTGGGAACCCGTCCCGTAAATGCAGCCAGTTTGTCGCCGGGGACCATTTTAAGCCCCCCGTCTTTTGATTAATATACAATCCTAAGGTATATTTCGGCATAATCCTATTGACTCATTGGTGCCGTAACAGAAAGGTAGAAAATCAAACCCAGGTCTCAAAATAACAACCGCAACGTCTCATTTGAGCAGCTCTGTATAAAGATTTGCAGTGTTCTCAGGCGTTGAGCAGATATTTGGTTTAGACACCTTATATGCCATGATGTGGCTTATCCTGGTGCGCTGTTCAGCCTCCCACGATTGCTGAAAGAAGGAATAGCGAATCCTACCTTGTGTGTGGTCACTCAAGGTGTAATATGGTCGTGGATACCGACTGTTTTCGGAGTTGCGCGTCCCACGCTAAACATGTCTACCACCAGCATCATGCCACAGCATACAAGCCATCGGCGATGATGTAGGATGGAATAGACATAACCTGTCTCCATTTCTTGCTTGAATACCCTATCCTCTCCCCCAGCAGTGAAGAATATCTGCCTACTGGGAGAGTATCTCAAGGCGCGGCCTCCTCTAGGAGAGCTTCTGGACCGTCTTTATCCAACAATCGAATGTTGTCCTGCCACTTTATCCAGGCCAAACCTTGTAATAAGGAATCGGCGAGATCATCAAGCTTCTGCAAACGCTCCTGTACAGACTCAGTCTCGTCTCGAGATTTCCTGGTACGCTTGCCATTCCATCGCTCAAGATAAGACGTTGCAGTGACCTGGGCTTGACCTGAAGGTACAATCTTGCCATCTTGCAACCAATTGCCTACGAGGTCAATTTTTGCCTTCTTTTGTTTCGCCTTGGTAACCTTGCCAAGCTCTGATTTGGAACTGACAGGTTTAGAGAGCTCAGTATGGGCAGCACCTTCAAGCCAGAACGGTCCGACACGTTGTGGTGAAATTGGAATGACTTGTCCACTCCATCTCCCGCAAGACTTGAGGGTTCTCAGGGTCGAGTAAAGCATGGCTTCGAAGGTATTAACTCTGAGAGTCCACTCCTGCACAGCCGAACCGCCGCCGCTTCTGAATCTCTGCCGCTCTATCAAGATGTAAGCTGGCGGATTTTCGGGTCCCAACAGCACATTCTGTACCAGGTCGAGCGTCATGTCGGCCATATAGCTAGGGCTCCACCTAGCCTCTTCCACATGGGCTTCCTGGCCAAGTTGCGGATCTGCAAGCACCATGCGGTTCCATAACTTCACATCAACATTGGGGACGGGCGCATTTACCCCAACAAGGCTGCGCTTATTGCGGGCGCGGGAAGCAGGCGCTACAAGATATGCAAATGCCAGATTCCGAATGCCCATGTCGATAGACAAAATGCCTTTATCGGAGGCTGACACGGACTTGTTTTGCGCCAGGGCTTGGGCTGTCGCCTCAAGACGCTGGGCCAAGACAGTCTTAGTCCCTGAAGAAGCCACGCCGCAAGCGATTGCGAGCTTCTTCAGCTGGGCCGAGTTCAACGACTGCACCAGCTTGGCCGCGGATTGCACCATGATGAGATGAGTGGGCAGTAAAGATGTTTCCAGAGTCTGTCCTGTATGCTCAATGACCCTGCTGATGAGGAGCCTCGTCGGCACGGGCTCTTGATCCTGCTGCTGGGTCTAGGGACATGCTCTCGCCATTGATTGATCTCAGAAGACGGAAGTCGATGCCGTGACTAAGCAGGTGGAGATGTAGTTAAGTACCAGTCAACACCCAACAGCGCGGGTACGGATATTACCATCAACGTTGTAAAAGCGTCTAATGTATTCAAGTTGGTTGCCTAGGACTTTGAAAAATAGAGAAAAAGGAAAGAATTTGGAATTATCGAAAAAGGTGACAATGATTTGTCAACCTGTCATTGAATATTCGCCAGGTCATGATCCCCGACCTGTGTGTGTTGGCGTATTAGTTATTGGACAGAGCAAAACAGTGCAACGATTTTGGAGACGCGACCGAGGCCGCGTCCAATAGTATGTATCCGATGTGACCTTGAAACGACAAATGAATTACTGGGTGGATGGATGGTATGATGACAATTTTTTTTTTCTCTTCTTAATCAAGGCCCTTGGCCAGTCGTGTCATGTTATGATGCCTCGGGGTCTTATAAGTTACCGCTAGCTTGCAGCTTCTGACTCTGCGTTGCTGTTGGTAGATTATTGTCAGATGGTGGACTATGGTTCCCATACACTGGCGTGTGCTTGAGCACACGGATTAATACTATAGTGTCTAGATAGATATACGGGACCTCCCGGGGATTAGCCGGGGCTACCTAAATAAGCGTATACCTTATTAAAATTAAAAGGCGCAAAATATAAATTAATATATTATATAATTAATATTAATATTAAATTAATTTAAACTTTAATAGGAAAATATTATTTTAATTAATAATTAAAAGTTTTAATACCTCCGCCGAAGCTACGAAAATAATAATTATAAAAAAAACCGGAATCGGCCTAATAATATCGTTAAAAATAACCTCCGATTAGAATAATTAGGAATATACGTTTTAAATTTAGGTATAAATTGCCGGATTAACTAATTATTTTAAAAATAAAACGATTTTAATTAAAACCTTAATTAAACCGGATATTAAAAAGATTAAATATATAAAAACCGCGGTAGCGATCCTCGAAGCTATAAACGAAAGCGACGATCCGAGCATTTAAAATAAAAAAAATAGGGAATAAACGATAACGGATTTTACCGAAGGAGGTTAAAAATCGTTTAACCTCGATTATAATTATTATAAAATAAAGGAGGCTATATACGCTAAATAATATACGGCGATTAAAAAAATTACGAAATAAATAACTATTACGATCTCTCTAAACTTTTTCTTTATATATTATTTAATTAATAAGCCTTTATATAAATAATACGAGAATTTTAGGGTTTGCTATAGCAAATTAGCTTTAAATAATAAAAAAAAAGCAAAAAAATAATATTTCGAAGCTTTTAAGCTTCCGAAAATATTAAAAAAAGCTATAAATTAGGTTAATAAATAAAAAATAATTATAGCGAAAGCCTAAGCAAAGCAAATAATTAAAATATAGGATAATTCGGCTTAGGCTATAAATTTCCTAAATATTATTATTTTAATTATATTATAATAAGCCGCCTTTTATTAAATTTATAAAAAATAAAGCATTTTAAATAAAAATTTAGAATATCGGGTAATAAGTAACGATTTTCGTAAAAATTTAAGCATTTAATAGCCGATTAAGCTAAAAATTAAAAAAGGCGTTTTCGCAATTTACGCTAATAAAGCTAATAAATAGCCTTAAAACGGATAAAATAAAAACGCTTACTTTATTAAAGATTAAATGCCTCTCCGATTAAATACGGCTGGTTTACGTAAAAAAAGGGGTAGACGAATTATTTATAATAAAAGGTAAAGGGATATTAAATGCCTTATTTACTATTTTTTTTACGCTTTTAATTTATATTTTTATATATTTTTAAAAAAAGCCTATTTAGGTTTCGTCCCTAAAAATAAAATATAAGCACGAGTAAATAAAGCTTTTAAAAAAGATTTTAATTTATAAAAGCAGGTTCGCAATATAAAAAGGATTAGAATTAGCCGAATTAGTATATTACGAATAATTAAGGAAAAATTGCTTCCGATTAATACGGATTAATAAAACGGACGATTAATAGTAAACGTATAAAATAATTTTATAGCATTTATAAAAAATTACCTTTTGCGCTATTTAATTATTTTAAATTTAGCGATAACGATTTTAATTATAAATATAAAAGCAAAGCTTATTAATTATAAATAAGCTCTTAATTATAATTTTATTTAATTAAGCGACCGGAAATTACTTATTTACGGGTATAATATAATAATTATATAGCTCGGATTTAGAATATTATTATTAAATAATATAGCCTATTATCCTAAATTACTAATTATATTAATATTACTCCGTTAATTATAAGGATAAAAATATTATTAAAATAATAAAAACGACCCTATAATATTACGTAAAAAAATAGATTTTTAATTAGCATACTTTAAAATTAATACGGATAATACGTTTTCGAATATAAATCTTACGAATTACTTTTAGCGTTATTTGCTATTTACCGGAAAAAATATATAATATAAATAAAAAGGCTATTATTAATTAGAAAAGCTATACGATAATATTATAAAATAAGATATTTAGGCCCGGCAGTTTTCGAATATTTTATTTATTTATTTTAAGGGGTAAAAATTAAAGGACTAATTACCGTAAAATATAAAGCTTGCGTATTTATAAAAATTACGCGCTAATTACGGCAAACGCTACGGCTAATTAACGAAAATTATAACGAATGACTAGTTATAAATTTTTATAATTATATTAAGGGAATCGAAAACTATATATCTTAAATGCTAATTATTTATCGGCAAACGGAATATATATAGGATTATTATTTTATAAAAAAGATTATTATTGTATTAATTAACGCTTTCCGATCGTTTTTAGGTATAATAAAAACCTAATATAATATTAAAATTAAAGTTATCGAATATAATAACGAAATTACTAAAGTTAAATAGGTAATCGGAAAATATTTTAAAAATAAATATATTAAACTCGAATTTTTAGCATTATATATATAAGCCTAAAATAAAGCTGCTAAACGCTTAAAAGGTATAATTAAAAAAAAGGAACGTATAATGCGCACCGGCGCAAAATTCCTTTATTAATTCTGGCCTAAAATCGGCAAAACCGCGGTATACCTATATAATCGTACGCCGAATTATAATTCCCGATAGCGTATATTATATATAAAATTCTATAAAGCAATTGCGAAAGTAAAAAAAATCCTAAATCCGAGCTATAAGCCTAATTAAATTTATTTTAAAATATTTAAATATAAAGCATACGCAATAACGCTAACGGTATAATAAAAATTCGGCCGTTTATAGCGATTAGCACCTAAGGTATAAATAGGATATTTAATCGGATATAGGTTATTTAATATTTATAAAATTTAAATTTTTAATCGGAATAAATTAATTAATACGAAAAATATAATTATAAACGAAAAAGAATTATGCGACGGAAAATAGGATATATTTAAAAATAAGCTTTTAAATGCTAATACCTAGTTTATCGCCGATTTCGTAATTAATTACGCAATATTTAAAAACGAAATTTTATAAAAACTAAAAAATAAAAAAACCGCCGTAAAGGATATTTTATTAAGCGATAATTAAAATAATTAAAAAAAAAGTAGTAATTAAAAAAGTAAAAAAGCAGCGCTAAATAAAAGGGATAAATAATACCCTTTTATTACCGCGAAATTTGCTTTTTAGATTTTATTATAAATATTTTTATTAGCTTTATTAATATATAGTATAAAGGCGATTACGATTAAGGATACGGCGCTATTAAAAAAAAAACTTAAAATAATCTTATAATAAACAGCTTTTTTAGCTAGTTATAAAGCTATTCCTAAAACAGGATAAAATAATAATTAAAACGATAAAGCGAAGCTAAAACGCTTTTTTCGTTAAGGGGTAAAAATTAATAAAATAAAAATCCTAGCTCCCTTTAAATAGTATTATAAATTATATTATTATCTGTTTAGCAAATTATTTTTTTAAATAAAAGCTAATTATTTATAAAATTATAAAAATATGCGATTTTAAACTAAAATTAATAAAAAAAATCTATAAATAAAAAGTAAATAAATTTTTAATTATATATAGGTATACGTATATAAATTCGATAAGCATAAAAAATTCTAAAAATATAAAATAAAATTTATCGTTCGCGGTAATTAATAAGCGAAATCCCAAAATTAGGAAATTTATACGGCTATATTAGCTAAAAGATTATTTCGTACCTTAATCGCGATTATAGCAAAATTCGATTTTAAATTAATATAATATAATATAGTAAACGCGTTTATATACGCTTTTATTAATTAAGATATATTTATAAAAATGCCGGATAAATATCGAAAAAAAAAACACTATATTATTATTAAATAAAGCATTTTATAAATTACGGATATTACCGCTACTATAGCAAAAAGAGTTTATAAAGATTTTGGCCGAAATCGGCTATATTTAAATATTATATAAGCTTTGCGTATTTATTAATAAAGGAATGCTAATCGTTTTTTACGTTAATAACGTAATTATCGCATATAAAAATAAAAATAAAAAGGCTATTAATTATTTAATATAGTATTTTATAAAAAAATATAAAATTAATAATAGCGAGTTAATATAATAGTTCCTCGGGATAAAAATAATTAGAAATCGTATATTTAAAATAATTTAGCTATCCTAAAGGGCTTATTTTAAAAAAATCGCTAAGCTTATAAATAAATAAAAGATTTATGCGACGCTAATAGGCTACGAAAAACTTATGCCTCGATTAATTATAACGCTTTTATATAAAATATAAAAATATTAAAAAAAAATCGGATTATTACTATTTGCGGCTATATTTATAAGGCTAAATATCGCATTCGCAATAATTAAACTAGCTCGATTCCTTAATAATCTAAGCTAAATATATTAAAAAGCTGCTAATCGAGCTTTAATTTATTTAATTAATATTAAAAAATTTTCGCTTAAAATCGGAGGATTTTTTAATCTAATAATTGCTAATAACGTATTATTTGCCGATAATAATATCGATCGCAAAAATACTTAAATATTCGCTATAAAGCTATTCGGAGGATTAATTAATTAGCGATTAAATAAATAAAATATAATTACTACTTCTATTATAAAAGCTAAATTACTTACCTTAGCATAAATTGCTAAAAAAATATTATTCGTTAGCCGATTATTAAAGGAATTATCGATATAATTAGATAATAGCATTATTATTATTAAATATAATAATAAGCAGATTATTAATTTAATTAACGCCGAAATCGCGTTATTAAAAATAAAACTCCGTTATATAAATATCTATAATTATTAGCTACGGCAAAAAGCCTAAAAAAAAAATTAAAATTATTTATAAACCTTTAAATAAAATAATAGCAAATAAATTAACGAAAAGCTTGCTAATAGGAAAATAGCAAAATTTTTTTATAATAGATAAGATTTAAAATTACTTATTATAATTAAAACGAATAGCCCTAAAAAAAGCTATATTTTATTAATTAGCAACTTTAATTTAAATATAGCCAGATCTACGATAAATCGTAGATTTAAGGGGGTATATTAAATAGTGGATTATAATTCCTATATACTAGCGTATGCTTAAATATACAGATTAATATTATAGTATCTAAATAAATATACGGGACCTCCCGGGGATTAGCCGGGGCCACCTAAATAAGCGTATACCTTATTAAAACTAAAAGGCACAGAATATAGATCAATATATTACACAATTAACACTAATATCAGACCAGTTTAAACTCTAATAGGAAAGCACCACCTTAATTAACAATTATATTCTGGAATCATTTTTTATTAATTTATCATGTTCGGCGCCCTTCGAAGACCCCCCGGTCCGGTGATTAGCAGATCATTACACCTCCTCCAGCATAATATACGTTAAATCGGTACATGCCCCACACATCTACGTAAAATACCGCATTTTATTACCAATATACTTTACCACACAATTTCTATAGGATAATACATTATATCAAAAATTTACTCTTTTTCCATCCGTACGGATTACCTCCCGCAGTCTTTTTAGCATCGATTTAGATAACGTTTCCAGGAACTCCTCGGGAATCGCCCTCCACGCTGCAATAATAGCTAATCGCAAATGCATAAAATTAAGGCGCTAGAAATTATAGTATATTTTAATTTAGTGCTTTATTTAGTGTTATACGTTTTCGATCGGGTTTAAATTAGGATTATTAAATAATTACGGGATTTATAAAATTTAAAATATAGCGAGCTTTAATTAAATAACATTAGCTCGATAAGCGAGAGCCCCGTTTTATTAAAAATATATATCGACGTAACCGTAAATAAACTGCTATATAAAAGGAAGAATAAAACGGTAATATTTTTCGGATAAAATTCTTTTATATTTTTTTTTAAAAAAAATAAGGACTTTTGCGATAACCGATAAACGATCCCTAAAATATCCAACCGTATAATTTTTGCCGTAAAAATGCCTAGCTTTCCGGATCTTTTATTTCGTAAATAATAATTTATTATTTTTATATCGGAGCGTTTATTGCTTAAATTTTATCGGATTAAAAAATCGGGCCTTTATTAAAAATTTAATTTTTTTCGTTCGGTTATTTTTTAAATGCCTATTTAGCGAATTTAATTCGCTTTTATCGCGCGGTAGCATTAAGCTAAATAACGCGTTTTCGTATTTAATATTTATAGCTAAAAAAAAGCATAATTATAATAATCGCGCGTATACCGAAATAATCGAATCCGAGGAGAAAAAATCGGATATCCGGCTATAAAATTTCGCGGTATTTTCGGTTCGAATCGAAAAAACGCTTAAGCTTTTTTCGATTTTTTATAAATATTAATTATAACGGTTTACTAATGGAACGTTAGGTAATAGTCAGTATATTATATATTATTATATAGACTAATTTTTGCAAAAGCAAGAATTTAATGCGATTGTGCTGCGCTAACTATATTTAGCTATGGCGTCAGCGCCATAATGGCGGTGCGGCACCGCTGCGCAATGCCTATATGGGAGGTTGTTACATTAATATACGTTTACGAAATTTTATTTTCTTAGGAATTACGGGGTATTTATATACTTATTAAATTTGCCGCGTAATTTAGCGTTATTAATTTGCCGGATAATCGGGAGCTTTATATTTCGCGGCGATTATTTAATACGGCTAATTAATAATTTTACGCATTATTTTAATTTAAATATAATTATCGCGCGTTATTTTAAAAGCTCGTTTTGCTCGATCCGAGCCTTATGCCTATTTGCGCGTAATTTAAAAACGATAAAAGCGCTCGGTAATAAGGCTTTCGTAAACGGGAAAATAATTAATTAATGCGTCGATATTTATCGTATAATATAGCGGCGACGAATTTTTGCGTATCGTGCGTTAATATAGCTATAGCATAATTCCATACGTTATAATATAATATATTGCGCGCGCATAAACTAATAATATAATGCCGTATAAATCGTGGATTTTGACGTATTGCTAAAAAATTCCAGAGTTTTAGAGAAATGTATTTTACCGTACAAATTATATAGGAAACTATATGCGGGACCGGACGTTGATCCCCCCCATCCAAAAATGGGGCGCTGTACCGATCTAACGTTTATAATGCTGGAGGAGGTGTAATGCCCCCGCAGAGTGCGGATTGGTGCGGGCCTAGGGGACCTCTGCTGATGAGTCTGAGCTTCTGCTGACAAAAGTTTTTTTTTCAACCCATCTTCTTTTTGGAATTTCATGTCTGGCGAAACAATCCAATTGGTGAATCATCACGCCTTTATGCACATTGTATCTATCTTTGGCGCGATCATATACTTCCAAATCGATCCACGCCAGTTCTAGAATCTTGCCTAGGGCAGTACGTGTGAGACTTTTGTCCTGCGCATTTCCCTTCTGCATGCTTGATTCCTAAGCGGCTGTCGCTCAGGTCCCAAAATCTTCCCGCTGCCATTACATTCTGTACTGAGCTGCAGTACTCTGTACCTACCTGCCTTGGGTGTCTTATAAGACGTCATCCCGACTGCCCCACTACTCACGCACCTCTTACAGCGCCTCCCCTCCTTTGATAAACCCCCGGCTCCGAACTTCCTTTGCTCCCTCGTCCGTGGGGTTGTATAAAATATATATAAACTAGACGTAGTTCCATATGTCACCACTTGGTGTTTTGGGCCGCATTGCAGTAGCCAACATTTCTTCTTCCAGAACGGCTTCGCAGCGACTCTTTACACTTTCCAGACAGTTCTCTTCCACAGCCCGCATCATGGCTCCCATATCGAAAGAGACCGACTACCTCGTCATTGGCGGTGGAAGCGGTGGTTTGGCCTCGGCGCGCATGGCCGCTGGCAAGTTTGGCACCAAGGCCATGATAATAGAGGGCAGCCGGTTAGGTGGTACTTGTGTCAACGTTGGGTAGGTCATATTCAATCATGCGCGCAGCTTTTCCTTGCCATGGACTCTACTAACACAACCTCGTCGCGCAGTTGCGTACCAAAAAAGGTCACTTTCAACGCCGCCGCCATTGCCGAAGCGATCCACGATTCGAAAGCCTATGGCTTCTCCGTCGAAGAGAAGAAGCCCTTTGATTTCACCTCCTTCAAGCACAAGCGAGACGCCTACATCAAGCGCCTCAACGGCATCTACGAGAGGAATCTCAAGAACGACAATGTCGAGTACGTAGCAGGCTGGGCCAAGCTCATCAGCAGGAACGAGGTCGAGGTCACCATGAACGACGGAACCAAGGAGACTGTCCGGGCCAAGAAGATCCTCATCGCCGTCGGCGGTAACCCCACCCCACCTCCCTCCAACATTGAGGGCTCCGAGCTCGGTATCAACAGCGATGGCTTCTTCGACATTGATTCCCTGCCCAAGAAGGTCGCACTTGTCGGTGGCGGCTACATTGCCGTTGAGTTTGCTGGCATGTTCAACGCGCTCGGCACGGAGACCCATCTGTTCATTCGCCACGAGCACTTCCTGCGCACTTTTGACCCTCTGATCCAGGAGGGTGTGACGAACGAGTACGAGCGCTTGGGTGTCAAGCTGCACAAGAACTCGACCCAAAGCAAGATTGAGAAAGATGCCGATGGCAAGCTCACAATTCACTACAAGGACAGCAACGGCGAGGGTAAGCTCGAGGGTGTCGACCACCTGATCTGGGCTATCGGCCGCACACCCGCAACCAAGGATCTTGGTCTGGACAAGGCCGGCGTCAAGTATGACGAGAAGGGCCACATTGCCGCCGATGACTACCAGAACACCAACGTCGAGAACATCTATGCCCTCGGCGATGTGTGCGGCAAAGCCGAGTTGACCCCCGTTGCTATTGCTGCCGGCCGACGTCTGGCTGAGCGCCTCTTTGGCCCAGAGCAGTTCCGCACCGCGCGCCTGGACTACAGCAACATCCCCTCGGTGGTGTTTGCCCACCCCGAGGTTGGATCAATCGGTCTGACCCAACCCCAGGCTGAGGAGCAATATGGCAAGGAGAACCTCAAGGTTTACACTACCAACTTTACCGCCATGTACTACGCGATGATGGACCCAGAAGAGAAGGGTCCTACCAAGTACAAGCTCATTTGTGCTGGTCCCGAGGAGAAGGTTGTCGGTCTGCACATTATGGGTCTCGGCTCCGGCGAGATGCTGCAGGGCTTCGGTGTCGCAATGAAGATGGGTGCCACGAAGAAGGACTTTGACTCTTGCGTTGCTATCCACCCTACCAGCGCCGAAGAGTTGGTTACCCTGAAGTAGATGAATATACCAAAGCGAGGAGTTTCTGGCTCGATGAATCGAATGTAAATAGACAAAGATTTCAAGTTAGATCAGAACATATTGTTTTCGGAATAGTATGAAATTATGCTCAATTCAGCTCGAATCCTCCGTGTGTTCGACCGTGAGCTGATTGCTGAGGAAATGAATGTTCGTTGATTTCACTATATTCCTCGATAAGAAACCTCCTGCAACCATCTTTCTATTGAACATTACCAGGAACATCTTATGACCTCCAGACTGACATCTTTACGAACTCCACCAGATGCTTGCCCAAGTCCTCTCTTGTCGTCCTAAAATACCTCAGAGTTTTCAAGGTAGCCATGTCTTCGACAATGAAATCAAAGTATCCGCTGTTGAGAAGCATCTCAACCCTCTCCATGCAACCTTCCCGGGCTGCATGAGTCAAAAGTGCATATCCCGCCCGATTTCGACTCTCTCTGTCTGCTTTCCCAGTCTCGATGAATAGCTTGACTGTCTCGAAACTGCCGCTTTTAGCCGCCAGAGCCAGTGGTGTCAAGCCATTGTTGTCTTTGCCATCTATATTTATTTTGTCAATCTTGAGGAGCATCTCAACGATTTTGTCATGGCCTCTTGAAGCCGCTGCTGCCAGTGGTGTCAAGCCATTGATGTCTTTGCCATCTATATTTATTTTGTCAATCTTGAGGAGCATCTCAACGATTTTGTCATGTCCTCTTGAAGCCGCTGCTGCCAGTGGTGTCTGTCCAAGGCCATCTCTTCTGTTGATGTAGACTTTCCCAGTTCCGACCAACAGCTGGACTACTTTCTCGTGGCCATTTTCAGCGGCAAAAAACAGTGCTGTCTGACCAGCTAGATCCTTGTTATCTACCTCTGCTTTGTCGGTCGCAAGCAGCATTTCGACCAGCTCTTCAAGTCCATTCTTAGCCGCCAAGGCTAACACTGTTTGTCTGATCTGGTTTTCGAGGTTTGCATTCGCTCTCCCACTTTCCAGTAGCATCTTAATCATCTCTGCACATTCTTTGCTGGCCGGCAACGCAAGTAGTGTTCGTCCGGCTTGGTCCTGGCGGTTTATATCGACTGCTCCAGCCTCTAGTAGCATCTTGAACACCTCTTTATCCCCGGCTTTGAACGCCAAGGTCAATGGTGTTTGGCCAATCTGATCTTGGCTTCCAATATTGACTCTCCCAGTATCAAGCAGCATTTGGGTAACCTTTTTATTTCCCAGTTTGACGGATATGGCTAGTGGTGTCTGGGCCGTGTGATTCTTTCTGTTGACATCAACTCCTTCCATATTGAGCAGCAATCCAACCACCTGTGTGTTGTATCTTTCGATTGCCAAGGCCAGTGGTGTCTGGCCAGCGTGGGTTCGTTGGTTAACATCGATCCCTTCGGTCTTCAGCAGTAATTCGACCACATTTGTAAAGCCACTCCCGATGGCCCCGACTAGTGGTGTCACACCATCTTGGTTCTTTCTATTGACATCAACTCCTTCTGTGTTAATCAGTAGTTCGACCACATTTGCGAAGTCGCTCGCGATTGCCCACCCTATGGGTGTGTGGCGATCTGAATCCTTTGTGTTGATATCGATTCCCTCGGTTTTGAGCAGTAATTCAAGTGCTTTCATATTGCTTCTCTCGAGAGCCAAGGCTAGTGGTGTTTGACCAGTATGATCCTTATTCTTGATATCAATCCCTTCGGCCTGGAGCAGGAATTCGATAGTCTTCGTAGTGCCTCTCTTGATTGCCAAAGCCAGGGGTGTCTGACCCTCCCGATCCTTGCTATTAATATCGACTCCTTTGGTCTCAAGCAGTAGTTGAACTATTCCTTCGTCTCGTCCTCTAGCAGCTAACGCCAACGGTGTTAACTCAGATTCGCCATTTTTGCTATTGATCTCAACTCTACCATCTCTCAAAAGTAATCGGGCTATTTCTGCTTGCCCCTCCTGGGCAGCCCACGCCAAAGGTGTCATGAGGTGGCAATCTTTGCGATTCACGTCCATTCCTTCCACCTGGAGAAGCAGCTTGACCACCGCAACCCGCTCATGCTTGATCGCATGCGCTATTGCTGTTGGATCACAGTCATGATCTTTGAGAATATCATAACTGCGTAGTAACTCTTCGGCAGCATAATCCAAGCCAAAGTGTATGGCCATGTGTAGAGCCGCATGCTGAGTCTTGCGGGTTGGCGTATTCGAAGGACCTAAGGACTGGCCACACCAGGACAAGTCCCAGGAAAGAACTACTTGATCCCTCTCCACCTTTCGTAGGAACTCGACGACTTCTGGCATCGCTGGGCTTTCTTTTGCATGGTGCATCCACGCAAAGTGTGCGTAATCATATAACGGATAAAGTTGGCTACGCTCAAAGTAATCGACAATATCCTCGCAATCTTGAATGTGAATTGGAAATGAGAGGTAGGTCATACACGTTTGTGTGATTTGTTGCTGTGCGTGAGGAAACCATTTCTCTCGAGTTCGTTCGAAATATTCTTGTGTTGTGTAGTGGATCAAGCGAATCTTGTCACTTGCCGTGTCAATTGTGACTAAGCCACCACAGACAGACTGAAGCGTTCCAACAGTCGGTATGTCGTCCTCGTCAATAGCCTTGGCATTTGGTGTCACGCTTAATGCGTGTTGCAGTTGCATGACTGAAAGTGGTGTACGAGCGTGCACGATCCAGGACAGGACCGATTTGGCCAGTTCACTTCTTTCAGAGTTTTGGCTTTCTATTCTCACCATTGCCGACTCATACACGTCATGTAAACCAGCTAGTCCTGAGGAGAGTCCTTCAAGGGCTCGCTTGATTTTCCCCTTTGTAGGCATGGCAATCAATGCATTCAAATGCAATTGCGCAAGTAGGAACCTAAAGAAAGCAGATTAGCGGGATTTCTTTGGCTCATTCGATATAAGAAGATTGCACGCTCCCTATGTCCTTCCAGAACAAGACAGAAAAGAAAAGAGTAAATGAAATACATACATTCCTTTCGCTATCCGAGCCACTTTGTAAGCTACTTCGTCTTTGAAAGAATCACTGAAAATTTCTTGGTCGTGGACTTCCATTTGACTCTTCAGCACAAGTTCTACATCCGCCTTTTGGGCCGTGATCGGTAGTACGGTGCTTTGATGACCAAATTTGGAGGTAATCTCTTCCAACATTCGTGAAGTTGCAAGGATATTTATACCGATGTCAACTTGGAGCTTCGCGATGTCGTCCAGGACTTGTGTCCGACATTGATTGATTGTGCTGCATTCATCTATAGCATCAAGCACAATGAATGCTCGCTCATAGCCGGACGCTACGACTTGCAGTCCTTTGATTAGTTCATCGCGACTGGGCCGCGTACCATTCTTTTTATGACGTTCGTACAGCTCGCGTACATGTTTCGGCAGAGAATCCTGTCTGTGTAAGAACTGCATCATGAGGCTTGACAAGACGTGCTCAATGGTCTGCTCACGTCGTTGAGAAAACGTGAAATAGACATAGCCCAGTCCAATCTTCGTGTTCCGCGTGAGCTGGAGACTGATATTGTTGATCACGGCGGCTGCCATTATCGTTTTTCCTGCGCCGGGGATTCCAGGGCAGAATAAAGTCCTTCCTTTTGTCTCAAGCCAGTCCTGGTAAACCGTCGAGTTTAAGAACCACCGACCTGTGCTTGAATGCCACTTTCTCAAGATGTCACTTTGCTGTGCGCCGTAATGTGTCTGTGAGAGCCAGGACAGTATGTCCCTATCTTCTTTCCTGTCGAGCAGCTGTTTTGTATGCGTGGTGTCTTCCTTGATAGTTTCCACGGTCTGGTCAACTATGAGCCCAAAAAAGATATGGTAAGCACAAACTAGTCTATTCAGAGAAAGTAAGACTTGACTCACTTTGAGAGAGTATTTCTGTTGCAGACACTTCTTCCGCGACCTCGGCGACAGTGACGTATCCCAACAATTCTTTTGTGAAGGCCGCCGCGATCGCTGCAGCGTGCTCCTGCCATGCTTTGTTCTTGTGCGAGTCTGCATAGTCACATATTCCACGTATGACAATACACGGAAAATTGTCCATCAGACCTGCAGCCTCCATTTCGACGCAAAGTACATTGTCACCAAGTTCCTTAATAAGTGAATCCCGAAATATCGCATCCTTGATAACTTGATTGCCAGATGCAACAAGCCCATAGTGAACCTGTGCTTCTCGTGGTTCTCGTTTGACTGATCGACTCTTGTCGCAAGATTTGCAGCTGTCGTCGTGTCCTCCGTCCCCGCCGTTGTCGGCATGGGGATAATCTTTGTCAAAAAGGATGTCTTGGAGCTCATCTGACTTGATGTACTTGGAGGCCAGCCGAGGATATTTTGTGGCCAGGTCCTCTAGATATTGAGGAAATTGGGGGCCCATCATCTCATGCTCCGATTCGAGTTTTGTCAATACTGTCAACAATGATGTTGGAGGATTGTTTAGCGCCCCAGTCCGTCTAAACGTGCCACCTTCTTCTGCTTTGCCCGAATCCCACTGCACCACTCCCGGGTATTGGCCGACGGGCACGCTCACAACCACATCTCCCAGCCTGACTGAAGGAGGGATGCCACCGCCGATGCCCACCATGAGGCCGAATCTGATGGCGGGAAATGTGCTTGCCATGTTTGTTGCCACCACTGATGCCGAGACCGTGCCATATTTGCCCTTTGGGAGGCAGGCTATGACAATATTGTGGTCACCGATTGAGCCCAACGTATAGGCATTCAGATCTGTGGGCGGCTTGGGCAGATTCGCATGGCGAACATCCAACATGGCGATTGCCGCCGTCTGTTCTTTCGGAAGAGCGCATATCCACCCGACTTTGTAATCATGGTGTTTCAGTTGCAGCATTTGTACAGCATGCTGCTGTGTACATGAAAGGCGAAAAAGTGTGGCTTTGCAAAGTTGATGCAATCTATCTCTAATGGATTTCTTGAAATGAGAACTGAAATTTGTCCAGTGCAAGTTTATTGATGAAGATCACAGCCGATGGAAGTAAGGCTCTGCGATTGTGTACGGTCGGGCTGAGCCTGGTGGACCGCAATGCGGAGTAAGTAAGGCAGAATTGAGAGGACGAAAAGTGCCGAATGAGCTGCGCCCATATGCAGCGTGGGAACGGCCTCACACCATGAGTGGCTGACGGCCAAACGTCAGGCCGACCGGCATGAGGCTGAGCCCATCGTGGGCTTTGGATATAACATTCTAAAGCCGCAGAAAGATTTGCGCATCTCTAATCAGATCATCATTTCCAGACATGAACATGGTTCACTGCCAAGAAGCTATACAGACCGACTCTACACTGAGCATTTGCCCAGGTGCTACTACTCCAATAGCGGCATGGCATACAAACAGTACGAGCAGCTGTCGTTACACAACAAATGAAACATCAGGCTGACAATATCATAGGTCATAATGATTGGCAAAAAGACGAGTTTCTATCCTCTGAATTACATGAATCCAAGACAAGATGGAATAATATAACCGGGGGCTCACAGGTCTGCATAGTGTAAGTTTGGGCCAAAAAGAAAAAAAGCGCATAAATGGATTTGATTCTTATAAGAGGATAGGGCTGCAAGCGCCAATAAGAGCCGTCTGTGTCCAGTCTGCAAGCAAATATTTAGCACCACATTCGGTATACCCAATGAATGGTGGTCAGACCATTGTCAGAATTCCAATGGATACTTCGGTGCAGAACATGATTTCGATAAGGAAGATAAGAAAACCACGAGTAAGTCAAGCATCGGAATGTCAAAATAAGACCACTATTGACCAAGAACAAGGGACTTGGGCATTCTTTGAGACAAAACAAATGATAGACGCGTATCGATACCAATGGTTGAAGATCAACGTCTTTTCGCGATGGACAGAAGCAACCAACCAGACGGTTCTCATCTTATTTGATCTGGATATGGCTGTCATGGATCACCTTCTCCAAACCTTCAAGCAGGTAGAACCAGACTGCCTGGCCGATCCATTCTGGCCCTACATTGAGCTGTCTGGCGAGGTCGCGCGATTGCAAGACACCGCCGTATGGCGGATCCGCAACCAGGTTCGGGACATTGAAACCCATAGAGTACAAGGCAAGCCCGAGCCCGAGTATAGGCGGCTCCACGACCTGGCGCGACACGCCATTCACGTCAGCGAGAGCCTCGACGTCGCCGCCCGGACCCTGGAGGCCATCAACGCACAGCACCACGACACCCAGTCGACAAGCCTCGACCGTAGGGCATGGACCCGTGTCCGCCAGCGACTGCTGTTTCACAAGCAGCTGGTCGACAGTCTGCGCTACCGCTCCGTCTCCAACGAAAAGAGGCTGCAAAACGAGATCCAGCTCGCCTTCAATACGGTAGCGCAGTACGACTCGGCCTTGTCAGTCAAGATTGGCGAGGCGGCCAAGATTGATAGCGCCGCCATGAAGACCATTTCTCTGCTGACTCTGGCCTTTCTGCCTCCCACTTTTATCTGTGCTATTTTCAGCATGTCTTTCTTCAACTATGATTCCGAAGGTGGATGGACAGTGTCCAATCAGTTCTGGATGTACTGGGCGTTTGCCGTGCCTTTGACACTGCTCACCTCGATCGTTTGTTACAAGTGGCAAGACATTACCGAATTTATTGATCGGTTCAGAAGACAACAAGTGCAAGAGAAAGTCATCCAAGAGAAAGACAGGACTGCGATTTCGCCAATATAAAGTGCAAGGTCTATAGATCCCTTATAGAACCCGGTCCTAACCCTTTCATGGCGATTCGAACTGCGGGATTGCAAGTCAATTATGATCTCATTGAGGCACCAGAATCTGATATATTGGTTAAAGGATCTTATATATGAAGACGGATGAAGTAGGTCCACGGGGGGGGGGGGGGGGGGGGGTGAAGCGAACTGATCCGTACAAATATCAAGAGTGCGCAACGCCATTATGACTGCCACGATCGTCGTCACTACGTGTCTATTACATGCGATTACAAACTCAAAGAACAAGGTTGGGCTTACGCGCCGTCCCATGCCAAGCATAAGGTCTGTTGGACTTTCTGATTTGTCCTTTAAAGAATGGAATACCATATCGCTTCACGTATCATAGGCGCCTGAATCTTTCCTTGAAACCATGTGCCTGGACTTCTGCGTCAGTGAACTCCCCTAGATGCATGACTGCCACGAATAGGTCTCCTAGGTCCTTTGGTTTGAGTGGTATGGTATGGAGCTCATTGTCGCTCAAATGCTTTGACGGAACGTGTCGCCCACGATCAATTAGGTACTCTCGGCATGATACCTGAATACATCAATATCATCAATCGTTTGATTAGTCATCCCAGTCAACATTGAATCGTCCTTCTTCCCGCTGTGTGCTAACGAATTCTTCAGAAGCCAGCTCCCTGAGCCACCTCTTTTGAAGATCGCTAGCGTCCTTGTGCCAGTCACAAGCATAGTCGCATTCGGGCACCTTTTCCTCGCCAAAGTACCGGCACAGAAGGGCATGGCGGCAGGCGTTGGTACTTTCGCAGTAATTAGCAAGCTTCTGGAGACTTTCCGCGCGAGCCTGAAAATTTTTCGCATTGCCACTCTTTTGTGCGTCGCGTATGACAAGGTTCGAGACGCGGTCCCGGTCCTCGCGGCTATAGTATAAAAAGCAGTATGCCGCTTTGCCGTCACGACCCGCCCGGCCGGCTTCTTGATAGTAGCCCTCGAATGATTTGGGGAGGCGCCAGTGCACAACAAATCGCACATTTAGCTTGTCGATACCCATCCCAAAGGCCGTCGTGGCTACAATGATATCGTAGCCTTGCACATTGCCCACCCATCGTGCTAGGGTTTGTTCTTTCACGTCCTTGGAGAGTTTGGCGTGGAAGGGCTGAGCTCCTATTCCCTCAGCTCGAAGCGAAGCGGCCAGGCTTTCGCATTCATCACGTGAAATTGTGTATATGATGCCGGGCACATTATCCACGCGTTCATTGGGAGGAAGTTCGGTCTTTCGTGGTTCAGCAGACCGGCGCTTATACACACTTCTGATCCATTGTATAAAGTCTTCGAGGCGCTCATCTTTCTCATCCGACGTGAACCGGATCTCGAGATGAAGATTTGGGCGATGGGCCGTCATTATGAAAGTTTTTAAGCTTTCCGATTTTTCGTCCAGGCCAAGTGTGGATAAAACATCGTGACGCACCTTGTTGTTGGCGGTCGCCGTTAGACACATGATAGGGACATCTGGGAAGGTTTGACGTAGCCAGGATAAACGCTTGAAATCCTTACGAAAGTCGTGGCCCCATTCTGATATGCAATGTGCCTCATCAATAGCGATCCTTGCTAGCTCCCTCTGTTCGTGGACAATTCGTAGAATGCCCCTGAACCGATCGAGAGCACATAATTCAGGGGTCACGTAGAGTAGCCGCGTCCGAGGATGGCCAGTTTGAAGATCTTTATAGATGCGGTCCTTTTCTGGCATAGGTGTATTGCTGTTTAGCGTGCTGGCGTCAATACCGGCGGCACGCAGAGATTCCACCTGATTCATCATCAGACTCAAAAGAGGTGATATTACTATGGTGACTTTGAGAGAATGTCAGTCACATGTCATCATCCATGAGGGAATCAAGGGTATTGCCCACTGCCATGATCCACGACTGCCGGAAGCTGGAAGCATAGACTCTTTCCAAACGAAGTGGCTGCTTGAACAAAGACATCGTTGCCGTCGAGAGAGGCTTGTATGATCTCTCGCTGCTGGGGTCTGAAGCTTGGTCGATTGAATTGGCGCCTGAGGGTAAAGTCCAGGTCCGGTGGAACGTATGAGCCCGTTCGCTTGAGCGGAGGCATCGCTCCGGTAGGCTTTGGTTGAATTGGGCAAACTCAAAAAGACGATGGGCTTCATAGAGTCCAAGACAGGAGAGATTTGATGCAAAGGCGTTTACGCGTGTTAGACACGTCGGCTACTGCGGCATATTGTGCATACAAGAATTGCCCAAGCCAGAACCCCTGATTGCGTGTGAATGCTTGATTTGTCTTGTGAAGCTTTTCGGATTGCTGTTTTGGGCCATTTGAATTGTAGGGAGGAGCAATTTAGTGACGAGGCTCGAAATTTGTAAGGTGGCGACGACTCTAACAACTGGCCTGGCAGGCAGGCAGGCAGACACAAGTGACCCGAGGGTACCTACCTACTGTAACCAGACTCGTAGGTAGTGATGTGCTGGCCCGAAACCAATCTTGACTAGGGGCAGGAGCGTACCAAGACTTGAAGCCGCTCATGAACAGTAAAGGAAGCAAATACTGCTTCGTTCGTAGTAATATTGTGCAGGCACAAAAAATGCACGCGTTTGTTGCTTTTCGGGTGGGTGCATACGAGATATCAATTGAACTGTTTGATGTACAGCGAACGGTACATTGAACCACGGTCCCGCTGGTGCATGAATAGTTTGCGGCAAAAAGAATACTAAACTTTTCAGTTTGGCTGGGAAGTTGACCCAAGGAATATCTTCCACATGCAGGTCGATGCGTCGAGCAGAACTCTAAATCGTGCCCTAGACTGTTGGGTTCGGAAGGGTGAGAGAGGTGCGTGCTACGACTCGCTGCTGTGATAGGGCTGACAACGAGGCTGTATGGAGGTAGACAAGTCACCAGGACTATATGTCTGTCTTTCCTGAAAGATGCACCTGATCGACCGAAGATGATCACTGCTTGTTCATGCAAGTAGGTGTAAATTGAAAAGTTCGCGTCAAGCCTCCTTTCCAACTCGTCACGTCATACGAATGCGTCAATAACTTGTGTAACTCCGTATTCTCGGGTCATGAAGAAAAGAAAGTTGGAATAATGATAACATGGCTGCTTATGACTCCGCTGTCGCGTGGAAAGAACGTGCAGTGCCTTGCAGGTAGGCGATTGCACTGAACCGGGCCCCCCCGCAAGCCAGCAGCCCCGAAAAGATGCTGTGGCGGTTGGCCGAGAACAAGGATTGGCTTGTTATTCACTGTGGTGCCTTATTAGCATCACACCCTGTCAGGGACAAGTCAACGATTCGTTCAGAGGGAATAATACAGAAAACATTTGCGAGAAAAGCGACGCTGACAACCTCAAGACAAGCTACCATGTGCATGATGACAGCGGCGTTCACAACCAACCATGAGCTGCAATTTCGGCGCGACTCTGCATACTTTGATAGAAGACAGTCCAATCACAAAATTCCATTGTACAGAGTAATAAGTGGTGCAGGCAGATGGACGACATCGCAGTCCAGTCACGTCACCAATGTCCTTGTTTTGCATCTGCTGGTTCTCAGCAGATATGAAGGCATCTCAAACTCTTCAGCCACACGTTCAAGGGGCCCTTTCTTGGTCAGAGTTCCCTATCACAGTGGATTCAAATATTGACCGGAAAGAAACCATGGAAGTCTGCCATACAAGATAGTATAAACGCATATTCTCAGTGCTGTATCTGGCGAGTGCCCCTAATAAATACACCCCACCATGCTCCAGAGGGATAGAGAGAGAAAGCAAGTGCGGGTGTGCTAGAAACCTTGAAGAGAGGCCTCTGCTACGCGACCTTCCCGCAAACCATGAACCATCAGATCAGACTCAACGTCTAGCACTCCAATGTTGCGATCCCCCCCTTTTTGGAGTCTTACCTTGTCTTGCTCCCTTGTCTGGATCCGCCCTTTTTGTTCCCTTGTATTATTTTATAGACTGAAAGTGGCTGTTTGTCAAGGTGCTGCTATCCATTATCTGGGCAATCAATGTATTTTTTAGGGGGTAGTCTGGGTACGCAAGTACTGGCATTTTAGGGTGGTGTCCACCATCGGCCACCAGCAACGACCAACGCTAGCGCCAAGGTATGGCCAGCGCAAAAGTGCACCCACCAAGACGCCAGCCAGTTTGTGATTCCGCCCAAAGGGACCCTTGCAACGCGAGTAGGGAGTACCCCGTTCGTTCTTCGAGTCCTTCCATCACCGGCCCATTCTTCGGGCCCCAGTTCCTTAGCATCGCTACCGACATTATCTTTTGTTCAGTCTTATTTTTTTTGTTGTCCAAGGAACGTCCTCGAGAACAGAGAAGACAGCAACATCACAAAGGCAAAGATGGCTGCACCCCTCAATTGATCGTGCAGCTGTCATTCGACCAGCAGATAGTAGCTGAGAAACGTCTCCTGCGTTCCCCCCCTCTCTCCATACTACCTTGCCTCCAACCACCGCTTCCTCTCCCTTGGTCGTTGAAACCTGAAACACCAGACGAGCTGTACGCTATCTACCTGCTTGCCTGCCTCCCCGAGCGCTCAGTCCGTCCTTCTCTGGCGCGCAATCGAGCCGCACCGCCGCTCCGCTCTGTGCACTGCACTCACTGCATCACACCTCGAAACGTGCATCTGAAATCTATTGATACGGCGGGCTGTTCTTCTCCTCTCCCGATTCCAAGAAGACGTCAATTCAACCAAAGTACAGCATCGCCAGCGATGACGAACCCGTGTACCCTGCCGATTTCCCAGCAACAACAGACTCGATTGGCCTGAATCCACCCTGGCTTGGTCACTTGTCCATCGTTGACAAGCAGCTACCCTGACTGAAACCGGGGATCGACTCAACCCTTCTTTTACCTCGTATCAGGACGATCCGTCGGGCCATTCCACGACGAACCACACTACCAGATCGATAAGGGGTGCGCGCGCGTCAAATTGTAGTAAAAAAGAAACAAAACCGCCCAGTCGCGGCTGGCTTTTGCAGCATGTCTTCCTCCATGATGCCATTGGGCGCGAATGGAGCTACCGTCATCCCGTCACAGTCCTCGTCCTCACGAGGCTTACCAACGAATCCCGCCCAAGGACTTCGAAGACTACCGACGTCGATAGCCAACATGCCGCCGCCGCCGCCCATTCCAGAGAAGTTCCAGCAGTCCTCGAGCTCGAATCTCTCCGCTTCCGGTCCCATGTCGGCATCTCAAGTCATCGCTCTCGCACGCGAGGCCATGAGAAGCGCTATTCGCGACAATGAGTCGCAAGCAGCCGAAGCAAGTGGTGTGAGCACTGAGCTTAAACCGGGCGTTACGGTCGACCTGAGCCGGAGGAACATCCAACAGCTGCCTGATGAAGTCGTTGACATTATCAAAAATGAGTTGGAACGGTATGTCTCGCCATCATTACTGCAACTCTTGAGTTTAACTAGAAATGTCTTGTGCTGACAATTGCGGACCCAGGCTTGCATTATCCCATAACAAACTTGCATCTTTTCCTGCCAGGTTCTCTGAATGCACGTCCCTACGTTATCTCAACGTCAGGAACAATCACATCAAGGAATTTCCTCTACCGGTAAATATTGTCTTCTAAGAGCTTATAGCTATGCTCATGGCTAACTCTTTTGTCCTTGCAGCTATGCAATCTCAAATCCTTGGAAATTCTGGATCTTGGTAGGAACAAGATTAGAGTTCTCCCCCCTGACATTGCAAAACTAGCTTCCCTCAAAGTGCTTGCGGTTCAGAAGAACCGGATAGAAGAGCTCCCTCTCTGTCTGGGAGACATGGTCTCTTTACAAGCCCTCAAGCTGGACGGAAACGCAATCACGTTCCCACCGAGAGAAGTCTTGCAGGTCCAGGCCAGCAGTCCCCCGAACGAAGGGTTCCTAAAGGAAAGTGAAGTGACGGAAGTCACGGTGACGGCCCATATCAAAAAGTTTTTGAAGCAAAAAACTGCGGAAAAGCTGGAAGCAGAGAAGAAAATCGAATTCGAGAATGGCATGGGTGATGAAGGCAACGACGGAAGCGAAACACCCAGATTTCCTCTGAAGCGAGTGGTCAGCGGTCGATTTCCCATCAAGGTCAATGGGATCGATGCACCTGACATGCGTTCACCCATTATTCCGCGGCCGCCGCCAATACCCTCTCGATCACATGCGCGTGGCTTGTCGCAGCAAAGCACAACAGTTAGGAAACCCGGGGTGATGCCCTTGACAATCGGCAATCCCAACGAACGTCTTCGGTCAAATAGCGAGACTATACTGCAAGGTTCGCGCATGGATCGTTCTGCAGAACGCCCGAGACGGCTGATGTCCAAGCGCACCAACGAACTGAGTACACTCGACGAAACACAGGCAAACAACAGATTTAGCCATTACCGCGGGCTCAGTCATGGCTCTTCGATGACTGGCAACGCACATGCAAATATGGTCAGCCCCAATAGCCCAGCTGAACCACTGTTGCAGAGACCCAACTACGTCCGTCGCCTCTCAGTCTTGCCGGAGCAACGGCGCGAATCAAAAGTTGTGGACCCTATCCTCGAGTCTGCCAAGGGCATTCTCTATGCCATTTTTCAGATCCACCCAATGATTCAACTCTTCACAAGGTTGACGAATGACGGCACGGCTAAGCGCTCAAGCCTGGAGATTGTCTTCTTTAACACCAATATGCATGTAGAGGAACTCGAGCAGGAGATCATGAAGCATGAATCACTGGGCGCCGACAGTCAAGCCCCCAGGGAGAATGAAAACGTTCAGCGGGCAGTTTTGACCCTGATTAATGCTTATGGCCACATCTGCTCCATTCTCCTCAACAACATGGAGACCATTGTCAGCAATGGCGATCCGCGATACATCCGAACACTAATGCTGTGTTTGTACAACAGCATAACGGAACTTCGTGTCACGGCAAACCAAAGCCTGATGGGCATGCCTGGTTTCAACGCTCGTGCTCGCACACCTCGAAGGATTGGACCAGCGGGAACGCTCAAGCCGCATTCTCGTGATAGTTCAGCAACACCAACTGTCGATAGAGCCAACGTGGGTCCCCGGTATCGTGGTGGTCAGCACAGTCACAATCCAAGCAATCTGAGGGTGGCGACTGATGTTTCCATGCCCTATCTGAACGGGTCAGGGAGAACTGCCACTATTACCTCTGCCACTCCTCGCTCTGGCGAGTCGTTTGCATCAAGTGACGGTGGTCGCTACGGGACTGACATCTCCGGCGAGGAGCGCCACTTTGAAAAGATTTTCTTGTCCATGTCCAAGTCTACGGAACTGCTCATGCGCACTCTTCCAATGTTTAATCAACAATTCAACAATAGTCTGCGTGAGGCCAGAGCCCAGAGACAGCCAGAACATGCTTTGCAGTGCTGGAGAGCCCTCATCAACAGATGTAGCCAATCGATTTATCAGACAGATCTCTTGAAAGGGCGCCTGTCGGCTATCAAGTTTAAAGAGCCCGGGATTCGAACGGACCCTGGATTTTGGGCATTATGCAAAAGTTTTGTTGATGCATGGGCAGATTTCGGAAATATGCTTAGACGTGCCATGGATCAGATCTCGCTTTCTTTGGATATCAAGACACGGCTTCGCCCCATTCAGCTGAGCGTCAAGGAGACAACGCAGCTCATATATGCCTCGCCGTGGGCCAATCTTTTCCGCCATGCAGGTCAATACCAGAGCCAGGGCCCAATCCAGGGCCAGTTCCAAGGCCAATTCCAGGGCCAGTTCCAGGAAGGTGTCAACTACTATCAGCAGGGCCACTACACGTCCAACTCCAACTCTACGCAAGCACAGCTGCCAGTCACGCCGCAGAGTGCTGCACTTGGTCCGGCTGTACAAGCAACGGTACCTTCTACACCGCAAAGCGCATCTTTTGCAAACGCGTTTTCCGGGAACGTGTTTGAACGGGCCGATGCTCTGATTTCAATGGGTGGCCTCTCGATGTCTCGAAGTGGGACCATGAGCAGTTCCAACCACAGCTCTTTCAACTCGATTTCCTCCATGACTTCCGCCCAAGACGATCGCGGCCCCGAGTCGTTGCTGAGCCCAAACAATGGAGCAGGGCCGGTGCCCTTTCGACGCAACGGCGTTGGCAAGCCACCGTTTTAGGCAACCAGAGTGTTTGCTACGTGGACAAACACGATTGTTCTTTTCTGTCTGCTCAAATGTCGCATGACCTGGGCAGGCTTAATTTTGCCACATACACCTGCAATCGGCCAGCATCTTTGCTCAAGTATATTGAGCTGTATGATACGAGTACTATTTTGTTACGTGTGTGACAACGCCGGGAACAGCATGATCCGCTGTTAGGCGCCTTACTCGTGGCCCTTCAAATGATCTATCGCGGCGTTGTTTTATATTGTTCTATTCCTCTGATTAATTCTGCATATAAAGACCGGACGTTGCGGCCTGGACTGTTTGGCGAAGAGGCGTTTCGGTTGTAGCTTGAGGTGTAATTTTTTTTTTCTTTCAAAGTGCTATAGCATTTTCTAGGAGTTGATGTTCTGGCAAGAACTGGTAGGCATTTTCATGTACACTCCAAGCATATACCTGGTCGAGTGGATTGAAGAAGTGAAATGCCTTTGGGATACCCGCTCAGATTTTTGTACCACAATAAGCAGCTTTCAGGATGAGGCCAATAGATGACGGCTAGGACGGACTTGAAAATATCAAATTGTATTAGAACCTTACATGTGAAACTGTTTTGTGAATTATAGCGATATAGGGACCGTGGCTCAGTTGAGCACGTCTACTATCGTTGCCGCGTGTAAAGCTTTCCTTGCCGGCAGCTACTTCTCTCAAGTGCATGATTTGGGAGCCTCTTACCTCGCTCCAATCATGGTGAAGCACCCCGCAAATCAGCGATAGTATGCACCGATGGTGGACGACAATCAAATGCTAGAGACGGCCTGATTAAGTTGTTTCATTTATCCATTTTTAGACCTCTCTTGCTTCTTTGACATTACCTAGCCTCAGTTGTGCAACCCTTTAATCTTTTGACAGCTGCACATCAGAAGGTTAAAAAGTAAATAGATGAATATCTGCTAATACGCCTGTTTACTTTCACTCGCCAACAAGAACATGTCCGCTGTCGCAGGACCTTCCTCGACCACAACCGGGCCCGGCCAGGCTACACTGACCGGACAGTCTTCCGACGCGAGGCCGTCCGGCGCATCACCGCCATCTTCGCTGTCCGGGAGCCTGCCCAGGGCACTGGGATCTAACACTCATGCAACAATGTTAGCAAGCCTGTCGCCGTCGTCGCCTTCGTTTCCTCCGACGGGGGGTACCAATACCACGACGGCATCTTCGTCGTCGTGGTTTGGGCGAAGCAATAACAACAACAACAGCTTGAGCTATCAGCATAACCAGAGCATAGCGCCGTCGCAGCCCAGCCCGCGCGCTGTCCCCACGACGGCGTCCACGTCGGTCATGACGACTGGCAGCACGCATCATCACCAGGGTCCCATCTTGCATCCAAACCTGCCTAGTCCGCCCTCGAGCCCCGAGCAGACGGCGCAGGCCCGTGCCGCCCTCGTGGGTACTATTAGCAATCTTCTGGATACGGAGCTGCAGGGCCGGGCGAGTCTGCTGCATGCCAACGCCAAGGCGCTGGAGAAGCAGGAGAGAGATGTTGCCAAGGTGTGTTGATTTTTCTCCCTTTCTTGATTACGCTTTCGAAAGCAATCATTTATTCCACTAATCACTTGCTCCCACCGTCTGAAAAACCAATACTGACTCGAAGCAAAAAAGGCTACTGAAGCCCTGCGCAAAGAAACCGACAAACTCGTCAAGGTGGTGAAGCAAGGCAGCGAAAAGGTGCGCGAGGCTGGCGACGTGCAAAACTGGGCCGAGGTGCTCGAGCGGGACTTTCTCGTCCTAGAGGACACTCTGCGCCGCGTCCGGAGGGGCAGCGGCGGCTGCAGCGACCCAGACTGCAGCGGCTGTTCGTGCTCTGGAGGCTCCGGGAGCAGCTGGAGCGGATCGCGCACGCCGAGCCGGCGGGGCATTTTCGACGAGGCCGAGGACGGGGATAGGGACGGGGCGCTGGGAAAGGGCAAGGGCGTGGAGGATGTAGTGGCGCCATCGTCGGATGGGGAATCCGGCATCAAGGTCCTCCCCGACGGCGGCGCGGGCGAGGAAGTCAAGGCGGCCGGGGATCAGCAGGAGGGTTCGTTTGCGTCCGTGACCAACGCCATTGCCGCCAGTATCAGTGAGGCCATGGCGACGAGCATTGATGATCGACCGTCCTTGCCTTCGGCCTCGTCGGCCACGGGGTCTGGATCTGTACTCCCGTCTGGGTCCACGACGGTCGTGGCCGATGTCCACGACCACAAGGGCAAGGGAGTCTTTTCTACGGGTGACGTGACGGCTAGCTCATCATCATTCATGGAGCTGGATGGTGATTGCGAGGACGAACGTCGGAAGGAGGACGACTTTGCAGCATCGCCGTCGTTGGAAGATAGGGACATTGCAGGTTTTGCGGGACTTGCGTTGCAGGCTGAGCAAGAAGACGGCGTATTCCACCAACTCGGGGGAGAGGCTCAGGCGGCACCCGAGATCGCTGAGCACGATCCGCACGCCATAGAGCCGGCGTGCTCTGAAGGCTCAAACGGGGTCGAAGACAAGATGGACATTGATGTGCCGTCTGTTGTGACCAGTCTTGGTACAGAAGGTGAGCCACATTCTTCTGCGCAAGGCAAGGATGATTCAGCCAAGAGCGAGGAGAGAACGGGAATATAAGGCTCCCTCCCATCACAGTATACGTCTGCTTCAAAGGACATGAGATATGAATCCATGAGTATATAATGATTATATAGGGACTATATTTGCTGTATAATCTGGTGAGCAATCATGATATACTGGCATTTTCATTAATTTCTATGTCATATCTGCGTCGAAATGGCTGCGGATGTCGCAACTGATCTTGTATTAAATTGCATCCCTCCAAATTAGGTTTCCCCTTCTCTTGGTGGAGCTGTTTCACGTCTTTACTCTGACGTTCTTATCTTTCTGTGACGTGAGATAATCTTCTCAACCGCCGCCGCAAATCTTTGCAGAAGTTATTCCAGTGCTTGTCACCTTTCTGCATTTTAATCTTCGGCCAAGGCAATGCATCTGGTGGAAAGCGGTGGACATCCCCCAATCCCTATGGTGCTTGTCTTCCAGGGATATTACTCGGCATTGGAGCGTCCGCTTTGATTGTCTGGTATTGCTAGCTCGCAAGTGACATCATGCGCCTCTTACAGAAGACCAGGCAGCATAACGAATCGCTTATTCTTGTACTTGTCACCAAACTCCTTGCGGTAGGCCCTCTCCTTGCCCTTGCCCCAGCTGAACATGTACATGGAGCCAATGGTGATGAAGAAGGCGACCGAAGGACTTCTGCTGACGAGAATCATGCCAATCCATGCAATCACCTCAAACATGTAGTTGGGGCAGGTGACAATCTCGAAGCCGTGGCCGTGGGGGATCTGGCGCTCGGTACCGCCGGGGCTGCGCAGGGTCGAAAGGTAGGCGTGGACGCGGAGGTTGGCAATCTCGCCAAAGAGGAAGAGAGCGAGGCCCAGGGCGTCAATGGCCGGGTTGTCGGCCTTGGCGGTCCAGCTAAAGGGGGCGTAGACCTCGAGGCCGGCCTGGACGCCGGCGACGGCCCAGTAGAAGAAGGAGTTGCGGAAGACGTTCCAGACGGGCATGGTCGAGGCCGAGAACTTGTGGACAAAGACGGTCTCGTACTCGCGCTTGAGGAAGTGGGCAATGATGCAGGCAAAGGTGAGCTTCTGGTTCCAGCTCAGGGGCCCGTCAAAGGCGTTGGGCTCGGGCACATGGTCCTTGAGGTACGGGTAGACGGCCGGGTAGAGGTAGCCGCGGACGGCGAGGAACAGCGGGTGGAAGAGCAGCGGGCCCAGGTACTCGATCACAAAGACGGTGCGCCAGCCGAGCTGGGGTCCGAGGTCCTTGACCAGCAGCTCCGAGTAGGAGAGGGTGGACAGGACGGCCTTGCGGTCCTTGAGGGTCTTCTTGGTCGCCGGGTCGAACAGGCCGACGCGGTTGTGGTCAGACAGACCGACCTTTTTGGCAATGGCGGCCTTGGCATCTTCGACGGTCGCGGTCGCGGACAGGTCAATTGAAGCTGGGAGGCGCTTGACAGGTTGCTTGGGGGCTTAATGGGGGAAAAGACAAAGTGTTAGTTGAGAAGGGGACTAGCAGTGTACTGAGGTAGGTTCAATACGGGTTGATTGGGTGCTTACAGCGCTGGGCGAGCTTGATAGTAAGGCCCGCCATCTTGATCAAAGTCGTCGTGATTTCTCCAACGAAGCCAAAGAGATCAGGGAGACGGAAACGTTGGGATCAAGGGGGTTAATGGGGGGATAAAAAAATAAATTGGACATCTATCACCAGCAGCCGAGGCCGTGGTGTTTCGCTAGTCAACAATTGGGGGTGGGGAAAGATTACAGAGCTCGAACCAATGATGTGATGTAATTGCTTGCTAATACAGGGATTGGCGCCAGAACGCGTTTTTATGGGGGGACTTTTTTTTTCTGGGTCTTCTAGAAAGAAAAGGGATTTTGTTGTAAGCTTTACATGTGATTGTCATTGAAGTAGGAAAATGTGATAACACGGCAAAAACTGACCAGCGTGTTATTGCCATTATCCATGGATGTAGTCAAAGCGCCTTCGATCAACATGGAGACTTATCTGTATGATTAGTCTTTGGGATGCCAACTTGCGCGATTGCGAATTTGAGTCGCGGACGCCGTACTTAGCACATATCACTAATATTGAGAGGGTATACTGTCTGTCGCCTATTGAAGCCCCCGGTCGTACTTTTTATCTTCACATTTTTTCATAACAAAATGGACAATTGGGTCCCGACACCGTGATATTTGATTTGAGATACTATTTATCCTTTTCGCCATTGTCCAGTTATCTCCCCTCAAGAAAAAAAAAGACAGGATGTGACATCTCCTTTTCTGGAGTGTTCCGAATTCTTGTGCGATTGCAAGTCCCTTATAACATCCCACCGTATTCAATGCAACAATCTCCACAGGAATTAAAATACGCCTTTCTATTTTATACATGGAGTCCAGGGGCCAACTCTTTGACATCGGGACTGTTTGGCGTATTGATTCGGTCTAGAAATATTTGTGGAAGATATTTCGAAGGTCCCATCTCGGCCACGTGCACAAAATGACAGGATAACTTTATCATTGGAGTACTCTTGCAAGAACACAAACGGCTATATTTTCATGTTTCAAAACGATTCATGTGGATGCGAGCAAATTCCAAATTGATTTACAACAGATATGATCATACAAAAACCGAATGATTCTAGCCCTCTGGATATCGTTTTCAATTGTGACAAACCACCTTTTTCATTGTCACATTGTGCATCTGGCCATAGTTATTCAAGCCATCTTCAAACAAGCTTGTAGCTTTGATGGCCGGAATACAATCTTCTGTCCCCTCGGAAGCTGGTGACACCTAGTCGTCTTCCTCGACCAAGACCAATCATCATGGCCCCTTGACTTTGGCGCTGCGGCACAGTCTCGGTCGAGGATATGATAAGCGTTGATCCTGGCCATCCGGATGACAGTCATGACTTTTTGGTCACAAAAGCTCGGCTCGGGTTTTGAGTTTATTACGGCGTCACGGGTGACAATGTGATATTGCTCCGAGATAAGTCTGCCATGCTTTCTGCGCAGATACCGATCCGAGCTGGCAGGGCTAAACGGCAGTATAGAATAGCAGACTCGGGTCATACTTGCCGCCGAAACACGCTGCAGTCATCTGAACGGATAGATAAGCCACTTCAGGGCCAAGTGCGATGCGTACTTGGAAGTCAACGCAATTCGCTCCGAACCGGCTAGTTCCTCAGCAAAGCTAGAACTAATGCCCAGAGGTATGACTTTATCAGAGAGTCATACACGACGCTGTGGATCAAAAGCATAAAAAGCCACGACCATGAACCCACCCGAAGAGCTGAATCTCCAACTTTGTCAGGTAACCCCAAATAATCAATGCGAACCGAAGTCCTCCGGCCCCGCCAGTGCCCAAAATCCGGGGTCCCCGCACTGTTCTCTACCCCACGGGGCCTCAGCCCGTTGCGACTATACCTATTGCGTGCGTATACGATAAGAGCTTATATACTTATGGAGTCTTTCTCCCTCGGTTCACTAGTGTCCTCTAGTCTTTGGGCCATGGCTTGACCAATCAAGGCGATATGGTTGGTTGAACACCAGGAAGCCATGTCCCGGACCCGGGGCCATGGCTCTCGCAGACTTGGGGGTTTCATTGTCCTTAAGACAGGAGAGAGTCGCCCCTTGGATCGCATCGAGCATCTACTCGGATCACTGATCACTTCATCTCGGTGATCTTGGAAATCCGAGTTCATGCCCCCCATCTTGTTACGAAAGAAGAAAATGAAGGACGACAAGGCCGAAGTCACCCACCTGGAGAGCCATGCTCTTCCTGGGGACAATGATGTTGTTTTCGAACAAGAAGAAGTCGCCGTCATGGGCACTGTCAGATTGACAGACGGTGATATTGTTTATGTCCCAACACCAAGTGCTGATCCTCAGGGTAGGTTCATGGGAAACTAGTCCAACGTGGACGATCGCTGACTCGGACTAGACCCTCTGAACATGACAACTTGGCACAAGTATGCCGTCATCATTATTATTTCCATATGTAAGAGTCCATTTGGAAAGAAACTGGAGAACAAGATGAACTGTTGTTGACCAAAGACATTTCTATCCAGTCTCGACTCTCGGCCTGGCCCTCGTTTCCGGCTTCGGTGGCCTTCTTGGCTTTTACATTCCCGAGTATGCTGCGGTAGGCAAAGACTATGCAGACATCACCCACCTCATGACATACCCTACGCTGTTCATGTAAGAGGAATACCTTGAGTTGACAGGCTTCAGCTAACCATGTCTTGTTTGCAGGGGCATTGGCAATTTGATCGGCATGCCTATTGCGTACGCTGTCGGTCGACGAATCGTCTTTCTCTTCTCAACAGTCATCGTCATAGTCGGTGCCATTCTGTGCGCCAAGGCTCAGAACTATGAATGGCACTTGGGTGCGAGGATGCTCTTGGGGCTCGCTGCCGGACAGAGTGAGGCACTCGTGCCAATGATAACACAGGTGCGTCGGTCTTGGGTCATTCTCCTTCCCATGCCGCGACACTGACATCCCCCGAAAAGGAGATTTTCTTCCTGCACGAGCGAAGCAGAGGTTTGATGATTCAGCAGACTGTACAGGTCATTCTGACTGCAGTCGTGGTCCTCTTTGCTGGCCCCATCGCCGAGGCAATTACACCTCAAGGATGGTATGGCTTGGGTGCGGGACTGGCTGGTCTACAATTGATCCTGTCCATCTTTCTCCTGCCAGAGACCAAGTACTACCGACCTGCTTCGGCTTTCCAAGAGAGCTCTGGTTCGGACGAGGATGGCAAGCCACAGAGAAGTACCCAACGTGTTGAGCTCGACCTCGTCAACTACGCGCCGCGGACCTGGAGGTCAGACATGCGCCTATGGGTCGGCGAGCCGGAATGGAAGAAGGGCTGGGATACTTTCCGTCAGACCTTTGAGCTCATTCTGTTTCCCAACGTCTTTTGGGCTCTCTGTCTCAACGGCGTCACCCTTGGCTGCAACATTGCCATTGGCACCACATATGGTACCATTGTGACGGGCGCTCCATACAACTGGCCACAGTCTTCTGCCAGCTACGTAAATTGCGGTCAGATTATCACCGCCCTGGTTGCGTTGCCATTCTTTGGTCACGGATCAGACAAGATTATTCGCTGGTTCGCGGACCGCCGCGGGGGTTTGCACGAGCCCGAGACGCGCATCATACCCTTGATCTTCCCCATCGTGATTGGCATCATCACCGCGGTGCTCTACGGTTTGGGCGCCGAAAACCCAGAGAAATTCCACTGGTTCGTCTATGTTTGGGGTGTAGCCGCCTATTATTTTGCCTTTGTCGGCGCCAATATCGTGGCCATTACCTACCTCCTCGACAGCTACCCGGCCCGCGCCGGTCCCATGTTGATCGTCATATGTGCATTCCGCGGCATCATCTCTTTTGGTGTCAGCTATGGTATCAGTCCGTTCATTGAGAGTCATGGATATGCAGCCACCTTTTCCACGTTTGGTGGTCTTACTGGAGCGTTTGGACTGTTGGGAGTGCCCGTCTACTTCTATGGCAAGAGGATTCGTCAATACACCGGCAAGTTCTCAAAGGATAAGTCGGATTGAGTTGCTGGAAATCGATGACTTGGATATTCTGTCAGATATATACTTAAGGTTCCTCTACATGGTTATTTCAAACACAGGCTTTGCTGGCGTTTCGCACTGGAAATTTCTCGTTTGATCATTTGACCAATCCATGCAGTTGATGATATTCTTGTCGTTGGTAGTTGCGACGAAGCCAAAGCTCTCTTTCCATAGCTTTAATCAATAGTGGTGTCTTTACGCTAAAATGCCGCACCAGGAGCAATTTTTAAAGGACATGATGATTTATTCGCTCTCGTGTTACAAGTTGCGTGAAAGGTTCCCAGGTACGTGGTAAACCAAAGCAGCCATACTGAGGGACTCGGCCCGCAGGAGATTGTTCCTGTTACCAACGAGTATTGAGCATCTGCCAGAAAGGAGCAAAGCTAGTAAACAAATGATGAAAACTAAGCCATTGCAACCGTACTGGCTGAAATCACTTTATTACGACTGTGTACATGCACATGTTTGAAGAGCTGTCGCCCTCGAGAGGGAAAATGCAACTGGGATCGAGGGGTTCATTTCATATTGGCGGCGTAAAGAAACGGCACAAGTAATATTGCAACTGATTCACAAGTAATCATTTGACGAACTGCTTCGGTAAAACTAGGATTAATTCGTTCAAAATATTCACTGTATAATTGCTCTATTGATGTATAGCCGTGACATTCTCAATACCAAAATCAGCCACAATGAACCTAGTAGGCCTTCACTCCAGCGAGCTTGAGAATTGTATCTGTAATCTCGGGCTTCTCAAAAGGTTCTGTCCTGTACTTTGGGCAAACCTCACCATTTCTCATGGGCTTTTCCTTTGTAAGTCGGACATTGCTAGAACATAGGGCATTAATAACTTGGGCTTCTACAAACATTGGTTTCTTGTGACAGTCAAAACTTACCAGTGTGGCCAGTGGGTGGTGCCCATGTAGTTTTCAAAGCAATACTTCTTGGCCTCGAGGGCGTCGGCCTCGGCAAACTTGCGCGGCGTCATGCAAATGTACTGCACGTGGCGGATCTGGTCGCCCTCGGGGAACTTGGCATAGTGCATGGTCCGCGAGTCCCAGAGCACAAAGTCGCCGGGCTCCATGTTGACCTTGATGAGCTCGCAGCCGCGCTCCTCGAACCACTTGACGTCCTTTTCGCTAAAGAGGAACAGGTCCATGAACTCGAGCTCGGGCGGCGGCGCGTCCTCGTGGGCAAAGCCCTCGCGCTTTTGCGAGAAGAACTCGTCAAAGAGCTTCGAGGAGCCCTTCATCAGCATGAGGCCGCCGTCCTTGGGGCCGTTGGGTGCGTAGTTTAGGAGGCCTTGAACGGCTTGCATTCTAAAGGTTGTTTTTAATTTCTTGAACCGTCAAATCAAAACAAATGGGAAGTCTTACCCTTTCCGTCTCTGGTTCTGGTCGCAGTGAGGCCATGGAGACCACTGGATATCCGTGCGCTTCGGCATCGAGATGTTCATGCCATCAAAGGAAGTGATGAGCTCTTTAGTTTCCCAGAGCTTCTCAAAGATTTCAATGACGGCAGGTTCAGTGCGCGCCTCCCATGCCATCTTCTCGTGAGTTGAACCATATGCAAAATACATGCTGCAACCAATTCAGTAAATGTTCAAACACGGTCGAAATGATTCAAAGCACTTACCCTCCCTTGAAGCTGACCGGGAGGTGATCCGCAGTCCAAGTAGAAGAGTCATTCTCGTCAAAGCCAAGATCAAACTTCTTGAGCCATTCGATTTGCTTGTCGGCGTAGTACTTGGCCCTCTCTGGACTAATGACGTTCTTGATCACGACACAGCCATTCTTGTGGAATTCGTCGCGCCAATCACCGTACACCTTGTTCTCGTCAAAGGTGACGAGATCCTTGGTCTCAAACTTGGCAGCAAAGGTTCTTTGCTGCTCAGGCTGGAACGCCGTCGCCGTGCTGGTGGTAGTAGTAGTTGACATTGTTTTTCTTTGCTGATGATAGATTTGATCCTTTGAGAGATCTGATGTGATGTCTGTTTCGTCAAAGTCCAAGACACAACCGTCGACAGATCACTTATACTCGATTTCACGTCGAGATGGCATCTTACTGCGAGCGATCATACACCTACGAGATCCCGACGTGCCGGGACCCCGTGCTCAGATTCCCATCGGCTCGATTCGGCCCTCTTCCGGATCAGTTAGCTCGGAACAGCAACTGGGGGCTATAATCAGGGGCAAGGTTGGGGTATAGTGCAGCTATCCTCTACCCCGCAAACTCGGAATCCTGGGGTCCCCGCACGAGACTTGCCTCGATGCCGCCGTCTTGGGCCAATCCGAGGGCCAGATTAATAATTCTAGCTTAGATTGCACAGCTGAAACAAATTGTTCTCTTCCCCCCAGATAGAGCAGGTTGTCACCTGGACATGGACACCGGTTCGGCTCGGTTCGGTACGAATATGTAGATCCTCTATAGTCTGTCGTCGCTCCTCGTTGAGGGAAAGCAAATCCATCCAAGACCGAGGACATCCAAGGCTACAATCTTGGCAATCTTCTCGGCCGGCCGAGGGGTTGAGTGTATCCACAACATCGTGAGCTCCGGAGAAGCTGTCTTTAAGTAGAAAGTAGACATGACCGCCAGGATTGAATGTATTGATATCCGTCTTTCTCATGATATCTAATTCAATCTCTATTTACCCTATTCATCCAACAAAATGCCCAATCCCGTCCAAGTTGCCACCAAGCGCATTGAAACGCCAAAGCTTGGGGAAAATGGCTACGCCGGCTTCCAACCAGGCAAATCAGAAGTGCTCAAGAGTGGCTCCAATCCCTTTGATGCAAAGCCATTAAAGAGCGATATCCAGATTGACCATGACGTTGAGATTGTTGTCCGCGATGGAGCGCGTCTCTACATTGACGTTTACCGCCCTGCAGGTTCGACCGAAAAGGTCCCTGCAGTCCTCAGCTGGTCTTTTTACGGAAAGAAGTACAGTGCTCTGGATATGCTTCCCATCTGTGTCTGGAACTGCTGCGTGCCAAGGAGTGACCTCAGCGGCCTGGAGAAATTTGAAGGGCTGGATCCCCAGTACTGGTGTCCCAAGGGGTACGCAATCGTCAGCGTTGATACTCGAGGCGCCGGGCACAGTGATGGTCAAATCTGCGTAATGGGTTCTCAAGATGCCGAAGATGGCTACGATGTCGTGGAAGCTGTTGCCAAGATGGACTGGTGCAACGGCTGCATCGGCATGGCGGGCAACTCGGCTCTCGCCATTGCTCAGTGGTTCATCGCAGCGCAGCAACCTCCCTCGCTGAAAGCCATTGCGCCCTGGGAAGGTATGGCCGACATGTATCGCGAACAGTTCTGCCGTGGTGGATGGTTCTCCATGAGCAACTTTGACCTCATTACCAAGGCCATTGTGCGCGGTCAGCCCAACTCGGGACTCGAGGACTGGGCCGAGATGTACCGGAGATCGCCCACCCAGAACAACTACTGGAAAGACAAGAGAGTCGACATGACCAAGATCAAGTGCCCGGCATACATCAGAGGCTCCGACGTGAGCAGCATACACACCATGGGCTGCATTCGGGGATGGCTCGAAATCCCACACGAGCAAAAGTGGATTCATTGGAGCAGCAAACAAGAGTGGTACGAACTCTACAGCGAGCCCGAGTCAATGGACGAGCTTGCCGTCTTCTTTGACCGATATCTCAGGAATGAGAAGAATGGCTGGGAGGAAAAAACACCCAAAGTCCGATGGTCAGCACTACAGTTTGGCAATCGAGAGGCCATTGACAATATTGTGCTCGAGGACTTTCCTGTGCCAAACACAGACTATCGAGAATTGTTTCTCGCACCCGGAAACCGATTGACGAGTGACAAGTCGCCCTCGGTAGGAAGCGCCGTGTATGATTCGGAAGACTATAAGAGTTTTGCGGATTTTACCTATACTTTTACCGAGCCGGCCAGACTTATTGGACTGCCCAAGGCAATTCTTTACGTCTCATGTGACAGCCGGGATGACTTTACCGTGTTCACCATCCTACGCAAGAAGGACAAGGACGGAAAAGATCTAATGCACCTCAACTTCCCATTCCACGCGACTCCAGTGAAAACGATTGAGGAGATTCCAGAAAAGGACCAGGCCAGTCTGAACCTCCATCTGGGTTCCATGGGTATCCTGAGAGCCTCACAACGTGCCATTGACGAGACAAAGAGCATACACCCTCAATTCCCCTTTCATCCCCATGAGAAGCAGGAAAAGATCCAACCAGGTACCATTGTGCGGCTAGAAATTGGTATCTGGGCCATGGGCGTGGACTTTCAGGCTGGCGAAAGCATAAGCATTAGGGTATGATAACCCCGTGATGAAGTTGAAATTGATCAATTGAGCTAACTTTGTTCTAGATTGGTGGACAGTTCCCAAGCATCGCAGAGTACAAGAGCTTCTCAGAACCGCGACCCGAGCATGAGCTCAACAGGGGCGCTCACACGGTGCATTTCGGTGGAGATTACCAAAGCTCGGTAATCCTCCCATTCACGCCATTGAAGTGACAAACAAGGCAAGCGAGTGATTAGTGCGCATTGGGATGGCGGCTTATAGGGTAGGTCGTAGGGTCATGTCATAACCTGTCAGATACCTAGGCATAACATCATGAATGAGCATCATCCTGCCGCCAATATACATATTAGCACCTTGAAATATACGTTATGTTGTCGAAAAAGGCATTGAATTGAGTCTGTCCATATCTCTCTCTCTTGAGAAAATCCATTTTTTTTCTCACTATTTTGGCTCTTTCCATAGAATAACAGCGGTCAAAGTTTCTCCATCTTCACACCGAGATCAATGAAACGTCGTGATTAGCTTCTCTTCAGACTCAGACACCGGCTCACAATGGTGGCTTAAATCATAACCAGAGATCTAATCACTCCGAGTGGAGTTCTTGACCTTCATCCTCAACATTGGAGAGTTGCTTGATCTATCAAGCGCGCAGAATCCGAAATAAGGCTGACAGAGGTCGCACCAATCGTCGCTGCCTCCGCACCAAGCATATTGGCTGCAGCAGACGCCATCCGGGCAACGTTCAGCATAATACTCTCCAGTGGCTTCATCAAAGCCACAGCGGCCGTCCTTGCTGATGGGCAGGGAGCTATCCCGGGAACAAGATTAGCCACTGAGATTCCGAACCGGAGTAGCCAAGCTGGACAACGGCGAAAAGACCGTGGCTCGGGGTTTCAACTTACTATGGGCCAACTTGAATCAGTAACAGAGGGCAGAGATGGCGTTGCCGTGCTGGTGATGCCATCGTACGTGGTGATGGTGGCATCAATGCTAGTGGGGAGACAAATGCTGCGCGGTGACAATCTCGGCACCGGGTCGGTGCAATCGAAACATGTTTCAAAGGCCTGGCCACAGTCATCAATGTCCCAGAAGCAGGGGCCGCAAATATCGATGATGGTTTCCACGGGAGGCAGGTTGGCGTCGGAAGTAATGATCACGTCGCCAATGGCCGTGGAGCACCGGGTGGGGTTTGGATCTGGGAATCCAAAGGGAAATTCTAGACAGCCCGTGAAGCATGTACTCGTTGGTTCGAGACAGTCATTAAGCCCCGAAAAGCACGTTTCGCCGCAGTCGGGGAAAGGGGGTACCGTTATTGTTGGATCGGACGTTGTGGTGATAAAGATATCAGAAACAGATTGAGTTGTTGTTGGGAGAGGAACGGTGCCATATTCATTGACTACTTCGCGGCCCCCAATGAAGTACGTGTACTGGAAATTGTCGATCCAAGTGACTTCTTCGTCTGTTGTCGCTCGGCGGATAGACCCGGCACGATAGGGGTGGAACTTCAACTTGTCGAGATCCTCGAAATCACTACCAAATGTGGCCTCGTTGACGGACCCACCGTCGGTAGACGCGGTAAAGGTGGCGCTGGCCACTCTCTTGCCGCCTCGGTGCCCAGTCACGACGAGTTGGCAGGGTGAGACGCTGGAAACGCATCCCCAGTTGAACGACTTCATGTCAAAGGCATCAGTGACGCTCCCCCGATGCTGTGCTCTGACGGCTGGCAACCTGGAACCACGGCCAGCTGTGTCCGAAAAGACAGCAACATTGTTGCCAGATAGTGGCCAGGCACCATAGGAGTCCCGGTCGCCTAGGTCGCTCAGGTCTTGTACATCTGCCGAGACATTGTCAGTCTTGTAAAGCTCAAGCTGTGAGGCTCACGGTGTAAGATTCTCATACCTAGATTCGAAAAAGTGAGCGCTCCATAGAGGCCAATCGGATGGCCAGGGACAAGATCGTCAAAGTCTGCATCACCATATATGATCAAACCGTCCCTGGGCTGCTGCTGGGCAGGGCTCGCTTTGGCGATGGACGCTACAGCCAGGGCAAGTGTTACAAGTCTGTGCATCGTAGCCTATTTTGAAGGGTAGTAGTAACAGTGAATACTAAAGATCGGAAGTCGGTACAGTCAGGATGAAGGCTGTAACATTGCATGACGCCTAGGTCCTGAGGTCGTCTGTTTTATATAGTCCACGAGATATCATGTGTATCAGGACTTGTATGAAGTGTACGGGTACCTATGAGGCTAGGCGGCTCGTTCTAGAGAAGTCATGACATCGACATTCGTATATTGACGACTGGCATCCGATGTATTCATGCTTGTGGATATTAAACAGGGCTATCAAGAATTTAGGTTAATATGACAAGGGCAACTTTGCTACATTGTGAATCTGCGTGCCGCGCAGCCACAACCGGAGCCAATGGTGTCCGCGTCTGGATAGCCAAGCCGCATCTCGGCATATCATGACGGGCAATTCTAATCTTCTCAATTGAATTTGCCGTGCCGCCTTCAGAAAATGACAGCTGAATTTGCCAGTTGAGGAGCAAAAAGATTCCTTCACTGATGATCATACTCCAAGCCGAGCAAGGCATCTCAATAATGCGTATCAGATCAAGACCTTTGGGTCATGAAAATCTGCAAACATTGCAATTCCTGTTGAAAAGGTCCAATTCCCGCGCCCGAGGCTAGCTGAGGATAATGAAAAGGCGGGAACTTTGGTAAAGTATCATACTGGGCAGCCATGTCGCTTTCATGGGACCACACTTGCTCCCGCAAGACTAAGCATGAAACCGTTACTCTTCTTCCTGACGTCAAGTAGAATTTTGACCACTGCTCAAATCAAACCGAGTTCTTCTGACAGATGAGGGCCGCCAGGCAAAGTGAACACAAATATGTGATTCTTTCTCGCCGCAATTTACACAGGTCCCCGCCTCTCGACCGCTGCGGAGGGGATTTGGGGGCGGCTGTGCGCAGTAGCAAGCGATAACATCGAAATCTTAGCAGGACAATTGCAGAACCATTCGTCGTGTTTGACTACTCTAGTTGCATCAGCCTGACCAGGGATCCTTTTTTATAGCCGAGCTGATAAGTCAACCACGGTGACAGCTGAGATTATGCACGTATGTAGTTGCCTGCTTACGCAACGCAAGGGACCGATATCTCTTGGCATAAGAACGGAGATGCCGTTTCCATGAATTATCCAACTGCAAGCCCAATAGATCATACCGTATGACGCCTATGTAAGCGGACTTATAGCTCACAGCAATCGCTGTCGTATCCGACATAATGCGAAATCTTTAGCCCGTCCTGTGCCAAGCACGGAAAAAATCAGATATTGCTGAACATCTAGCTAGGGTATAGGCTATCGGGTATTGATCTGTATACCTCGCTGGGATGGCACGGGCCATTATCATATGATAATAGCAGCAGGTTGAAGCTTTCCATGTCAGCAGTGCAGTTGGCGACGATTTTGATAAGAAGTTGCACCGTCATAATCATTTTTCTTCCTCTTCTACTTCTTTTTATATATCAACATGATAGCATTAACGTCTTTTTAGTACTGAGCCAGAGATTTTTTGACCATCGTTGAAGCAATCCAACAACAGACAGTTTTTGCTGGCTCATATTCTATACGACAACACCGATCCCACCGCAGATAAAGGTGGACCGTCAGCACCTTATCCATTACGCAAAATTGCGAAGCTCGTCGGCTCGTACGACAACAAAAATTGGCAAAATGTCGGTACCAAAGCGCGTCCTGTTTTTGACCAACAGCGAGTATGGCCAGGCCAATGTGGTTTTGGCAGTAGCGTATGCGCTCCTCCACGCATCGACAGACATCGAAATCCATATCGCATCTTTCAAAGTGCTGGGCGATGCCGTACGTCTATTGTCAGATTACGCCCTCGAGACGGCACCGGAGCCAAAGAGGTCTAAGGGAGTCATCTTTCATGAAATCAATGGCCAGCCATACGCCAGAACGCCGCTCACAAGGGAGACTTTTGACTTGAAACCCTCCTTCTACAACACATCCCGCGTCCTTCTAGCTGTCCCTGAAGTCATGACGCCGTGGAATCCAAAAGAATTTACCGTTATCTGTGAAGAGGTTGAGCGCATCCTTGACGAGGTGCAGCCAGACTTGACCCTGGTTGAGCCGCTCTTTTCGCCGGGATTGACCATTTGCCATGATCTTGGTACCATCAAGTGGATGGTCATGGCCCCGAACACAATCAAAGATTTCGCCGTGCCGGTGCAACCAGCGCTTGCGGCTTTGTGGAAATATCCTTTGTAAGAGATCTTCTTTCTTGAGACTTTTTCTAGACCTTAATCTCAAGATTTTGAACTCAACGCTAAGCATAATTACGCAACCCCCTAAACAGGGTTTGCTCAGCACTACCATTTCCGCTACCATGGCATCTAATCCCATACAACATTGCTCTTAACCTAGTCGCAGGATACATGGTCTTGACTGATAAGCGCGTGGCCGACGTCTCGGCTGCTGTTAAAAGTCGCTTTGGACCTGGCGTTCAGCTCATCACGGCCAATGAGCTCGGTGTCCTCAAGGCGCCTCCGGCAGGCGTGCGCTTCCTGGTGGCCAATACTGCCGAACTAGATTATCCATTTACACGCCTCCCTGAATACATAATCCAGTGTGGCCCAATCGTGCGCGCAACCAAGTCTCTCTTGGAGGTGGACCCGGGCCTGCACTCGTGGTTGGAACGTGGACCCGCCGTATATATCAACCTGGGCACCTACCTGACGGCCACGGCTGACGAGGCGGCCGAGCTGGCGGGTGCACTTCATGATCTTCTCCATGAAGCCGACCGGATAGGCTACAGGACCAAAGGTGCCCGACTTCGAGTTCTCTGGAAACTAGGCCGCAAGGACCGGGCGGACGAAGATGGCCGGCCTGTCCAGTCCAGTGACCAGGACTGGACGGGCCCATGGGAGAAGGTGGCCAGCCTGTTGAGAGCAGAGATGGACACGGACCGCGCTCGGATTACCGGCTGGTTTACCGCGGAACCCAAATCCATCATTGAATCCCAGAATATCATATGTTCGGTTCACCATGGTGGTGCCAGCTCATTCAACGAAGCATTGTGTGCCGGAGTTCCACAAGTCTTGCTGCCGCCATGGGCAGACTGCTACGACTTTGCCAACAGGGCCGAACTCTTGGGCGTTGGGGTGTGGGCGAACAAGAACAGCACACCGAGATGGAAGCGCAAGGAATTAGCCTCGGCCTTGATCAAGGTCATCCTTGGCCCTGACTCGGAGGGATTCAAATCCAAAGCAGCGGAATTCGCGCTCAAGTATCCGGAGAATTCAGGAAGGGACAAGGCGGCCAAAGAGATACTGCAAGCCTTGTGACCAAGTGGTTGATGAAATGATGAATCGTATGTTCCTACATGAGGGAGGAATGTGAAGGGAATCGATACTACAGAGACACAAACTATCTAGAGTAAATTGCTAATGACATTAGAAGACTGCTTTCTGTTTTCTTCTCAGTACCTTGGATGAATATATACCATTTACTTCAAATCTTTCAGCTCTCTCTTCGGCCATACCACGAGGTCCGACGGGTCTGGAAGTTGACGATCCCATGCCCACCTGATCTGCCATTCAGGGGGCAATTCCCCGTTCAACATTTGCAAAACATAGCGCCCTAGTATTGGAAAGAATTTCCATCCGTGAAATGACCCACACGTGGCGACGAATAGTTGATCGGCTGCCGAGTGTTTCGAGATGATGAAGTCTTCGCTGGGCGTCAAAGCTTCCCTAAAGCCCGATCATTAGCACGCGCAACCTGAGTCTGCTGCATGTCTCGCTCACCAGCAAATACGGTGTTGTTCCAACTCCCATGACTCTCCCTTCTTGCCAGCAGTCACCTTGCTGGCAAATCTTATATCGTTCTTGAGCGAGTCTGGAACCTCCCACTCGGCATAGTCGGGCTTATCTGGTGGTGCAGATATGAATTTGCCCCTTTTGACTTCTTGTGTATTCTTGAAGATGTATTGACCCCACCACTTGATTTGAGAATCTTTGTTTGGGGGCAGCATGCCGTTACTCGCACCTTGAATTGTTTAGCGTGTCTCATTTCGACCAAATGTCAATCCCAGGTGTATCTTACCTCGTTCTGGGGGGTTTTCCTGGATGCACACCGGCATTGCAGAGTATGAGTCCATATCGCCGTCATTGAGATGAGTCAACCCAGTTGTCACACCAGCTGATATAATACGCTCGTCCGCTCGAAGCTTTTCGATGCCGCTAATCTCTGCGCTCATCTCCAATAGCTTTGGCGTAAAAGATCCACTGCATAGGATCGTATGGGTTGCCGTCAGCACAACCCCGCCGGCTGTGCGCACGCCCCGGCAGACCCCGACGTCGTCGATTTCGAGACATGTCACTTCTGCAACGACGTACTTGACTCCCATCTCTACAGAGGTCTCTATCACCTTCCTCAATGCATCTCTAGCATCTGCCCAGCCACTAGTATTGTTTATGAGGACCTCCTTTACCCCAGTGTAATCAGCGTCGCCAAAGATGCCACCGTGCAATTTCCTCGCCTCTTCAACGGGCAAGCTGTACAGATCGGCCTGGCGACCAAGTTTGGCGTAATTATCCAGTACCTTTTGCGAGAATCCGGTGCGGCTGATCCAGTAGATGCCGCTCTCGTGGTAAAAGGGCTTCCACAGCGGATCGGCTCGCCAGACGTCCTGCGCTTCGAGCGCCAGCTTGCAGTATCCAAGATCGGCGTAGTCGGCTCTGACTACCTTGTTCCAGTCCCAGGATGCGGCTACGCGGCGGCTGGCGTCAAAGGCGTCCCGGTCCACCAGCGTTACGGTGGCATCTGGGTATCGCTGAATGAGATGGTATGCCGTCGAGGTGCCAAAAACCCCGGCTCCGATGATGAGATATGAAGATGTCTCGGAGCCCATTTTTAATCAAATTCAAGAATCCGTTTGTGAATGACTCTATTATTTCGTGAAAGTTGAAATTTTCTGATTGACAAAGAATCGTGAGTACGTTTTGTCATTTACCATCATGACCACTCAAGCGGCGGCCCCTTCGATGCGGGGTTAGTGGTTCTGGTTCTGCCTCTGCCTTTCTGCCCGCAGCTGATCGTGAGGCATCTATTGGTTGCAGCAATTGAGCCTGGAGACGAGCATGGCTCCTCTCTGTATATGTGGAATCCCCTTCTTGATCACATATAACATGAAAATTCACCCTCTGTAATATGGTCGTCGCGACCATTGTGTTGTCTCATCATGAGTCTTCATATACTTCAAACAAACATTGCATCCTTCATGAACAACCGCCCGTGCATGGAATTAGCAAATGAATTCCGGTGTGCTACCAAATGTATGTATCTGGCTACTATAGTGTGTATCTCAACTTGTGCATAGCTAGTCCCGTGATCTGGTGCATGTATCCCAATTGCCGACCCTCCGGCTGTCCCAATGCCATTGTTGTTGTTGTTGTTGTCTCTGAAAATCTGCCAGTGCGCCGTGTACCCAATAAATTCATGTCTTGTAGAATCGTACAGCTCCTGTCGTAGCAGATCTTCGTTTCCTTAAGGGGGGACTAACTAGCCGTGTATCTAATAATCCTCCAACTCAAGTACTTGTCCCTTGCGCCACGTAGAGGCGAACTGCTGTGCCGGGTTATATTTTTTGTGTTTTCTGGTTTTATTTGTCGTAAAATTCATTCCGTTGTCGCGACGGCCAATCAAACGAGTTATTGTTGTCTCGGAGACACAAGCATTGGCCGAATTGGTTGTTCTCAAATTCGGCTCGGTGGTTGCATCCATGATATTTACCGGCGGGCAATTCTCCAACCTGGCCCAGAGACGATGGAAAGTCTTCTGGACCAGCAACTTCTGCTTCTGGTTCGGCTCGTTGTTCCCAAGCCGTCGCCAAGAAGAAGCTGTTCGAATTGCCCCGTGACAATACCCGAGATGAGAGGCGTGCCGGCTCCCGCCGCCTCTCTTCTACAGCTCCATCTGCTGCAGCTTCATCGATAGCACTACTACCCACACCGCGCCCGCTACAGTTCTCGCAACCATGGCGAGAAGATCGAGTGATTTTGGCGGGACAGCCGGGTGCCAGAATGTGTAATGCCAGATTGCGCCCCGGATCAGCATCGTGAGAAAAGTACCATTTGTACATGGCGGATAAAGGGCTCGGTTGCACGTTATCCCTGAAGTTTTGAATGTTGTTGTGTATGTAGTATTTGTGAAGATTGTTGTGATTGATTGAGTAGTCACATATATCGCCAGTCTTACGACGGTTTGCTGGCCTGGAATTGAGGGATCAAATTCGGTTTGAGGAGAAGGAGGAAAAGCTCAGTAAAAGGTGGTAGGAAAATGGTGTGATACTATATAATTTGGCTTCTCAGTCGTATAATGGCAGCCTAGCAAGTGTAATTACTAATGCGGTTTACCTCGCAGTGCTACATACAGTACGACGTGGGTTCTGCAAATCTCACACCGCACAATTGAGTCCTACATGCATGGATGCAGCAGCAGCAATAGTGCGCAGGGTTAGCAGGCAGCTGCAGCTGTGATAGGCGCTGATATGGCACCGGCAGATGATCTGCAGGCTCAGCCTCTGTTGCTTGTTTCTGGTTCCAAGCCACTCGCGGCAGCCCGCCGGGACCTACAGGCCCACTGACCGGACCGTGTTGAGGCACAGCACCTTAAGGGCCTCAATAGCTCCCTTTTGCCTATAGTCTTAGGCCAATTTTGGAGCTCCGAAGGATTTGGGGGCTGAGAGGCTTCGCTAAAACTTCCCGTTCCCTCCCACTACGACATACCTAGTAGCACCTTACCTCTGACTTCCTAGAACAGCTGGACACTTGAAGCCCCCTCGTGGCTCCTCTGAAACAATGAAACCTCCTACCCAGAGGCTTCGGTGTCCTATCAAGGCCCACGATGCAGCCAAGTATCAGTCTGATTGGCCGGATACTGGATGCACACACGAACACACACCCATAAACAGCATTGTACAGAGGCTAGGCTAGTCCGTGCTAGGGAGGGAGGTCTGCGGATAAGGAGTTTATCGCGATTATGGCCAGAGAGCAAGAGCACTGCAACCTTGCCAAGCTGACAACAACTACTACCCACTCCACTCGGTGCTGACCCGGAACGGAACACAGCCACTGAAATTAGCGGGCCGTCAACTCAAGCTTGTCTCTGCCTGTCGGTGACGCGATCCGCTCTACGTCAACGTCTTTCTAGCCATCCAGTCATGGTTGGCGTTCAACTCTGCTCTAGCTTCTCGACGATGGCCTCAATGTTGCCGTAATTGGCACATTATCATGGCGATGCCAAGTAGGCTGCAATTTTCTGAGCGACAGAAGTGGCTAGGTCGAGAGCATCGTGTCCAGAATCGATGAGCGGTAAGCTCCACTGAAGAGCCATGACGCAGACGCAGTCAGCAGCCGTGACAAAATGCGAGGAGGAAATGGCAACACTCCCAACCCATGACCAGACCGATGACAGCGCAACACCTAGAGTCCAAATGACCATGGTGGAGAGGAACCCGACATCTGATTTGCGATCCTGCTCTTGCGAAAGTCCTTGCTCCTCGACGGAGACCAATTCAACAGCAGCCGGCCCAACGACCTGTAAACTATATTCAAAACTCCCGCTTTCACAACACATTCGCGATGCTGGCCGGCCCAAACAGACAGCATTCTCCATCCGCCTCATCAAGCTGAAGCCGGGTGTCGGCGGTGACGATCTTGAGTGCGACCTCTTCTATGTACCGTCACTCAAGAGCGTCCGCTTTGTGGCGCTCTCGTACTGCTGGGGAGACAAAAGTGACATTACTCGAATTAGTGTGAACGGGCGCATGGTCAGAATCACAAAGAGTCTTTACAAGGCACTATTTCACCTGCGCCATGCATCAGTCGAGATCATCCTGTGGGCTGATGCAATTTGCATTGATCAAGGAAATGAATCCGAGAAGAGCTGGCAAGTCGAGCACATGCCTCAAATCTATACTGCTGCTGCAGAGGTCATTGCTTGGATCGGTGAGGGTGCAAGTGGGAGCGAGCAAGCCATGGATTACATAAATCGCTATGTCGGAGCCACGAGCGAGGCCCCGTGCCAGCATCAGGATGCTACTCCCCATACGCAACTCAAGTCTCTATACTCCAGAGAGTACTGGAATCGCGTCTGGGTTATACAGGAAATTGCGGCCGCCCACCGGGTCAATGGCAAATGCGTCATCAGATGCGGCCATAAATCGGTTGCCTTTGCCGATTTCCAGAGTTTCTTGACTAGGTTTTTTGCTGAGCAAATCTACACAAAGGACGACAGCATAATGAGACCCAAGCATCTTGTGGCCCTCAGTACCGCGTACGAGGGAAAATCATTCTTGCAAATACTGTTTGACTCGGCTTCCTTCCAGTCCACAGACCCACGGGACAGAATCTACGGAATCAGGGGCATATTACCTGAATTTTATCGCAATAGAATCAAGGTGGATTACCGAATTGGATTTCAGAAATTGTGTCAAACCGTCATATCCACATATATCAAACACGAAAAGAACCTCGGTATCCTGTGCCAGTTCAAGAGATTCTCACCAAATGACCGCTACCCATCTTGGGTGCGGGATTTGAGGTGCGTAATCGGAGGCATATCACCGTCCATCTACTCAGCCTCGGCTGGCAGCGAGCCAAGAGCATTTACTGATGATACTACTCTCCATACAGATGGAAGATGTATTGGAAGGCCAGGCCGTCTGAAAGGTCCTGTTGATTTTCCATTGCAACCGACGTTGGGACAGTCATGGCCAGAAACGTCAAATCTGTGGAAAATCAGAACCTTCATCACAAGAGCATTGAGGAAACGTTATCCGGGAATAACACCCGAGGCCCTCGAGTCCCGCTCCATGAACATAGTCTCAGGAGATAGGTGGCGAGGTGCCACCGCAGAGGATACACGAGTCCCTCTCGATGCTCGCGAAATTTGGAATTTCATCAGCCATCTTGATACATCCTCAGTTGTAGACGAAAAAGTGCTATTGATGTATAAGCATTTTAATGTCATCTTCAGCTCACTGATCAACCGAACCTTGTTTACTACGATCGGGGGGAGCATCGGCGTCGGTCCCCCAGATATGAAGTACGGAGACATGATTTGCGTGCTCCACGGTTGCAGCTATTGTGTTGTCCTACGAAAGGTCAAGATACGGCACTACACCTTCGTAGGTCCAGCCTATGTCGAAGGCGCCATGAGTGGCGAGTACATTCGCCAGGCCTTTGATGATGAAGGAAACCGAATGGCTGATGAGCGCTTTCACATTCGTTGAACTACAAGGCTTTCCAAGTTCGATGACAACAATCCTACATACATGATATCTCCCAAATCGTCACTGCCCTGTGCCCTACGCTGCCTCATAAACCGACATGCTCGCGAGCCCAGCGCTGCCTTCCACCTAGTGCCTGTACAAACTATATCACACAGACTGCTATGTACTAATTGAACAAATATTTATACATGAAAGACTTGATCGTACATCCGGGCAGTGCGCCCTTAGCGGTATACTCGTGGAGGAGACGTGATCTTTGTCGTTGGTGGGACTGCTGCTGGTGGGACGACATAGGGAACTCCCCCACCTCTCACTCCCACAGACGACCGAGTAGACGTCGAGCGTGAAGAGCGACTCCTGCCGCGGTGGTGGTGATGATGATGGCGATATGGTCGGTATGGTCTCCTCCGGAACGGGAGACAGCAGAGAAAGATGAGTAGGGCCAAGAGGATCAGAAATAGGATGCAACCAACGACGATCCCGGCAATGGCTCCTCCGCCTAATCCCCAGCCATAGTAGCCATTGTAACCATTATAATACTGGCGGGGTAGAATCTGACAAGCGAGAGGTTATTGAATGCATCCGACCCGACTTACAGCTGCTGCATACTGACCATGTTTAAACGGTGGCTCCAAAAAACAAATGCACGCCTATGCACGATGAACAATTTTTACCGCAGGTGGTTTGTTGGATTAGCGAACGATGCTTTGCTGCACGTACGTGATAGCCAAGAATATGATTGCAAACAAAAATATTCCACGAGATCAGATCTGCTTGTGAGCACCTCTTTAAACAACACGTCAACTAGCTGCCCCCTTACCTAAGTGCATCATATGCCCGACCAAAGCTTGAATAGCCACGTCGTCCGACACAGCCGCCTTTCCGGTAATAAGCAGTACAAGCCGATTCTTGTAAAGCCAATGAACACTCTCATTAACCCTTTGCAACGAAACCAAGCCAGTTTCTCCCACAACCTATTCTACCGTGGATGGGGAATCCTTCAGCTCAGAGGTGCGGATGCCCACGATGCATTCGGGCTTGCCAAGAAAAGGTGTCACGGTAACTCTGTGTCTTTTTGTCGGGTTGTGAATCCCCCCATATGTTGCCATGGAATTGACTTTACGCCATGGTCTGCAACCCCCTCTTTTTGCTCTCCCGATTACACTTTCATGACGGAAAGCCAAGATCTTTTACTTTTGCATCTGTGCCAGCCGTGTTTGCGGGCGGGCGAGAAGGGAAGCTCTGCGCTACCAGAATGAAGCAATCTTTACCTCACCTCGGGAAACTCCCAAGGAAAGAGACACATGTGTGCTGCGGAAGCTTTGCAATGGATAAACAAGATAAAGACCTTGAGACCGTCATCATGCAGATTTTTGTGTGCGGAGAATTGGCGCGATTTCAGAGTTTGGTCCGGTCAACGTTTGTCACTCAAGTTTGAACCAAATTCGGGGCGCAAACAAGTCGGCCGGGATGCGAGCTCCAGTAGATGTGTGCCAAGAGCTTTTGAATATTCAAACATTCGCATTTACTTGGAATCTCGCTGCCTAGCCCGTATTTTCACTTGATTATGCGTTTTCTCGACATCCAATTACTCGCTTGGATCTCTCGCTGTCCCGCTCTGGGAGTCTGATCTGCGGCTTGGTAGTCCATGCCGGGCAGAACCTAACTCTATCTTTCTCTTATGCACCTGGAACGTTTTCCCTTGGATTAAGAGTAAACCATGTGGCGCTGCCATGGTATAGACCACACTAGCCACAGTCCCTGCTACATCATCACTCCGATTACTCATACGAACCTGCGCAAGCCTGAGGGGAACTATAGCTCTTCGGGCCAGTCGCGATGAATATGCACTACAGGACGTCATTCTTTCATCTACATATCTACGGGAAATCATGTTTCATATTTCCATGTGAGAATAACACGTTGGCCATGACGTATGAACAGCGGGATCATTTGCGCATACTCGATGGACAAGTACTATAATAGGGGGAGTGTTGTGCTTCCCAGGGGCTGAGTTGTTTAGGGAGAACTATCCTCAGAACCAGTCTCGATAATTTCAAAGAATCGGATAACCTCATATCAGCTTTAGTCAATTTTTCCATCATGGCAGGAGAACTTCCCAGCGGCATGTTTAGCAAGATCGGCGAGACCCTCAAGGGCTACGTTGCTCCGACCGAAGAAGAAGGGACCAGCACCAGCAAACGGGGCGGACTCGAATCTGCCAGCTCAAAGACCGCGCCCGGAGGCAAGATGACGGAGCAGCACGAGGGTGCCACCACGGTCCACAAGACCAAGGCTCCCGCGGTCCAGCACGAGACGGTCAAGCCCATGGAGCACGAGCAAGTCAACACGGAAGTCGACAAGGACATTCACCAGGACCACTACCACCGCACCGTCCAGCCCGTCAAGGACAAGAAGGTCATGCCCACAAAGCACACCTACAACGAGACCGAGGACAGCCGTCAGTTTGACCACAGAGACGACACTGCCTCCAAGCAGTTCCAGCAGGAAGGTGCACAGTTCCGTAACCTGCGCGAGGTTGAGGGGACCAGACGTACCCAGGAGTCTGCTCCGGCCAGGCAGACTGAGAATATTCACCAGTAAGTCAATCAAAATATGGTCATTGAAAACCATGAAATCAAGAGAAGAAACCCCACATGTTCTAACAGGAAAAACCTATAGTCACGTCCACGAGACTGTCCAGCCAGTAGTCAACCGGGAGACCATCCAGCCTGAAGTCATCCACACCAAGCACAATATCCATGAGACCCACCACCTCAATGCCCAGCATCATGCCACCACCACTGCTCCCGAGATTGACATGGCGTCTTACGAGGGAACTGGTACGGGCACGACTGGAACTGCTGGCAAGAAGGGTCGCGGCAAAAAGGCTGGTTTGGGATCCAGTTATGATGATGAGTTGAGCGGCAACACTCAGCGGGGTCTCTGAGCCACAGCCTCACGTGGAAAATGAGCGACATGATGAAACAAAAGTTTAACATTAAATACACACAAAATTAATAAAAACTCGACATTTATTTATCATGAGTCTGTTGTGCCGGTGAGTGGCTGCCGCTGTGAATTTGAAGCCGGATGATCATGAAGATAAGTGATGAATCTCTCGCCCGCGATTGCTAACAAATCATTGGCATATTCTGTGGTGGGGCAACACTCTTGCATATCATATCATTGATGCACTGCCTCATGGGGAGGATTCGCCTTACAAGGCGCTTTGGGGATGGAGCAACCCCACGTCGCAGGGGTGGGATAAGAGGTACGGTCAGCAAGCAGCTTTGTCGTCGTTACCTTGCTGCTGCTGCTAATTCCGCGTCAATCAAAATATCCACGACTCCATTGCATTCACATCATGGAAAGTCAAATACCGACCGCAGAGTCCTCCCAGCAGCAACAAGTCGGCGGCCAATCGGCCTTTTGGATCCTCGTGACCTTGGCCCTAGCCGCGGTGACGCAGCCATCGACGTGCAGTCGCCGCCCGGGGCGCAACGTAATCGACGGCGAGATTGACCTCTTGCGCTCTCTTCCGGGAACGTGTCTATTCGACGGCATCATTGACGTCATTGTCTTGTGCCGAGCACTGGGCGATGATGATCCCGCGAGACGGCGGCGGCGGCGGGCACCATTGACCGCAAACGTCGCTACCGTAAGGCTGGCGATTACCTTCCTCGCCGTCTTGCCCCAGGCTATCAAGGTCTTTAGCTTGCGCGGTATTCCTGTCACGCAAGTCTGTGCAGCGCTGTATCTCTTTGCCGCCGTGACAAAGCTCATTATTGACTTGAGTCGCTTCGAGACGGATGGATATTACCCTGTTACAGATGGCCCGGATAGTACCTCGTCTGCGATACTGCTGATGTCGGTCCTCTTCATCTTATATAGTCAATTCGCTCTGGAAATCGGCGTCTGGTGCGACATTTCTTCCTCGGTCATCATTCACTTGCCTCCACAAGTGCACAATGTGAGCACCTGGCTTAATTTTAGCTGTGTCTCTATTATACTTTTGCAGGTCCTGGTATTTGCTGCACGTATTTTGATTCCTCCACTCCGTCGCTCCCTGTCCTCACCTTACGCGATCCCCATCTTTGGACTTTTTCTCTTGTCCATGGTCTCGGGCATTGGAGAAACAGAGGAGAAGCTCGCCCAGACGATGGAAAGGCCCAAATCAGCCATTGGTCCGCTACCTGCTTGGGCGATCCGTGTGACAGACACATGCCGTTACGTGACGTGCGTTGCCATTGTCAGCATCCTAATGGCCAAAACCATAGGCGGACTCGGTGATCTGATTGCTCGGCGGGGAAGATTACCGACAGTGGCGCCAGATGGTACAGAGCCCCGAGTTGCATCGCAACCACTGTCCCTTCCTATCCCCAATGATCCGCCAACTGAGCCTGGCCCGTCTGGAGGAGGCCCCGCAGACAGCAATGCAGTATCCCGTCGCAAGTTCATGGTATCACTCAAGTCATTTATGAGCTGGACGCTGTCTCTTGGTGCTCGCACCGATCGCCGGCTGGCACGCCTCCTCAAAACGGAGTCTGACAGCACTATTCTTGCCATGACGATATTCAATCTCATTACGACGATTTGCTATTATCTTGTCTGGTATGATGGAACAGGCACTGAAAGTCCCAATTGGGTCAATATTTTAGGCTAGAACATAGATTGAATCCAATCAATTGTTTGGCTTTCGATATGTGGGCTACCAGGGAATGCCATGAATTTTAGTTTTCGATCCAGTTAAACGAACTTTGACTTATACATATATTCATCTACACGATACATGTTTCAAGGTTGACCGATAACTCCAACAACAATGCCGACATGAACACCACGTACCATAGGATCCAGGCGTAGGCGAGAGACAGGAGAACATTAAATCACTCTCTGATCGTGCTGGGGCTCAATATAAGCCCTCAGTGGCAGCTTTAGACTTCGCTACTGCTGTAACTACCAGATGACGAGCTACTGCTGCTATCTTCCTCGGCTGCCTGTTGAGCTATTTTCGACTCTTTTCTCGTTTCATCTCCATCATATGGGCCCTTGAACATGAATCCGGAATTCCCGTTCCCATCATAATCCCAGAACTGTGCCCGCAGAACGCAACCTGCCTTACCGATCCGTGTACAAATGGCTGGATACAGCCTTCCACGAATGTTGTCAAATGCTTGGCCTTGAATGTTTTTCGATTTAGTTTCATTCTTGTTCATCATCCAGCAGACGTAGGAGTTTCTCTCACTTACCAATGACTGTTCCATTCCTTGTATAAAACGCGATCCCTTGGACAAAATTGACTCCACAGCCAATGACGTCGCCATTGTCAAAGCCTTCGCTAAACTTGGCCCCAGCCCTGGAGCCGCCGTAGGCTTTCCCATCGTCATGATGTACACCCCAAGAACCGTCAACAAAACCAAGGTATTCGTCCTCCAGCGGAGTGTCTTCGCGACAAAAGCCGATACCAAGCACGCTGTGGGTCGGGGCCGGCGGTGTAAGTACATGTTTTGAAGGCAAAATCTGTCTTAGAGACTAGAAAAACTTACTCTGAATCATCGAGGTTATAGACAATCGTGACCTCAAAGTAATACACACCGGACGCACCGGGTACCATTGGGTGGTCAGCACGAGCAATGCACTGGGGGTATTCATTTTCACGGGGCGGGTCTGTAGAAAGGAGAGATGTTGTTAGCAATCAATTATATCTTGATAGAATTACCATGTCGCATACCTTGAACGGTAATCGACAGCGGATTGGGTTCGCGAAGTAGAGCCGTCGCGTGGTCCGACGCATGCCACTCACGGGGCACCGCCTGAGGATCGGTTGTCTCCAGCGAACGGAATAGTGGGCCATGGCCGAGGTTCTCGCTGGTACTGGCCAAGATACCTACCTGATCATACCTCATGGCGGTGTAGGGAGGGCTCCAGTCGTCAGAGTCGGCCAGTTGCCAGTCACTATCCAGCTCCTCCAACAGGCGCTCGATAAAGCCTGGATTTTCTCCGGCTATAGCAGCATTGACAGCCAGTCGCACCGAATCACGGCGCCGAATACTATCACCGCAATCCTGGACCGCTTTGAGGATTACATCAAAGGAGTTGCGGCTAGATCCCAGCGCAGCCCAATACAATGAGTCCCTTCCCCGGTTGTTGGTCATCAGCGGATCTGCACCAGCCTTGATAATGTCTTCTACAAGGTCATCATAGTCCTGGCGGATAGCATAGACCAGTGCTGTTCTCCCCAATTTGTCCTTCGCATTCACGTCCACATGCCGTGAAATGAGACCACCAACCATGTCTGGGGCATGAATCACGGCCAACATGAGTGGGGTTCGCCCGGCAAAGTCCTGTTCGTCAAGATCAATCTCCTCTCGATCCCACAAGATTTCGACCAGATCCAGACTCTTCCACACGATTGCATGAGAAAGCGGACCACGTCCTGATGGGTCTTGGCAATTGATTTCCATGCCGTGCATCAAAAGCTTGTTGAAGATTTCAGTATCGCCTTTCTTGACTGCAGCTTCAGTGGTACTTTCCCTGCCTTCGGCTTGGACATTCGGATTCGCACCCCGAGACAATAGCTTTCCAACATACTCAAAGTTGCCACTGTTGATGGCAGCAATCAGAGCTGTGCCATATCTTCCACGGCTGGTAGAGTTTGGATCTATATCTTGACCCAACAAGAGATCAACAACGGCCCAACTGTCATTCGCAATAGCCATCTCAAGTGCTGTACCTTGGGGTCCCACGAAGTTTACATCAGCGCCGGCCTCGAGTAATGACTCAATACAATCTTGAGCATTCTCACGAACAGCGGCGCAGAGAGGGCTTCCGAAAGTGCCACCTGTTATGTTGACATCAGCGCCGTGCTCTAATAGCAGACGTACGTAATCATGTGACCGATTCGCTGCTGCTGCCTGTAGCGGTGTGTGGTGTATATGCTCATGACTGAAATTATTGACTCTAGCACTCCGATCTAGGAGCATCTTCATGATTTCTGTGTTGCCCGATTGCACCGCAGCCATCAGAGGTGTTCCATAGCGTTGGCAGTCGACCTCCAAGTCCGCATTCTTTTCGACAAGACATTGCACGACTTCGAGGTTTTCATCTAAAATGGCCACGTGGATTGGGGCAATACCCTCGTCGTCTCTTGCATTGATGTCAGATCCACGAGCAACTAGTAGTTCGACGGTTGATCGAGATCCGCTGTCTCCTGTAACGTGCAAGATTGTTTGTCCCTTCTTGTTCCTCATTGTTGGATCCATGCCTGCGTCCAAATGATGCTGAATGATCTCATGCCCTCGATAATGATCTGCGGCTTCGTAAAATGCTGGATTTCCTGCCTCGTTCAGTATCCTTGGATCTGCGCCGGCGTCCAGCAGTAATTTTGTAATGTCGCCTCTGTCATAAGCTGCATGGAGAGGCGTCCAGCCATTCGACCTTTTCTGGACGTTGACGTCTGGCTTGGGCGAAGCATTGAGGAGCTCCTGTACGGAATCATAAGAGCCATCGTACGCTGCTTTCCATAATGGTGTAACCCATTCATCGTCGTGTGGATCAATGGTGGCTCCCCTGTTTAGCAGAAATCGTACAGCACCTTTTGAGTCATGCTCGGCTGCCCAATGCAGTGGCGTATCTCCGGATAGGGTCCTTGCCTCGATTTTGGCTCCATTTTTGCATAGCAGCTCCATCAAATCCACTTCGTCTTTCTTCGCCGCCTGATGAAGTGCAGTAGCTCGCGGGCTACTGTCATCATTGATCATCGGCCATTTATTGTGCAAAAGGACTGGTATACACTTCTCGCCGTCGGCTTCTACGGCTGCATACCATGCATCTTTTGGACCTTGGAGGTCCTGGGGCGTGTGTTTTGAGAGCAAAGGGAGAAATGCCTCAAGGGTCTCGACATGGCCTTCTCTAACAGCGAGGATAAGCGCAGTATCGCCATCATCGTCGGTTGAAAGACATGCATCTTTCATGTCTGGATGCTCCAGAAGTGCAGCTGTTATAGCCGTATGGCCGTATGAGGCAGCCACGTGAAGGGCCGTCTGGCCACTCTTGGACTTAAGATCTGCTCTGGCACCAGACCCACGCCGGGGATTCAGCAGGGTCTGAACTGTCCACAGCCTCCCAGATCTAGCTGCACAGTGCAAGGGAGTCTCCTGAGGCTTGTTCAGCGCATTGATATCAAAGTCGGTTGTCGATTGTAGCAACAATTCGACGATGGCTTGAGACTGATTGGCGGCCGCCCGGTGAAGGGCCGTATTTCCTTCATAATCCTGAACTGCCATCACTTTTCCAGAAGCTAACAACGTGGCAACAACTTCAATGTATCCTCTCTGGGCGGCCCATAGCACTGCCGTCGAACATTTTCTTTTCGAAGCATACCGATTGTCCTTGAGTAATTCTTGGACAATTTCAAGGTGATTGTTCCTGGCCGCAATGTGCAAAAGCTCATTTCTCTCTTTTGCAGGATCGAAGGGCGCCGACAGCTCCGGTTCGGCAGCTTCGTTCTGATTTTGAACTGCGTGTTCAGACCTTGACAGGAATTTGCGCAAAACAACAAGGTTCCCACCCATCGCAGCTTCGTGAAGTGGGGTGTACTCATCATTTGAAAGTGATTGATCGTCCGCCCCAGCGTCTAGCAAAATGTCACATATCGATTCGTAGCCGCTATATGCGGCAATGTGGAGTGCTGAGCGCCCATCCACTAGTCGAGCACCGATGTCCGAGTGTTCCAGAAGTAACTTAAGCGATTCCTCAGCTCGTCTGCCCACCACAGTCAGTAGCGGCGTCCAGCCTCCAAACGATTGAACGTTCATGTCGACGCCTGCGTCAATCAATAGACGAAGTGCGCTTGTGTTTCCTGTCGCTGCAAAGCAGTGCTGCATCGTGTACCCACCTGGGGGATATTCAGGCACAGCTGAGATATCGGCACCCTTCTGAAGCAGAAAGTCTGCTACTCTGATTCTGCCCTCCCGAGCAGCAATTAAAAGAGGTGTATTTCCCGCGGAACTCTGCTGATTGATCAACTCCGGCCGAAGTTCAATCAACCTTTTGATCATACTTATGGGGCCATGTCTTACACTACAAGATGTGTTAGCAATTGCCTATTTGGGTAGGTAAATGAGTTTGAAGCAGCTTTTTCAAGCAGTTTGTCTGAGTCTGCTCTCTCGCAAAACCATTTTGGGTAATGCTTGCTTATGAGACAACCCAGAGAAGGGGATAAACGACACTGGAAGTTGCTTACGCCAAACAGATTATATCGGAGGACTCTGCTCCATAGTCCAGCAGCATTTCGACAACTTCTTGGTTGTTGAATATCACTGCGATCTCGAGAGAATTGGAACATATCTTGTTCAATTCCTCTTCAGTATGCGTTGAAGACTGCCTTTCTCTCCGAACTATATCAACAACAAGATCTGTAAGTCCAAAACGTCCAGCAATGTCCAATACATGGTTGAAATCGATATCGATATGGCCAATGTATTGATGATAGAGTCGTGACCAGATATTCAAATTGTTCTCTTTCTCAAACATTGTAAGAATACGATCTTTGACCTCTGGCCGGCCACGCATCCTTTTGTAATGGTCCGGCCAGTGGGACACAGCATATCGACTTAGACCTAAACCCGGACCTTCGAGGGGAAGGGGCTTAACATCGCCATTATCTGATATCACTGAACTCGCTTCAGTGGCTGAAACGTCCTCATATTGAGGGGTAGACTCGAAGACAAACTCGAGATAATCGAGCAGTCTGTCTAATATCGCCCCATCTGGATCCTTACTATCATGATTGTCTTGATCGGTGAAGGCATGACGCAGAGATTGATGCAATGGATATACCTTGCTGCCAACGAGCTTGATCAATGTACCTCTGAGACACCGGATATCTTGGCCGATGTTCAGTGATATGTTTGCAGAAAGGAAATCGCCCGAGAGCTGACCGGGAATGATGAGAGCAGCCACAACAGCGAGTTCAGTCTGATATAGCGGACGAACAGCGAAAGTGATCCACTGAAGTAGTGGCAGCACCGGGATGGCGCACCGTTTCTGGCCATCATGAAACGCAAGCTTGTACGTGTCGGTCAGAGACATTGTCAACTTGCCGATGTAGCCCAGGATTTGCGCACGAGTGGTGGGAATCTGAGCAATTTCCAGAAGTTTCAGGCTGATTGTAGCTTGGAGGAAGGACGAGTTTGTTTGAATTAACTTTTCGAGGATGTCGGTTTGTCCTAGGGCATACTCAGGACGTATGTGAATCAAATGCTCAATTTTTGAGCCAATGTATCCCTCAAGCGTGGACTCATAATTTGCATCGTGGATGATGTCAATATAGCGACAGTTTGGTTTGTTGTCGCCCAAAGCACCAATGCTATAAGCTTGGTCTTCATTGATAAGCAACAATTTGCAAACGCTTGACAGGTCCTGGCGCGTTTTGAGCAGGTTAATCAGCTCTGTTCCATCTGATGACTCGTTCGGGAATGATCCGTGAATGGCAAAGAAGATTGGTAGATTGGGAATGCCCTCCAACAGGAACAGTAGTAGCTGTTCCAACATTTCCACGCTGAAGACGGTCTGGTGTGTAATCCAGGTCGATATCGGCTTTCCCCTTGGAAATGCCGATGGGCAGCTCAGAAGAATCTGACGAATGAGGGAGATGTATAAGTCTCTTTTGGGTAGGCTCTCCAAGCTTTGGTTTACGAAGGCATATGTGAGAATGATTGACGTAGGAGTAGTCTCTCTCAAGAAGCTAATGAGGCGAGAAGAGGCCTCGATTTTACCAGATCCCGGAGGACCAGATATGTGAAGAAGTTTCGGTGAATCTATTTCGTACGATCGCCAATCAGAGACAGATTTATGATGGAGAATCCAGTCAAATGAGTTCATGGATGGTCTCGAAAGTCGTATCTGATGATTTGAGAAGCTGATCTTTGACAAACGTCGAACAAGACTGCGGCACCCGCGAGATTCCACTAGCAGAAGAACTATTAGCCGTCATTGCACCTAGGCACTGATGTTTGCGAGGAGGGGAAATATACATCGTGGGTCTTGAGTCCATGAGTTGTTAATTATATCGAAGATGTGCTCGCTTATCGTATCACCGGGATAGAATCGCCACAGGTCTTCTCCTTTGTCGGTTGAGATCAAGGTTGTTGGCTCACGAGAAGGGCACGGTGCATTCAAAACGACCTGCCATGAGCAAAAATGAGACTCTTGAAACGATTATCGAGAGGTGCAGATGTTTGAGACGTGGAATGTAGCTGTTGGATACCTACCGGCGATTTTTGTGATGACATTTTATCGCAAATGTCCACGGTCCTGTGGTGTGCTTGAATAGCAGCGAAAGCCCAAGATAGCTCTTCAAGAGCACCTGGCAGCTCCCTCAGAAGCTCTGTAGGGGAGTTTGAGCTCAATCCAGCGCTGGATAGTAGATGTAGCAATTGATGCTCCCACGAGCCCGGGTCAGCCCCGATCTTCACATCCTGGAAGAAGAACTGGTGTAACAAACTCAAGATCAGCCAATTGGAAGCTCTTCTTCTAATCAGGTTCTGGACTTACTAGCACTTCGGCATCGCTGGCCAAACTGCCGCACTCGGCATCCTCGGAAGCGATCACCAGTGCCTATATAAACAAAGTCAGAGGACAAGATGATCTTGAAAATTGAAAGGGACAGTTCATACCTGCTTTGCCAGAGCGCAGCCCAGATCGTGGCCAAGTATGACACATGGCAGGGCTTGGGCACTCATGAGCTCATCATGGGCAGACTTGGTCTGCATTGGAATAGAATAAATTAGACATGGTTGATACATTTGGTACAATACTAGGCAACTCACCAATTTCCGCCGATCCTTCAAGATTGTGTCCAAGAGGCACTCTGCTCTTTCTTGAAAGCTGCCGTCTCCCCATCTTGCATGCTCAGGAAGGAATGCGAAACTGGTCACAAGTGCTCGTGGAAATCGCGTGGACCAGAATTTGGTCGCATTCTGGCAGGCAGTTGAATCATGCCCAATACCATGGACGAGTACAAGGCTGCAACGTCAAGTCAGTAAAGAGGTATTCCCTTGGATTTGAGCAGCCGGACATACTGAGTATCTTTATCGGCATAGTTCTCCATCACATTCATATGTTGTCGCCAGACTTGAGCTGGATCGATAAAGTCCGCGACAGTATTCTTCCCGGCGCGTATGAGAAGCTCGAGATACGAATTGAACCACTCTGCTTACCTGGCTTTGGCCCCTGGCATCGGCTCAACTCCGCCGTGTGTGCCGAGTATATGGCCTGGGACGTGACCCAATTTGTGCCGCGCACCAGCTCATCCTTGATAGACGCATGATGAAGAGGGGGTGCACTGCCTGGCGCATCGCACATAGGACCTACCTGCATCGTCGGCAAAGCTGAAGCTGATGGGTTGGCAGTTCAGTGCCCAGTCGGTGCCAGGGTGCTATGTACTAGCGCTACAATTATTTGGCGGGGCCGCCCGGCCAGTGTCAGCTGCTGCATCATTACAGGCGCACACGAGCCCGTACGTACAGGGGGCTTGGGGGGAGGGCGCCCTGAAATAGACACTAACCCCTACCACTTAATGGTACGTATACGTAGTACCTAATGCACCATCATGGCACATGTGCAGGTCGCACCCACTTACGATTAAGGTACAACCTAGGTACCTAGGTTAGGTAGGTACGAAGCATATTGAACGTTTTACTTCACCTAGATCCTCTGTGAATGGCTTCTTCATGGAACTGCTTGAATGATGTGCTCAAATCTTCACAAGCATATCGTACAGATTACTTGCAGTGCATTATTTTTAATCCTAAGATAAAAAAAAAACCACAAGGGTTTGCAAAGGAACAGCGCAATGCAGGGAGAGGAAATCACAAACCACTACATTTTATTATATCAAGCCGGAACCTGGATAAGTGTCGCGATGATCACGTCAGCCTGTTCCTTGATATTGAGATCTCGCATGTTATCCAAATCGACCTTGTTGGGGTCGAGGGTGGTGATGCCCAATTCCTCCAAATCTGTCTCGTCATCCAATTCTACTGGGTCAATTGCATCTGGGTTCTTGCGCCCAAATAGCCTCCTTATCTTGCTCCCAAAGTCAACGCCAGTGTCTACTTCGATAGTGAAGCGGAAGGGCACATCGTCTCGGCGTTTCAATAGTACCGCTGTACGCAAAAAACTCGGGATTCCCTCCTTTGTGATTTCATCTTCATCCAGCTTGAAAATGACGCGATTGTCTTTGCCCCAACCGCCAACGACACGCTTCAATCCAATTAAAGTGGTTGCGTGGGATTTTTCCTCGACTTTGGACGTTTCCCACGTATATCCGACCTCGCCGCCGACTCCAAGGACCGTTCCATTCAAGCCAGCATTGACAGATTGCTTCAGGTCTCTTGACGACGTGGTCTTGTTGATTGCAAATTGACCAGACGGCGAAATCGCAACGACCTCGGGTCGGTTTCTCAGGTTCTCGCTAGCATCGTCAAATGTCAGCGTAATGGTAGCGCTGCTGAACCGCCGTGCGCGCTCGACACTGATAAAGGTGAATTCGAAGACCAGAAGGGTTGCGGGGTCACCATCTTCAGTGTAAGACCCATGTGTAACGCTGACAAGGGTGGCTTTTAAAATCAAAGCTTTGCCTTCGTCGATCAAGACAGACCGGGCTTTATCGCCAGGCAAGTTTTGCGTGCGAAACCCCGAATTGGGGTCCCCTTCCTCTAGAAGAACAATGTCGTCTGATCCCATGTTTTTTTCTGTTGTTTTAGCGTAAGTTGATCTATTTGATTAGAGGCGAATGAAGAGCACTTATTGTTGGGTGTCTACCAGGCTGAGGATGGAACCTTGTAAGATAAAGAAAGCATCTTCCGAGGTAGCTCCACTATCGTAGGAAGGTAGATGTACCATTCATGGACCCATCGAGTCGCTTACATTCATTCCGAATGCAGATTCTCACGCGCGCCCCTGTCGCCGCCGCACCAATCAACATATCAATCTACAGCGGCTACCTAGCACCAGCGAATCCTTCAACGCTACTATACATGCATGGCCCCCAAAATGGGCACATTGATCCTGCAAGAACCCCCGGGTCTATCAGCAGCCATTGTCGGAGCTTCCATGCCGAGCACTTTTGCTCGCAACAGTCTGCGAGCCTGGTCTCCTGAGCATTTGCAATCAATCAGGCCGTCTTTGCTTCATTGCTACTCATGTTTCTGGATGCTGTAGCCTATGTACGTTGTAGCACATATACTTTTCTATCTCTTTACTTACTGACGGCCAGCATAATTCTTCCTCCATGAGTCAACTATCGACAACATGGATTCTGAAGCGAGAGTGGTGATACGCTCGAAAGCGTCAAAAGAGGCCAAAGAAGCCAAGGAGGCCAAAGAGGCGAAGGGGTCCAAGGACTCCAAGAAGAAGCCGAGCCGTTCAGGGGAGACATCGTCGGCCAAGAAGACAAGGATATCGCCCAAAGAAGTGATTGAAGCGGCATCCAAGGTTGATTTTACCGATCGGAAAGAAAGAGAGGTCTTTGAGAGGGACTACAAGCAGAGTTATATGCGTCCTTTGAAGTACAAGACCGTTCTACACATCCTAGCCGACAATGAAGACTGGGATGAGGATACATACTGGTCAAGCGAAATGTTGCGCCAGTTTCTAGATTGGTTTCTTGAGATCAACCATGACTTGTTGGAGAAGAAGAATGGGGACGACTACACCCCGTTACACCTATCCCTTGTACGCGGCAACGCTATTTTTGTCGACGCTCTGCTGAGAGACCGCAAACTCAAGAATCTGAGCAAAGTTCTCCCAAGCACGTGCCAATATGGCAATCCACTACATCTGGCAATCAAGAATCGACTGCCCATTGGTCACCTGATGATGATGGTGGACAAGTGCACGCAATTCGAGGGCATGTTCACAAAACGCGAAGAGAAAACCGGACAGACGCCGCTCCATATTTGCATGTCCATGGACTTGAAAAAGAATGATGAGGATGAAGGAGAAGATGACCACGACCTTGGTAATGAGGAGAGCGAAAGTGACGGCGAAGACGAAGAAAGTACAGAAGATGACGAGTCCCATGGAGGAGATAGCGATGATGATGATTATGAGAAGATTGACGAAGGCGGTGGGGCAAAGTCCGCGTCGACGATATACCGAGGTGGAAGCAAACACTCTACACTGACTAGGACACCGTCTGGGCTTGATCCTCTCCCGATCCGCACCAATACAACAGGACACAACTCCAAAGTGGTGACAGTCCAGTCACCAGCAACGCCAGAACAAGGCGAAGCCGATTTCAAGGCTACTCAGGAATTCCTCAAAGTAGTCGAATTGCTCGTACAAAAGCATGAGTCTGTCTTGGAGACACTTAATAAAGCCTCTCGAACCCCGTATCAGGAAAGGATACATCAATTAGAGCACCACATCAAAACCAAGGAAAAGAACGTTGACGAGAAACAACTCCAACTTCGGATCACAAAAGACCCCATCGCTTCGTACATACGATTGCACTGCGTGAGAAATTTCGATCGGGATCGGATCATGCGTTGTCTATATCGTCCAGGGCAAGGTACGCATGTGTTTCACACACTGACGAGCTCTTGACAACAAAACTTACCATTGTGTAGAACGTCACATCGAGTTTGATCTGGGCGGATTCCCACATGCAACAATTTCGGAGGACTACCTCGAAAGATTGAAGAGCCATTTGAAATTTGAGAGCATCTTGAAATATGTTGCGATCCCAAAGTTGACGATGGATTATCCAATACGTAAGACTAAAACGTAGGTCTAGCCCCGGATCAACTGTGCGTTCAGTAAATACTAAACTCGAATCCGCTGTGAAGAAAAAGGACGAGTGTCAAGAAAGGTCTCTCGGATTTGACAAACGTTTTCAAGTGGTTGGAAAACAACGGCGTCGAGCGGATCGTAAGGGTCATGGTCCTAGACGATAGAAACCCTTCTCATTCCGACACCAGTATTCAACAAGCTCTTTCTCGCTTTCAAATCGAGACATGGGACTGGAAGAAGCTGGATCTGAACACTGATGTTATTTCCAATTCGACCAAAGTCGTCCGCGAAATCTCTTTATACTCATCTGGAAATAATGCAGTCCTCATGGGATGGTCAAGCAGCCAGGGACTTCCAAACCCGATCAAGTTCCCCAGTGTACGTTCTCAAGTCAGGAATCATTATTGGTCTTTTCTAATGACAGCATATCCGCAGCTGCAAAAAGTCAATTTGTTCATACGCAAGGTACGAATATTAATTGCCCACGAATGATGGCAGAATTGTATTGCAGTGCTTCTTGATCTAACAGATTGCAGGGCCTCGAAGACAAGGAGACTTTGAACTCATACATCAGCAACTTCAAGACGGCAATCTCTGACGCGACTCAGGACAGAGTAAAGGTTCAAGAGATACATGACGACGAAGACAACAGTTATACTTCTGAATTCAAGAATTCTGGCGGTGCTACGCAATTGTACGTGATATTGGCCTATTTCTAGGGACAGGTGCTGATTGAAAGAAACAGGGATAATACTTGGATCGACTCTCTGGCAAAGTTCTCGGATTTCCTCAGAAGTGCTCCAACGGCTGAGGAAATCAGCGAGATCAAGATCGCTGTCATTGACGATGGTGTCGACGCATCGCTGGCTGTGTTTGACGATAAGATCAAGATTGGAAAGTCATTTTGCCTATATGCCAATTCTGAGGACCTCCGAAGTCCTTATTATATCCCATCTGGCAACCATGGTACTTGCATGGCGACTATAATATGCCAATTGTGTCCCAAAGTCTCTCTATACGTGGCAAGACTCGACGAGAGAACGAGTGCTGATGGTAAACATCGGCAGGTCACGCCAAAGTCAGCAGCAGAGGTAAGTGCATTTATCCTTGGTCTACCCAGTATATATCGCTCCTGGATGGACACATCATGTCTACCCAGGTAAACACTGGTCCATGCACTTCAACGACTAAATACTAATTGGAATATATAGGCCATTCGTTGGGCCACAGAGTGCGGCGTCGACATGATCTCAATGTCTTGGACGATTGAAACACCGGTGGAGGGCAATAAAGACATGGAGTCTCTCAAAGCTGCGGTTACAGAAGCTGCGCTTAAGGGCATTCTCATGTTCTGCTCCACTAGTGACCAAGGCAAAAGCACAAAGGACTACTGCTACCCAGGCGACTTTCCTGACCCATTTCGTATCGGTAGTGCCACCGACACAGGCGAACCCAGCGCCTGGGTCAATCCCGAAAAGGTCGACTTCCTGCTGCCCGGAAAGAATATTCCCTTCAAGAACAATGAAGGCAAAATTGTTTCGTTCGAATCAGGCAGCTCGGTCGCCACAGCAGCAGCCACTGGCCTGGCGGGTCTACTTGTCTGCTGCAGCCGGCTACTGAAGGAGGATGGTGCATCCATGCTCAAGAGTGAACACATGAAAAAAGTGTTCACAAACATGTCACAATCGTCAGGGTCAAAGAACCACTTTCCACGGGCACGGGAATTTGTCAACAGGTTCAAGAGATTTTACGAGTCGGCGAGGACCGGGAAATCTATCAACTCGTCATCTGTGTCTAGCAGCTTGCCTGCAATCTGGGATGACAAATGTGACTTTGCGCTGAAACGCGTGATAGACAATCTTCGAGACGCTTATTAGTAGGTGGTATAAGGCTTGATCTTATGTGGATCATAGCAGTACTATAGGAGCCCTTGGTTCAAATATTTTGCTTCCTTACATTTGAGGTCACCATTGAGGTATAGAGTTGCTGAGAACCTGCGTAGGTAGCCTTCAGCACAACTTGGTGTGCATATCAGATTATGGCCTTTATAGAAAGATTTGTAATAGAGCCTAATGAAAATGAACAACTTTGCCGCAAGGTGGAACAAGAACTGAGATTCCATCAAATTCTTCATCTCAACCAGGGGCTCAGAACGTATGGAGTTCAGTCGGGACATCATTAACGCCCCCGCCCATTCGCCAGTGAGCAGGATGATGAATCCAATTACACGAAGAGTCCCACCAAACCAATGACTAGTACGAGACGTTGCACCGTAACTGGGTAGACGATGCCGAGTAGGTCAGCACGAGAGATGTCGTAGACCAGAGGTATCCTTGATGCCAATATTGATAACCTCGGCAATGAGTACATGCCGACATTCGAGTAAAGATTGAGTTCATGAAGACTCCCAGGACATGTCTAGCGTAACCGATCGCTAGAGCAGGTTGGAAGCATCCCCGATCGAGGGCAGGCCCGGGAAATGCGGCCTCCACGAAAAGATGCTGTCCTCAGTGGTGCGGCCGTATGGTACCATGTGGGTTTTGGAACACTCCAACGGAGAAAAAAAAAAAGAGTTCACGACCCTCCAGGTGTTGAAGAATTCTTAAAGTGGGCCACGCTGGCTGACGTTGGGGCAGCCGAGCCGGCCATCAGCACGGAGTTTGAGGCACGTCAATGTCTCTGGCCACTACATACGGTAATAGCCGAAACAGTACGGAAGTCGCTAAGAAAAGTTGTTTCCCTTCTCATATGTACCTGAGTACCGCTTGCCTGCTGGGAGTTGTGGTTGACGGCTGTTACTCTCGGCCGGGAACGAGAACGATTCTCTACGCTCGTGATTGGAAGCCCCTGTAAGCAATCTGCTCTTCGAGGCACGAAGACTGTCAGCTAAGCAAAGTGTCTCAGCTCAGCCTACAGGATCTGAGGCGCTCAATGACTTTGAGAAGCGACTTCCGTACGAAAGTACGAGATAGTTCGTCTTTGATATTCTTTTTTCTGGGTATCGTTCATGTCGTATGGACGTGATGGAGTTGTAGCGCCGCCTATTTTGCTGCATTTGTGTTGGCGAAAGCCTGTTTCGAGTTCCCCGTAGACAGGAGATGAAGTTTAAAACCGTTGAAGAACAAGATCAAGTGCATACAGATCCGAGCCGCTGTGATTGCGAATCTGCGCGTTGAGGGCTGCCGGTAACCTTTTCCGGCAGAAACTTGACTTTGCCAAACAGCCTCTATTGTCCCATCTCCTTGGTCCCTGGTTCATCTGACCATTTAGAGCCCGAGATTCATATAAGGTTCAACCCGTGTGCATTGGCGCCCGGCATTTGACGTGCTTCAGTTCGCCCAATAGGTTCGTCTTCCTGACCGGTCCCGCCCTACCCAGGATTCGGAATCAACCGCATGCAGATCCTCGCCCCCATCCCCCGTAATAGCTGCATTAGCTTCCTTATATCACTTATCGTGCCAATGGAATAGACGTGTGCCCTATTCCATAAGGTTTCTGGGCCCTGTTCAGTTTTCGTTCCCGCATCTGGTAATCATTGCGACATTTCCGATAAGGCATTGACACTGGAATCTTTTCAAAAGTTGTTGGCCGCGACGTGCTCCATATCCCAGCAATCCCCTTATTGCGGGGACGGGTCTCTATCGTGGCTGAGATTATTAAGTGGATTCATCAAAAGACTAGATTCTTCTTCTTATCCCTCAGATTGTCTGCCCTTTTCTTGAGCGGCTCCATGTTCTCGTCCAATGTAATCGAACTCACGTCAACGCACTCGCGCAAGTGATATGCCAAGGCTCTTTGGGTTTTGCGTTGATATTAGTATTGTCCAAACGATGGTTAAAATGTGAAACGGACAGATGGTAGAAATACAACAATATTGATACTTGGTGCCAGGAAGCAGATGATCTACAATATGTGGTTATGGTTAGTGGTGGCAACGCAGAAGGGCTAAATTTCCAGCCACGTGCAATGGCCCGGACGCCCGACTGGTGAGACAGCCCCAAGGCTCCACCTCAGCTTAAGAGTCAAGGTTGAAAGGCATCAATATACACCTCCTCCAGCATAATATACGTTAGATTGGTACATGCCCCATATTTCTTTGCCCCGGTGTGCCTGGTATCTTCCCTCATTTTTTTTTCTACGGTACGATACGGCTTATAGAAATTTCTAGCAACTAGTGTGGGCACCAGGCGAAGAACCTCTATAACAGCCAGTATTATGCAGCACAAAATATATGGAAGAGTACGTGGTAAATCACTGGATCCAAATATGGGGCTTGGTACCGATCTAACGTTTATAATTCTTGAGGGGGTGTACTAATGCACCATGCCGTGTAAGCTAGGGTTTGTGCTAAGGTGAAATCCCCAGGTTGCCTACCTATGCAGTACCGCAACGCTAGGCAGGTGGGCTTTTCTCTCTGTTTTGGTTTTATCCAGCGTTCATAGGCTCATATATTATGTACTATAGGATCCTTGAGCCGGTTTCATGCAGGATGTGGGGCCGTCATGATATTTCCACCCCGTCCTATAGGTGCTCGGCCGTGAGATGAGTGTACACGAACCACGCCGCGGCGAGATCCGAGATAGTGTTGCCGATCTGAATTATGGGGGATCGCTACCTGCTCACTGCTTAGGCACCTGGCCAGCACGTTTATGGACAGAAGTTCATTACAAAATAACTCTGTACGCTTTGTGATACCATTCCGACATAAGGCAATGAGACTCTGTAATGGGCATTTCAATCTCTCATCGTGCGCACTTGACCTGTCTCTTTCTATTCAAGTCCAAATGAATGCATGGATTGCATGTTGGGCGTCGATATGAACTGTCATCTTATTTTAAGAGTTATTGGTGTGGTGAATATAAACGAGCGTATCTAAAAACTGTATATCGAGTCCTGAAAACGAGTTATAATTACTTGCCACATCTCAAGTCCACTGATATATGCCAAGCAGTATTTTTCTTGGTCCATCCAACAATGTGACCGTTGGATGGACCATCTCTCCAATATTTGAACGTTATAATAAGCATGGGGGAAATGGGGAAGGGTCGAGATTGTTCCACCGACACATTATCAACCTTTCTGCAGCGTCAGGCAAACTTGGCGAAAGCTTAATATACCACATTCTACCTATTAGAAGGAAGCGCTAAAATCAGACCTTGCTCCTTGAAATTCGAGGAGAAGCTTCGTAGGTCTCGCATCTATGTACCATAATCGTTGACCGTCTTACGACTCTTCAGTCAAGCATCACTGCGTTCAAGGTTTCGTCATTTTGGGGCCATAATACGCCATTTGTGATTTTGTGAGCCCGTTTGCCGTGCATTGGAAAACAAAACTTGAAGATTATTTTATTTTATTTTAATTGCAACTGGCAAACGCAGAAAGGTTAAGATCGCCATGTTATTCTGGGTTACTCAAAGCCACATAGTAGCTGGCTACCCTGCTAGGTTATTCGGCGACCTGATTCATTCACTGCCTTAACGTCCTGCAAGGGGAAAATCTAGGCAGGGATCCTAGGAACGCCCCGTTCCGTTCTTTCCCATGGACCTGTCGTGTTATTTTCGGCTATGATATTGACTTACAGATACATGTGAAATCAGGTAACGAGCATGTTTAATCGTATACTATAAAATAATAAAGGCGTATATAACACACTGCACTAAACATTATAAAAGTCGTTGCATGTTCCTAGGCATTTGTTATCCCTTGCCATATACCAGATACGGGCCTTTCAATGAACCAAATGTATTCAGCTTTTGTAGGTAGACAAACGCAACCCCAGTACTTGATCAAACTTTGGTCATTAATAGAATCAAGATAAGGTTTGATGTTTTGACGTGGCATATTTTACTTCGGGTCCGAACCAGCCGTGAGGCATCCAGCAACAGCATGTAGGCGTACATGACTAAAGCACGGGTCCATCCCAACAACCCACAACATAGCCTTTGCTTTTGACACCGCATTCTCACCAGTATGGCCGGCGGGCCTTTGCTTGCTGCTATAAATCCCTCCACTGCATGGCTTTATTCATAACAAGGGGTACGTCAAGGAAACATCTGCAAATGCCTATAAACCGTTGCATTACGGATCCCCCTTTTCGATCCATGTTTGGTGTTTCAATGCTCTCAGCACTAGGTTTGAAGCTGGTTCATGGAATTCTTGTGATTCAAGAACTTTGACCGTTTTCATCATTCATCCCTTTCCTATTCAAACTGGCGAAAAGCCACCAATGGAATTAAAAAAAAAAAAAAAAAAAAAGACGTGAGAAAATAATCCCGACAGGACATTTTGAAAATGGTATGCCGTGTATCTAGAAGGTGAACTTGCATGTTGGAATGCATGGAAGCCGACAAATCGTACCATAAAAGCCTTATATGAGGATCTCGGATATATGGGTTACGCCATCCATGGATCATTCATCATAAACATTGAACAAAGCACGGTTGTCCAAAGAGACAACACGGAAGGTCCACATTGGTGGACACCCTGGTCCTCAAAACTGAGACCATTCTTTCAAATCACCACTTTGCCAGAGGGAGAAATTCAGGGTCCCCCATGGGGATTTCGTGAGTGGAGACGTCATCAACCATTCAGGCATCTGCCGAAGTATTTTCTGAAATAAGCCACCTTTCCGACTGCCCGGCCATCGATCTCCCTGGAGCATACTGCGGGGAGAATGGCACGAGCTTTTAAATCATCGGTCCGAATCTTCAAAACTATCTTCAGCTCGTCGAAATGCCGGGGTGCACTATATCCACATGATCCCACCATTGATCTACCGAATGGATCGTACATCGAATGATCAAATTGGCAGTATATCTAGACACGAAACCGTTTACAAAAAGTCGACCAGCAGAACGTCTGACGGGCTAGTACAATGACGCCAAGTGAACTTTCGACTATAGTAGCGCCTGAAGACGACTGGAGAACGATGAGCGATTTTGCAGAGAAGAGAAGAGCACAGAATCGACTGGCACAGAGGAATTATCGTCAGTGATCTCGCCAAAGCACCATAGAAAGCTCCCACAAATTCTGATTTGGACCAGGTCGGAATATAAAGCAGAGAATTCGAGACTTGGAACAACAAATTGCCACTCAAACAAACATGCTCACAGTTCTAGGAACGCCAGAAGCAATAGGAGGCAAATCAGTCAACTGGCCGTCGCAAAACGCGGAAGCTCTCCAGGAAGGCTCTGAGGCACAAATCGGCTCACAATTGTTTATTACACAAAAGGTAATTCTAACATTCCCTTCACAATATTTACGGGACTTTACAATAACAAGCGGCCTGATCTAGGAGTCGAATAATTCTACCTTCATAATATCCCAGGAAACGTTGAGAGCCCAATTTTCACAGGACTTCGGAACGCTCTGGTCGCAATCTCAAGGTCTACAAGCCCAGAGCGAGATCCGAATGCAAAATGAAACTGAAGAGCAAGTTGTCGTCGAGCCATCTATTTCAGTGACAAATCAAGTCAATCATAATATTGGTAAGACGATCCGAATCACCTTCTACTTTTTTGTGAAGCAATAGATGATTTATACATGACATCTATGTGGAAGGATTTCGAGAATATCGAATACAGATTTCGAAAGAGTCGAATTTGTCACGGCAAGCTTGCTGACCCGCCCTCAGAACTTGAAGGACATCAGAAATGTTGCAAAACCTTTGAGCAATCTGGCGACTGGCCAATGGATAATTACGAAGAGGGTGACCTTTTGGAGCATTTCGGAAGCGTGGGCTCAGGTGGCGCAGGCGCCCGTACCAGAGCAAGAAGCTCCTCATGGTCTGAATTTGCTAAAGGAGGCGCACACCGGCCGTCACCAGCAGGGTGGCCCGGGCGTCCCACGGCCGCGGCAACACTCCAGCAGCGAATCGAATTCCTCCTAAAATGCTCAGAAGAGGCAGGGTTCAAGGATTTCGACACAGCTATTCACAACTATTATACGGCAAAACCAGATGGCCCCATCTGGTCAGGGGCCCGCGAATCGAGTGAGAGGCATGGGCTGTCTGAGCTTCTTATAGAAATCTGTGCAGGGCGCCAAAATTGGGCCGGCGATCAAGCTCATCGTTGTACAGATCAGGTTCTGCACTCGGCAGAGGAGGTCCTGCTTTCCGAGCTTCGCGTATTTACCGAGTCCGATGGGATGGATTTCATGAACGTTTTGAAGTCGTACGGCCTTAGATCACAGTCAATAGACTGGAAACACACGGCCAGTATTCTCCAAATAAAGGTACGGTAGGTCTGTGGAGTAATATACCAAGCCAGGTTTCACTAACGGTAACAGCTGCCCAACATATGGCTATTTGTGAGCGCCTTATTGCACAGGTCCACAATGATGCATGGGCCCAGAATGCAAATACAACTCACAGCATACATCGTTTCCATGTTGTATATCGTCAATACTTCTTCAGCAACCGAGTGCCACCGGTTTCTCGATGCAATAATATGATTGCATCGTAGATATATGTAGTTAATAGACGCGGTAAAGGTAGAACCAAAATAGACATCCAGACGCTCGGTACCTTGACACCTGGGTTTTGTAACCAAATTAAATCATTTACGTAGTCTCGTATAGTCGTAAAATGTCTTCGTACTCGTGATTCTCGTCGCTTGTGATGCTCCCTCCAAGTTTTCTTCCTGCCTCTTGCGGAATCTTGGGTGCGGAAAGCACTTAGGAGTAATGCTTATGGGACAATAGCTCCGAGCTATATGCAGGATAGAGGCAGACCGTGCTAGGCCATTGATAGCAGCCGTATATTTTGAAATCAGAAATCCAAGGTGTAAAGCGAGTATGGTTACTTTTCATGTTACATGTATCAGATATTCCCGTGGGGGTCAATTCTCGATTTATCACCTATTTTGCTCAATCAGCTGTTCCTTCCCCAACATGATTTCTTTCTGGTTTTTTTTTTTTTTTTGGAAAAGGTGTGGCCACGATGAGGCCATCGTGATTCCAAATTGTATGGATGCGAGCTGCCAAGAAACCAAGAGCTACGTTGGATCGGAGAATACCTCTAAGCTCGATATGGTCCAGAACGAGGGTTTGGAAGATGAAAAGTTCCATAATTTCAACTCTTTACCGCAACGGGTAGTTATTCACTAACATCTTCTCTCTGGCTTTGTAGGAACACTTTGATCATAGCTCCGCTAATGATACTCAGTACCCTAGCAAGTGGCCGGCCGAAGCCAGTATTCCGGGCTACCGCCAATTCATGGAGGACTTTTTGGAGAAGTGCCATGTTGTAGGCTGGAAAGTTCTGGAGCTCTTGGAGCAAGGTCTCGGCCTTCCAAAGGGCGAACTTATGAGCTGATGCTGTGAATCTCCCATCATTGACGAACTCCGCATGAATTATTATGCTCCCATCTCCACGGAGAAGCGCGCCACCGGCAAGTACCGTCGTGTTTGGCCACACACGGATTTTGGAGTGATCACGCTCCTCTTCCAGGACGATGCGGGCGGTCTCGAGGTGCAAGACCGCTACAGCTCCAAGCCCGATTCTTTCATCCCCATCGTGCACGAGCACCCCACCGAGGTGAATGTCTATGTGAGCAACAGTCTCGAGTACATGACGAACAACTATCTCAAAGCGGGCCTGCACCAAGTTGCTACCCCGATCGATATGCAAGACGTGGCCAAGGGCACCCTACCAGAGCGTCAATCCCTTGCATGCTTCATCAAGCCTAGACGCGAGGTCAACGTTGGACCGATGAAGCAATTTATCACGGCGGAGAGACCTAGGGCCTACGAGGACTTGACAGGCCTAGAGCTTCACAGGGTCAGAGTTGGAAAGCTGTACGGAGCTCCCGTTGAAGCGTACTAAGGCTAACACATCACTCAGCGGCCAGTGTGGCAGTCCATTTCTGTATTTCCTTTTTCACCCACCTGGGATATCTCGAATACCACATTCAGATTGAGAGAATTGCCTTTATACAAGTCTCATTCTTGGTGGTTCGAGTTATTCTGTCGATTCGTTCGTTGCCATTTCTTGTCTCGGTGTATGTTAGATAGCTCTCCAGCACGTCTCTTCTATCACTCGCTAGAATTATTTCAAGTCTTTTCCTCTCCTCATTTTCATTTTCCCGAAATGTGCCATCATCATGAAGAGCTATAAACTCGACTTGCGCTTCCATCTACGCGAACTGCAAGCATCAGAGGCTGCTTAACCTGAAGCGCCCAATTTACATATCCACCACGTTTTTCTGAACTAAGGCCATTACACGCACGGCTGTAAGGTAAAGTACTGTAACACCTCTTTCATGGTCAGACACTTTGCATAGTCTACTTGTCCTGCGTGACTGCACAGTTTCGATACTCCTCCCTAGGAATCTCGCAGTAATGTTAGTGCAGCCCATTTCTCTCGCACTCTGAGTGTCCGTTTTGTTCTCGTGCTAATCTGGGAAGCAAGACACCGTCTCGTCAAATCTAAATCAATGCTTCAATACAGCATGATATTCCCGCAACGCAGGTGTACCCATTCCCAATCAACGCTCAAGACCTGCGAGCCAACGCAATGCAGCTGAACAGAAGTTCCTCTCCTCCATCATCTGCATTCAACTTGATGATCCTCTTGATGCCCATGTCTAGTGCTCGCGGACTGAGAACGTCCTCGTCATCGGTGAGACTTCCTCTCTCCAGAGGACCCATCCTGGAGCCTTCCAGCTCCCAGAGCTTTCCACCGCTCTTGACAAAACTTACAAAATGCCCACCCTCACGCTCAATTGTGGGATCCGCATCGCTGTCGCCAGCCTGCTCGACTGACTTGTGGGCAATCTCGAATGGCTCGTTATTGTATAGCATCTCGGCGCGTTTTTCCATTCCCAGAGGTATGGCAAGGCTTCGTATCGCCGCGAGGTCGGAGTCCGACTTGATAAAGTCCACGGCTGGACCGTTGATCAAGCTATGGAGCAGACCGATGGAGCCGCAGGCGTGGCCAATGGTCTGCTTGAACCAAATGACGGGCTCGTCAGGGCCGGAGCCAGTGTATGGCTCCTTGCCAGCGTCCTCGGCCTTGCGGCTTCGGTCCCAAGACGGTGTAAGTGGAATGATGACCAGCAGAGCCAGGACTGGTCGTGGGATATGTGCGAGTAGTTCGGGTTCATCTAGAGAATATACGTCGTAGAACTCGAGCTCGGACGATAAACCCAACGTTTTTGCCAGCTGGTTCATTACGTCGGGGTGGTTCTCTGCCGTTTGCGATGAGTTTCTACTCAAAAGTTAAGTGGCCCACGGTGGGCATGAATTTCTTACCAAGCATTTTCCATGTCTTGCCTGCCATCTTGGTGGTAGTGAAGACTTTTAAAAGCCAAGTATTTTGTGAGGAAAGCGTTGTTGTCAAGGTTCACTTTGATAAGATCAATGACTAGATCTCATTACGGGAAGTGCGATGTCGCGATATAAGTATGAGAGTCGTTGAACTGTGCTCGCGGTGGCAGTTCTTTGTACGCGCCAGTGCCTGCCTGGGTTTTGCAAGACAGATAACACCTCTCCCGCCTACTAGATACCTAGGTATCTAGGTAGGCAGGCACCTACTGGGTCTACGCAATCGAATTCAACACCCATTTAGAGGGACAGGTATGATTGGTGCCCAAGCAAGCAGCCCGCAAACCTTAAAAGACCCTGAGATTTAGTGCCCGTTAGAACCGCAGGATTCCCTCACGTTTACAAAACGCCTAGGTACACTAGACTCTTTACCCCGCGCCCCACCCCACACACAAAACGCATCGGATGCAACAAGGCAAGCATGAGCTCTTCTGCTACGCTACTGTGGGGTTGCGGAAACGCTACTATAAATACAAGTTGAAACGAGAATAGGTGATATATTGCTAAACCCCGAAAATGATACAGGATAGACACTAATAGGGTAGAGTAGCTTCTTTTAGACTTGGTGTTTCTGCCTCACCGACGTCGTTGTTAGTTTTTCATTGGATACTTTTGACACCTCGTTCCACGTATAGACCGACCGTCTAATGCCCGCGCACCAACTAGATTCCAATGTACAGCGAAGTAAGGGTCTAGAAATGAAAAACACCTCGCGCGGCATTTTCTTCTGAATCAGGACTACACATACTGACTCTACGCCAGAGTCTAATATATATATATATATATTGTGACTAGAAGATCATGCGGAGCTATGGATGCATTAATTGTTCCAAGGCCAATCTTGCACCGGGAGGTCATCCTCAATAGGTTCAACGCCAGCTGCCTGCATCTTTTCTGACACAAATTCGGCAGATTCCCAGACGCGCAGTATATTTCTCCCAATGATTTTCGAAATGTCGTCGTCGGAGATGCCCTGCTTGATCATCTCGGTCACTAAATCGGGAAAGCGGGACACGTCGTCCAGTCCTTCGACCGCCGCCGGCATACCACCAAAATCGCTCCCAATGCCGACGTGGTCATAGCCTATCAGGTCACCAATATACCTGACATGGCGAACAACATGTTGCATCGTGGCGTTGGGCGGATAGAGCTGTGGGACCTTGTCAGGGACAGGCGTTCCGTCCGGCCAATAGCAGCTGACAAACTCTGGGACAAAGGTCACCATGACGATGCCTTTTCGGGCACGAATAAGCTGTAGGACATCGTCGGGAGCGTTGCGTGGATGTGGACATAGCGCAAAGGCGTTGCTATGGCTCATTATTGGGGGCGCAAGCCGTCCATCCCACCCACTCGTTTGCTTTGGAATGAGTCTGCGGACCGACGGAGCGGTGGATCTTTCGAGTACCTGTTGTGCTGTAGCAGCGGAGGCATGGCTCAGGTCAACCATGATGCCGAGGCGGTTCATCTCAACGACAATCTTCTCGCCAGCCGGGCTGAGACCGGACCATTTTGGTGGAGCCGGTGAATTATGGTCGCTTCCGGGTAGTCGAACTATGGCAGCGTCTGCATAGGCGTTGTGGCAGTTGTGGGCCAGGGTGGCATAGCGCACTCCTGAATGATAGAATTCTCGTAGTTTCGCCGTCGAGTTATTAATCATGTGCAGGCCCTCTAGGCCGAATGCTGTGGCAATGCGACCAGATTTGAAGATTGAGCCGACGTCATGGCTCGCCGACGCCGTCTCAAAGTTGTGTGGGTACTTTCCTTCGATCCGTTTGAGCACATCTACAGCTGCTTGGGTGTTCGTAGACACTTTTCATATTCTATCAGCACATGGCCAAAAAAGTTGTGTACCTAGCGACTAGCAAGCAACATACTCTTGGCGAGATATTCGGCGTCATAGTCGTTTGTAGGGCAGTCAGTGAATATGCCCCAGAATATGCCGCCTACTCGACCTTGACGTAGCTTGACCAGGTCAGTGTGGCCATCTAGCTGTCCGTTTTCGAAAGGCGTCGTGAAATTTGAACTGTTGATGCGATCTCTCACCAGCCATCTCAGGTAGTAGCTGAGATCATTGTGGCCGTCTGGTCACTAGTTAGCTCTTCCCATGCCATAGGACGGCATGAGTGGAACGACCTGCCTATCAGAGGGGTATCACTGAGAATCTTGTATGTTCTCAATTTGACTATGTCGTCGTCATCGGCCGGCAACTCATACGAGCCCAGCCACAATCGCTTGTATCTCGATGATAAAGCCAATTTGTACACGGCGAGCGACACCAATAAAGATAGTATCAAGATGAAAGACCTCATAAAAGCACGTTTGGTCTGGATCACCAGAGGTCGGTTGTTCTGGTCGTTTCGAACTGCACGGTCGTAACCCGGCGCAAATTTATGCGTGTCACTCACGCAAGCCGCCATCTCTCTTCGCAAATTTCGTGGGGAAGTTTGAACATTCAAGGAGAGCTTAGAATCCAGTTAGGCTGAAGTGGAGGTCAGAAATCCAATGCAATGGTGAGGGGTCGTGTGGTGTGTTACATTCAACCACGGACATCAGCCACACAAAGCACACGCATTTGTCTGCTAACATGCATATACCAAGGCCTAAAGGCTCCTGAGACACGCATTTTTCCTTTTACCGCAATTTATCAAAGTGCAAAACTACCGCTCTAAACATGCATGTTGCCTGGGAGCGATTATGATCATGCTTTGACTCCTTCCTAATCTGGTCGGCTAGCTGTTCGCTTCTTATTTTCTTTTATGATTGGTCATTCATTCATCTTGTCTTTGCACCAAATGTTAATGGACAAGGCAGTAATCACACTCGCATAATTTCTAGTGCGAGAACTTCAATCAAATGATCTTATCGGGCTACTTCATCGCCCTGAATGCAAACAGAAATTAATTTAATGTACGTATGAACTTGTACCATTGATAGCAAGATTTGGTCAAATGGACAAAAAGAAGAGCAGAAACTACTTGAACTAGCCCTCTGTTTCTGGCATAACAGCCTCCATGCGAACACCGTACACGAAAAGGAAACATTGTGCATAGTGGCGAGTTCTGGCGCTTTATGCATTCTTGGGCTTGTTGAAAACCAATGCGCGAAGCTCAATGCTCATTCGCGGAAGTGCATCGGATGGGCAGCGTGGATGGTGAAAAGATGCATGAGGTGATTCTCCTCAAAGTCAGCAAAAGTCACTGTAACTATTGCGTGAGAGGCAATATACGTACTGGATGCCTTGACAGATGGATCCGAGTCAAACATTTTAATCAACAATACTTCGTCTTTTTCCTGCTTACTCAAATAATACCATTTTTGGTTCGGGCTGTAGTACGGGTAGATGGTTTCTCCTTTAAAATTCCTCCGGACGTGGTCGCAGGCAATCAGGTCAACATCAGACACGGAGGTGCCATCGCAAAGAGCGAGCGGGTAATCTTCTACAGGTCCTCGGATAGGGCGCCAGATGCTAATCGAGATCAAGTTAGTTATCGATCTTTCTAAACGTACTCCTGGTCTGTAACATGCAGTAGCACATACTTGATCACTCGAACCCTGCCTTGCAGAAGATTTTCTGCGTCATCAGGCAGATGAAGTTGAACTCGTTTGAGGACACTGGCTGCACTTTGATCTATCTGCTTGTCAGCTATCTGTAAAACCCGCTACTTTTTGAACTATGTTTCTTCTTGCCCGGAAAGAAACACGTGCAAATCTGTAACGTACCGATATGTACGTTCTGCGAAGGTAGCAGCCAGGTCGTGAGATCATTCATGTCGAGGCGACTCCGATTCCTTGGAGCTGAAGCATCGCGTAACTGTTACAGTAAGCCAAAAGTCTATTACGGGGTAACAAGGATTCGTGGGTTGTTGTCATGACATACTCGCCAATCAAAGAAATAGACGTTGTCATAACCCTCATCTATGGTCTTGAGAATCTCCCTGGCCTCGTCGAAATAGCACGATTCAACCTTTTCACGATCCTGAAAGTCGGATGTGTCCATCTGAGTAGGCCACAGACGACTCTCGAACCCATGAATATCAAGTGAAAACGAGTTTAAGCTCTCGCGCATGTCTAGGAACGTTTGTTCCTGGACCTCAAATTCCAGATTCGTGGTACGTGGATCAGCGGAGCTCTTCTGGACAGGATAATATATCTTATCCATGGCCAATAATCAGTCATGGCTTCTCGCCGGTAGTCCGTGGAGGGTATCTTTCAGCTGATTGATGCCTTGGCTTTCGAACAACCAGGAGGAAGGAGTTTCAACCTCTTTTGACTCGTCTGGAAGAAAACAGAGGGGAAAAGGAATGGCATTTAGATACTCACTGTAAAGGGCTTCTCTCGCTGATAGAGCGGGAGTCTTTGGAGATACTCAATTTTTGCATTGACGGTACCAGAAGCCATGACTGAGACCTGCCGAGGGGCAAATGTAGAGATATTACAGGGCTTGACTGAAAGCCTTGTTCAGATGGGGCAGGATATTTTGGCTTATGCGACTACTATTGAACGAAATCCGTCCGTGATTCAAATTGGATACTTGCTAATCAACTCGAAGGACTCCTCCATGCTTCTATATTCTTGGAGTCAGGTGAACTAACGTTACATCAGAATCTAGGCAATATACCATATGACCAGGAGAATCCATAAGCGAATGGCCGGGAAAGGCATCTCCTCGCAAAGTGAGGCGATTTCGACCGCGCTACCAGGATTTCGCATTGCCGAGGATCAATCTACGGCGAAGCAGGCGGAGTTTCTCCTAGGGTGATATCGAGGCACATTATGTTGAGCATACCACAGCTCGTAGGTGTGTATCTTTGATCAGAGGTCGAGAGTCTCGTCTAGCAAAGCCTTACGCTCGGGGCGCAACCGAGCATAAATAGGGTCCTCGCAAGCCCTCTTTTCTTTTTACTGTCTTGTCTCCCCTCCATGAGGCTCGCACCCCATTCTCATTACTCTTCGCACCAAACTATTCAGGCTCGACTCTTCAAGACAAAAAAAAACCAAAGGAACAAGTCGCAAATATGACGCAACACAATGAGAATCGTGGCCCCATCCCTGAACAGCCAACAGACGCAAAGACGCCTGCCAAATTACCAGCCTGGGCGCAGCAGACACTTGTCGAAGAAACTCGCTCACAGCCGTGGAAGGAGCAAAACCAGGTGAAGGATGATGCGGACTTTGCTAATGGCGAAGACGTCATCCATGTCCCCGAAGAAGCTGTCAGAGTGTACTATGACCATGGCACTCTTGCCGCTTGAGTTGAATCGTAAGTTGTTGAGCTGACCTCGACGACTGGTGTTGATTGAATTACTGATGTTGTGTCGAGGCCTTGACCGCATAAGGCCAGTATAGGGGCAGCCTGGTTGCAGCTCAGGATCTGAATTATCATCATCAGTGCGGGGTAATGATACACGCTTGGTTGGGGGAGGGACGGAGCCTTACGATCTTATCCATCATGAGGCCGTTACTGGCCGAGGTGTGTTACATTTGCAATACCTGGATCAGGGTTTATTAGCTCGTTTCGCCGTATGGCTTTTGGCCTCTAGGATTGTGAAGGCTTGCATTTATTGTTCATATGGCCGCGTGTCATCGCTTGTGATTTGTTCGAGCCGTTGTACGTAGCTTTTCGCCCGGCATGAATGGTGAATATGCAGGTTTCCGGGTGTGCTGCGTGATATTTGCCACCGTCGAAAAATAACCAATTTTGCACTTTGATCCCAGTTTTTTTCTTTTTCTTTTTGCACTTTCATCCCCATAGGCCAGCTCGTTTTTGCACTTTCATTCCGGCAGTGGAGGCGGGGTATTATTCCTGAGTTATGTATGGACGAATAGATGCCGCCCCAATCGTTTGATGCCGTGGTAGCTCCCTGCTGATTGAGTGGGGTTGACAAGAGCGAGGTCAATTTCACAAAGCCTGAAGAGCATCGGAAGGAGAAAGAAATTTGTCTTTGTTTCTTTCATGAGAACAAGTAGTTTATCTTCTCGATGGGGATATGACCCCAAGTTGTGATGCCTTTAGGACTCTGCTGCTGTCTAAGACTGGGGCATCGAACATCGTCTGATCACGGTATCCCGTCAACCCATGAGCTAGGCATTCGGCCTAAGGGCAGTGACAATGCATCCTCCTCGGGGTCGCGCGATCTCAACGTCGATGAAGGCTCGGATTACCAGCATGATGCCTGGCGGCGAGTTCTCGATCAGAAGCGAGCAGAGCTCAAGCTGCGAGCCAAAGACCACAAGAAGCATGGCATTCTGCTTGGACTGGAAAATGGAAATGCCGACCAGGGCGGACAAGATCCAGTAACAGCTGAGAACTTTCTGCAGGTTCTTACGGCGAAGTACAACCAGCATGGTGTCGCAAAGAGAATGCGCCATGTACGGGACATGTTTGCCAGCGTGGAACCCTTCATTGCGGCCGTTACGACCTTGGCACAAACAGAAAGGTCAGCGGCATTGGTCTGGGGCAGTCTCTGTCTCATCTTCCAGGTTCGTGATTTCAAATAGCACCAAGACGAAACCAAAAAGGCGCGGGGAATAGAAACAAAGCTGATGAACTCTGATTACAGTCCGTACTCCGCTTTGCCAACTTTTGGGAAGAAATGAGACGAATGTTCCGCGAGCTTGCCGACGATTTACCCCGTATACATGAATATGCACAAATACTGCACACGCCTCGCCTGCATGACGCACTACGAGCCGTCTATGCAACATTTATAGATATATGCCTGATGACCGCAGATTGTCTCGAAGCTGATAAGTGCTGTGCGTTCCGTCCCGTCCCGTCTGCCGTGGCCCATTACTGCTATCAGATGCTTTTTCTGGGATAGGATGGCATAACACGAGTGTAACATTCCCCAACAGAAAAGGCTAATCAGTGACTTTTCAGATGCGTTAATGTTGATCGAGTGGTCATCCTTCAATTCAACGTTTACCCGCAAATGCGGTGAACTGCGGGGAATGACACAAGACTTCGATAAAGAAGTCAACTTGGCCAGGACCAAGGAGGAATCTGAGCATCATAAGGACATTATGAAAGCCCTCCAAAACGCTGGCTTGTCTGCCGGCAATCCCATCACAAACATCACCGTGCCACAAAACCCGAAGTTTACTGGAAGAGACGAAACCTTGGCACAGCTGCGGACGTGCCTCGAATCCAGATACGAACAACAAAACCAGGGGGCCCCGGACCAGGGTGAAGCAGACGAGGATCAAGAACCAGACTTGGTGAAGTCAACTCGATCATGTCTAATTCACGGTCTTGGTGGCCTGGGAAAAACGGAAACCGCACTGGAATATACGTACAGATTCCGGCGTGATTACTCGCACATATTCTGGCTTCCGTCTGAAAACCATGGTCTACTGCAGGAGGCATTCCAACGAGTCCTTGAAAAGCTGCCAATTTCTCAGAACAGACGGACGGGAAGCTTGCCGATGACGAAGAAAGTTGAGATGGTGAGAGAATGGTTACAGTCCACAGGTAAGACACGAACCCTCCCCCACAGTGTCTATCTGCCGCCAACTCCTAGAAATGCAGAATCAAAATGGCTTCTCATTTTCGACAATTGCGTGCAGGCTTCAACGCTGCAGGACTTTTGGCCAGCTGGAGGTCAGGGCGCCATCATTATCACATCACAAAATCCATTGGTTGGGCATATGACAAACAACAGCATTGCATTGACGCCCCTGCTCCCATCGCAGGGTAAGAAACTGATTCAGAGATATTTGGGTCGAGGTGATTCTGAGCAGAAAGATGCTGAGCAACTGTCTCGTTCTCTTGGCGGCCTACCCTTAGCTATTGTCCATTTCGTAGGTTACGTTGCCAGAACGCAATGCCCGATCCGAGACATCAACCGATCGCTTGATCAACGAATGCATTCCAGTCAAATTTGGAGGAATTCCAATGCGGGAATTTCTTCTGATACAAGATCATATCAGCTTACTCTCGACACGGTTTGGGATCTTGCCTTGCAAAGGCTGACACCTGACGCCCGGGAACTTCTGGATTTGCTCGCACTGCTTGACCCAGACCAGGTGCCTACAAGCTTGTTCCTGGGGGATTCCGGCGATGTTGCTACACTAGACGCAAGTGATACGAAATGGCAGCCTTGGTCAACAAATAGGTAGAGTCACCCTCCTTGCGGACGTATCTGTTCTATTAATGATAATTGATTAGGTTCAACAGTGCTGTCGAGTTGCTCTATGAACGTCACTTAGTTGAAAGATATGCACTAGCCGATGGCGATTTCCTGCGCACTCACAGAGCGCTACAGCGTTGCATTCTACATCGCCTTGACGACGATATTGACATGCGTGACAGACGGTTCTCACAAGTGACGAAAATTTTGCGCAATGCTGTACCTGTTTTCAACACGATAAAACGAAGCGATGAAACGCAATACTCGCAGTTCGCAGCTAGCCTACCCCAGGTCACAGCATTCCATGATATCTTCAAGCAATCGGAATCGCAGCCACAGGGCACATTTGAGCTTACTTCAATTTTCGTAGATATTGCCTACTACACGTTTGCACAGGAAAATCCTCATCTTGGAGAACCGTTCCTCTCCACGGGTGAAGCAATCTGCAGAGACTTAACGGAGAGTTCCCCGGAGAAGGCCCGAAGCATGCTTGCCGACATTCTATCCCAGAGTCACAACTACATCCTTGGATGGGGGCCCGAGGGTATGCAAACAGCAATCGACTTGTCATCTCAAGTTGTAGAGATTCGCAGGTGGGAGAAAGCCGCGGTCCCCAAGGAGGAGGATATGACTGAAACGCAGATTGTCAACTATGCGCGAGCAGTCACGGATCACGCCTGCTGTCTGTGTTGGGCAGATAGGATAGATGAGGCCGCGCCACTCTTTGCAGAGAGCATTGAGATATACACAAGGTTGAATAACATCATCCGCAAGGCACATGCCTCAACCTTTCGGCTGTATGTTTACAGTGCCAGGCACATGGTGACGGAAACTCGCGAGCTTGGGAGGTGGGCACTCGACCAGATCGTTGCACAAGCCGGGGACGAGAATCCCGTCACGACTCCCGCAAAGTTTCGCGTCGCCCAAGCGCTATACGTGATCGGAGATGTACGCCAGGCGCACGACCTTCATAAGGAAGCTTTTGAGAAACGCTCCAGCACACTCGGCGACGACCACCATACGACTCTAGCCAGTAGATACTGTCTTGGAGTGTGCCAACAGCAGTTGGGAATGCTAGAGGAAGCCGAGTAAGTAGAAATATGTTCATATTCCTTGTCTGCTCGCTGACACAGCTCGCCTCCAGGGAGAGCTTCAGAGATATCCTGACTAGAAGAGAGGCCGATCGGGACTGGCGGCAAGCGGATATTGGACGAGTTCAACTCCGACTTTCGACCATTCTGAAAACGCAGAATCGGACGGGTGAGGCAAAGAGATTGCAGCTGGATGCTGTACAGTCTCTTGGTCATACCAGTCAGGTGGGTGAGAAGACTGACGCAGTACTACTAAAAGAGCTTGATTACCTTGTAGCACTATCGCATGGGAGAACCACTGGTATTTGGAGCAATGGGAACTTTTGAATGGGGAAAAGAACATGTATGAATCGCGGTGATTGACATTACTTGAGCTTTATTGTACTTCAGGAGTAATGCGGGCTGTATAATTTATATTCTGCGTCTGATACAAATGTTATACACCCAGTATCAAAAGAAAATACACTCTTTTATGAATGCTCCAGTGATGCGATGCGTGAAATATGACCAAGGTTTAATAATGATCTGCCAAGAATCCTGCTGCCATAGCAGCGCACTGTCCTACCCGTCCATGGCCATATAGGTTCCGGCTCGTGATCATTTTCCAACAATTGTGAGCATGCGCTTTGCCATGGTCGTACAGAAAGAGTCCACGCCGTGAGACTCTCAATTGGTTGCAGCAATTACGGCCCCAAATCCGTCCTAACTGGGTACTATGCTGCTAGTAAGTGCTGTGCTACAAGGCATTAATAGCAACTCATGATACATGGCGCATTAACATAATCCACGGCCCCGATCTCAGCCGCTATTGAACCCTTGACTAGCTAGGTAGCTACTACTAACAACAGTCAATGTAGCGAGTGCAATGTAAGCATAGAGTACAAATCATTGAATATGGTACTTTGGACAATTGCCCGTTTTGGCTGACTGAGCTGACGGTACTGAGTTAGGGCGGGTTTGAGGGATTTGCGGTCTCGTACGAGGACGGTATCTAGATAGATAGATAGTATAGACTGGTTGGCTAGCCACCACAGCCACAGTGTGGCTGACATCTGCTAGCATCCGAACGCCGGAAGGCGTTATCTACAGGCTATCGTACGAAGGGAAGTATTCCCTTTCTACGGTATGTTGAATATAGATCTATTGACCGTTACCTGGTGTACAAAGTGAGATCCATCTGGATGGTGAAGCCATTCTACAGTTGAGCAATATTTCTATCTACATTAGGCATCAATTTGAACCCTCTTGGCGAGAGGTTCATTTTTTCATCGAGTGCTAAACCAGATTTGTGACTGGCTCTCCATCAACCCAGCCAAAAACATGGTTATTTGATATAGATTGCGCGAGTTGTACTATTTACTTTAACTGATATCAACGTCGGTCCTTGGCATGTGCTCGCACTGCTTGGTCCAGAACCTTGATAAACGTTTGGACATCCTCGAGGTTATTATAATGAACCAGGCTCACGCGAAGCACACCTCCATCGTCCAGTCCAAGAACGTCGTGCACAGGTCTGAGCGAATAAGCGCTCCCTGCCAAGATGCGGCATGGAGACGACTCGTGGACGGCCTTGGCAATCACCTTGGAGGACACTCCGTTGACGGTGAACGAAACAAGAGAAACTCGAAGATTTGGATCGGACGACTTTTCGCCGTACAGAGTGAACCATTCCGGGTGTGAGTTGAGATAGTCGAGAAGTGGCTGGACAATGACCACCTCGTGTGCAATGATGGCATCCCATCCGATGCGGCGAATGTACCGTACTATTTCAAGCACACCATCCTCATATTCGAAGCAGTTCGTGCCCAGGCGGACTTTGACATCAAGGGGTGTGGGATCGATGTGGTAATGATTCAGACTCGCCATGTGTCGTTGCTGGACGGAGCTGCGGGCGTACATCTGGGCAAAGTGCGGCCCGAACAACTTGTACCAGCTGAAGAAATAAAAGTCCACATCCATTGCCTTGACATCAATAGGCCGATGCGGAGCCCACGCCACCCCGTCGACCGAAATCATGGCGTTAGGAATCGTGTGAACCAGATCTGCGACGGCACGAACGTCGTGTATGGTACCGAATATGTTGGACACATGGCCACAAGCCACAAGCCTAGTCTTGGGGGTAAGCAGCGGTCTTAGAGTCTCAACACTGAGTTTGGCATTAGTATTGCCTTTCCCACCAGGTGGTGACCACCACTTGATTTCGATGCCCAAGGAGCGTGCGAGAGCCACCCATGATGTACAGCCGGCTTCATGGCACAAGGTTGAAACAATCATTTCCGAGTCCGAGTTTAGCAGCGGACGTAAGGAGTTGGTCACGTTGCGAATTAGACCACTGGTTGAGGGCCCAAAGGCTGCGCAGGGCTGTTAGAAAACAGATTTTGCATGAAATGCAATGTTATTGACAGCGGCTACAACATACCGATTTCGTCAGGCTCGGCATTCATGAATGCTGCAAGTTCCGCATACTTCAGCTTTCGTTCGTCGATTGTAAGCTGGCTGACTTGATCGCCGCCGATGAAGTCAAGTTGATAAGTTGACAGAGCGTTTGCAATGCTGATTGGATCATTAGCCCCGAACCTGGCTTCTAGGTGTCGACTAAATAGACTGAATAATATACTTACGCCTTCACAGCGCCGTCATATACCAAGCTTCCAGTGGCATTATTGAGGGGAATCCTCTCCCCACGCAACGCTGGAAAGTGTTGTCGAATTTTCTCGACATCGTAGGGCTTCGTCACGCCGTTCGTACTGCGAACATCGTGGTTGGGGACAGCGACTGTCATGATTGCAAAGGGCTGTTTGAAGGACACGAAAGAAAATAGTGGTTCATGTGCACTTGAAGACGTTCTTCCAGAGCTGCCTGCTAATTATATATGCGTATAAGCTACTGCAAGAACGCGAAGTGTAGACTAGTGGGGTGTACAGAATGGATCACCAATCTATAGCGCCAATGGAGAAGCTTTGGACGAGTTCCGCCCAAGCAGAAGCGAGAGCGGCTCGGGATGAAGCGACACCCGGCAAGCAATTGCGCATTGGCGCCCCGTGGTTCCAAAATTTCCGTATGGTGTAAGCTGACTTTCAGGAACGCGGGTTTCTAAGCTGACTTTGCGGGCCAGGGGTTTGAGCTGACTTTGCAGAAAAGAGTATAAGCCGATCTTGTCATTAGCGCCATCTTCTATACCATGAAGTTGCTCACTGTCCTCACACAAGCTGAGTGACCACCTTTTTGTTCTCATCCAGCAACAGTCAGGCACTGTCCTTGACTCATTCTCGGTGCAATGAAGAGCCGTGTAACGTGGGGTTTTGTTTACTCTGAGTGTCTACTGCACCTTTAAACGATCATTTGTAATCTTGGACACAGTTATTATTGTTGTCTGCCCACCTCAACTCGGACTGGTCCTTGCTTCATGTTCTGTTCATCGTAGGAAATAGTGACTCGATCACATTTTTTGTGTTGTTGTGGAGACATTATCGAAAACAATCATGTCGTCCTCGATTGCCATCCCGGCGCCCTCGCAGAGCACGCTAAATGTCTTTTGCTCAACCAACAAGGTTTCGCGGGTATCTGTGGCAAAGCTCGCGTTTGCGACTGCGCTCCATCAATACTTTGATCTCCATGAGTTCTCATGTGCCGAAGCTCTTCCAAAATACCACGATGACCGCGCACACGATCCAATAAGCGGGAGCCGACAGGTGCGATACGACTCAGAACTCGCTTCTACCACCTCTATTCGCACAGCTTTCGGCCTCGAAAAGGCAGACTTGTTGTCCGATGATAGCCTTGCTCCGCTCCTCGTCAATCATACAATCAGTACAACGAGGAACGGTGAACGAGTCACCAATAGTCCCACAGCAGGCCTGGTCTTTGCCAAAAAGGTTCCCGCTCTAACGGCGGCCTCACCTTCCAGCCATTCCACACAGCACGTAAGTGACTTTGAAATGTCAAGCTACTCTCACACGTTTCACTGATCAGGTCCTCATAGAACGTGTCGAGCCTTGTCGTATACTTTGACGAAGTGTCGCTGTCGGGACACATGCTTTACAACATGGAACAAGTCTCTGAATTTGTGGCCACCGGCTTTGTGGACGCCTTTTCTGCAGCTCTTCAATCCATCTCGTCAGTCCCCCTCGACACATTGATTGCAGACCTAGACATCTGCGGATCGCATAGTCGAACAATTATATCCAGCTGGAACCAGCATACCACAAGTGCTCCCAACAAACTGCTCCACGGTTTGGTAGGACGAGGTTTCCTCCACAAGCCCGATGCGATAGCGATCCTGTCCTGGGACGGTCAAATGTCATATTCGGAGCTAGACAAGCGCTCAACCAGCCTCGCAGCATATCTCATGGACACTTATGATGTGAAGCCGGGTAAGAAGGTGGCTTTATGCTTTGAAAAATGCACCTGGGCCGTCGTTTCCATGCTCGCGGTACTTAAAGCGGGAGCGGCATATTGCTGTCTCGACCCGAGCCATCCACGCGCCCGTCACGAGTCCATTATCCACATGCTCGACACACCCGTCGTCCTCACTTCTACGCTGCACGAAAGCCGCTTTGATGGACATCCCGTGTTGGTCCCGACAGTTGAGCTCGTCAGTCAAGAACGCCGCTATCAGCCAACGAATGTCCAGCCCAGCGATACATGCATCGTAGCCTTTACCTCTGGAAGTACCGGAATTCCTAAAGGTATCGTGCACACGCACAACTCTTTAGTCACGGGTATCCTATCCAACGCCACTCCGCAACGTATCGACCGGGAGGGTGTTTCAACCTTTCAGTGGTCAAACTTCACCTTTGACGTCAGCATGGTGGAAATTTATGCGCCACTGATCTTTGGTGGGCGCATCTGTATCCCCTCGGATGAAGAGCGAATCAACAACGTGGAGGAGACCATGAATAGAATGGCCGTCAATTGGGCCTATTTCACTCCCTCATTTGCGCGGTTGTTCGCGCAGTATAACATTCCCAGTCTGCAGACATTGCTCTTGGGTGGTGAGGTCGTCACCCCTGATGATATCAATACGTGGTATGATCGCGTCAAGGTCATTCATTGTAAGTTTAAGCAGCAGCAAATGTCCTACTTTTCCTGTTTCCTCGTTATTCTCGAGAGGACGACTTTTGTAATCTCAGAATCTCGGGAGAAATTCCGCCATTGTAGTAAAAGAGACCTGCTCTGCTAATCACTGGGACATAGCATACGGACCGGCCGAGTCAGCTACTTTCTTCCTGTACGAGTTCAATAGTCCCTGTTCCAAAACTGTACCTATCGGACCGGCCCCCAACACCTATTCCTGGATCGTGAACCCCAACAATCCCGAACTTCTGTCGCCTGTTGGAGCAATCGGGGAAATGCTTTATGAGAGCTCTGGACTCCTGAAAGAATACCTCGGGAATCCCAAGAAGACAAAGGAAGTCTTGATTGACGCGCCTTCGTGGAGGCAGAATCTTGATGCTCCTGCCCCGTCGTCCAAGCTATACAAGAGTGGTGATCTTGTACGCTATCTGCCTGATGGTACAATGATGTACATTGGACGGAAAGATACAATGGTGAAGGTGAGAGGGCAACGGCTCGAGGTAGAAGAAGTAGAGTCGGTCATGCGCAAGAGCCTCGGCGGATCGAGTCAAGTGGCCGTCGACTTGGTGGAACTACACGGTAGTGGACCTAGGCTGGTCGCGTTCCTGCAATGCTCAGAGGAGCCAGGGCTGAACGGAAATGTCAACGACGGGTGCTCTGGTACGCATCAGTCGAGCTCTGTACCGGGTAAAAAGATGGAACTGATTGCTCAACTTCGCTCTCGTCTCACTGACACCCTTCCTGGGTACATGGTTCCAAGAATATACCTACCTCTCGCCACCCTTCCGACAAATTCCAACGGAAAGCTCGACCGTGCAAAGCTCAAGGAATATGCTCGGACGCTTTCGAGAAGCGAGTTATTCAAGTACTCTGAGTCTGGTCCAAGCGAGGAAGTCCTGGCCGATATACCCCAGGATGATGCAGTTGCGCTCGAGGTCAGTGAGATAGTTGACAAGGTCCTGGGTAGGCCAGAGTCAAAGGGGGAGAATCCTCTCAAGGGAAAGAATGCCACCTTGGAAAATTTCGGCCTCGACTCGTTGAGCATTGTCTCACTTGTGAGGTCAGTCAATGACTTCTATGGCCTCAAAATCCCAGTCAAAACTTTTAGAAGGGCCAACCTGAACGTTCGGGACATTGCCGAGATTGTTCGCAGCCGCAACAAGGTCGCGCCGCAGTCTGACGAGCATACCAGATCAGCCAGTATCTTGCAAGACATTGAGGAGCTTGACAGGGAATTGGCAAGAGTACAATCTGACGAGCATGCATTGCGAAAGAAGAGGTTGCAGACAGATAGAGACGTGGTATTCTTGACAGGGGCGACGGGATTCCTTGGCACCCAGATCCTTCGACAGCTGTTGGAGCTTTCCAGCGTATCGAAAGTCATCGTTCTAGTTCGGGCGAGCGATGCAAGCGCAGGCCTCCAGCGCATCGTGGCCGCCGCTACCACCGCCAGATGGTGGTCGCCTCGGCTGGTGAGCCGCATCGAAGTCTGGCTAGGAGACCTTGCGCGGCCTCGGCTGGGTGTTTCCGTGGATCAGTGGGCACGCCTCGAAGGAACTTGTAACCAGGAATCAGAGGCAGTCACCGCAATCATCCACAACGGAGCCGTCGTGAACTGGTCCTCGAGCTATGAGCGACTACGTGCGACAAACGTCGTCAGTACAGTGCAAATCCTGCAACTTGCATTGGCGGGAACGGGATCGCTGCGGTACTTTACTTACGTCTCGGGTGGTGAGATGCACCTTTCAAGTGAAGCAGTAGCAAGCGACCCCTCGCGTCTCTCATCTGCAGACGGCTATTCGCAGTCCAAGTTTGCATCAGATGTACTGGTCCAGCGATGTGTGGCTCGCTCTCCCGCCGGCCAGCGAATCAACATGGTCAAGCCTGGCATCGTCATCGGTACGGCAGCGGAGGGTATCTCCAACACGGATGATTACATATGGCGTCTGGTCGCAGGAGTATGTGAAGCAGGGGCTTATGTTGATGGCGAGCACGATGCGGTGGTTTGCCTCGCGGGTGCTGATCATGTCGCACAACGCGTCATTGATGCGTGCCTCGGCAGCCCATGTGACGGCGATAGCGCACCCGGTGCTCTGAAGATGATGGAAGGCGTCTCCGTGCGCGACTTCTGGGGTGTAGTTTCAGAGCGCACTGGACTGGTGCTGCGTGCGATGGATTTTGATGACTGGCTGAAGGTGGTCAACTCAAACGTGTCCCTTAAAGGGCCATCACATCTCCTCTGGCCTGTCATGGAATGGGTGGAACAGCGCAAGGGCAGAATTGGCGACGCTCGTCTAGCAACGTGCAAAGCAAGCAGCTGTACTGGCCACTATCTCGATCCAGACCACGGGCAAGGCACAAAGGCAAAGCTTGTAGAATGTACGCAAGGCAAGGACACCAGAGAGAAGACTCTACAAGCTTTGCGGAAGAGTGTGGACTATCTTTCGAGTCTGCGCTTTTTGCAAGGTGAGACACTTTTAGAGAGTGCAAGGCAGGATGTGTTTCGCCGGTCTGGTATCAGTAGTTAGTTGGCCGGGCTGCAAATTCTTGTCTTTCTTTGGAGTTGTCATGTCTAGATGTCGTTGGTTAGCTAGTTCTAGTCACGTACCTTTCAGCTCGTATGTCGCTCCCAAGTAAATGTCTGCGCTGCATTATATAAACTCTATATTGGTACATGATAAGGGGGGGTATCGTAGCTATTAATTGCTCATACTCATTCTCGCATCTTCTAGTATCGTTACCAAGTTGCTCGTGCTTCCCACGAGATTCGCGTGCTCGGAGCCAGTAAAGTTCCCCAGGACATAAGCCGAAACAACATCCTTCTCCCGGGATCCCCCCGCGGGCCGACCAATCCCAATGCCGACTTTGATGAATTTCCCCCCGGCGCCAGGTTCCGTCAGCTTAGCCATGAGCCCGGCCGACTGCAAGCTCTGCTGCACCGACTTGATGCCATTGTGGCCCTTTGCGCTCAGGTTGCCATTCCGCGGCCTCAGCTGGCCGGGCGCCGTCTCCATCTCGTCGTGCAGCACCACGAGCCCGGGCAGACCAAAGTCTCCCCCAAAAGACCTCGACTCGGCGATGAACTGCTTGTACGCCTTGAGCAGATCCTTTCCCGACACGTTCATATAGCTGGGCGACTGCCATAGCGTGTACTCTGGCCGCCCAACGTCGGCGCCCATGGACACCAGGCCGTTGGCGTAGGGCTTTGACTTCTTGAGCGCGGGCAGCTGCAGGTGCGACTGCAATGCACGCAGGAGAACATGGCCTGCCGAGTGTCGGCTGGATTGGTACGGCGCCGGGTTGCCGAGCGAGGCTATGAAGAGACGCGTTGAGCTCATGGCTGCCCTGGCGTTCCGCTCGGGAGACAGCGGCGGGCTCAACGGAAGAAGAGAGGGAGGATCAGGATGGGCAGCAGCCGAGAGCGGCAAGTCTACCGGCGCTTTGGTCTCTAATGTGGTTCTCTTCGAAATTTGCGCAGATTCTGTAGTGGCCGACTCTGCTATCTGATTTTTTGAGTTGCCCAGTGTCGTGTTCTGGTGCGCGTCTGCTCCCTCCAAAATAGCGGGTTCCAGATTCAAATTCTGCTGCCCACCGACGCTGATATTTGCGTTAGCCATTTTTGCGCAATGAGGAAAATGCGATATTCTCTCTAGTACAAGCGATACCAGTAGGAGACAGGGTTGTAAAAGGTGAAATCAAACAACTTACGACAATTTATCTGCTCTTCGTCCAGGCTCGTTGGGTTCTTATTGAGCCTTCACAGCCTCCCTTTCATTGCCCCTCTGAGTCAACGGCGACGACAAAGCCCATAACAACTGAGAACTCTTTAGGTTTTGCGTGCAGATGAGATGCGCACTAATCCCTTTCTGATTTAGTCTGATCTTCGGCGAGCCTAAAATGGAAAATTGACGATTTCTTGGCGATATGGATGCGACCATATTTTAGAGTGCTGACATGAAATTGATGAAAGAAAACACACAATGAAGGGAAATGCTGGAAAGATTATCAAGATTCGTTTATAGGAGCTTAGGGTTGAATTGGTATGCGCCTCTTATAGGGCGTGAGTGGGTTAAACCACTGCTTTCGAACGGGTAGAAAAAATAAATATGACAGCGGCAGAACATATAAAGCGTTATACTTCTAGTGGACATTGAATAATCTACAATCATGGCTAGTGCCCACAGTAGAGTCATGCGTTTCTGCTTACCAAAGATCCAAAGTAAGCTGTTTGCCCTTGCATCTCGACACGCAAGTCATCAAAGATCTATTGGCTGCCTTCTCTTCATGAGTCAAGACCGTATCTCTGTGCTCTGGAACCCCATCTATTACGCTCACTTCACACGTCCCGCAGGTCCCCTTTGTGCAAGTCGACATGAGCGGTACCCCGTTTTCGTGGAGAACTTGCAGGATGCTCTGGTTCTCGGGTACCCGAAGAGTCCTATTGCTCCGAGCAAGTACTATGTCAAAGGGCTGGTTTGGTTTGTGCGACGATGCGAAATTGTTGCTGAACCTCTCCACATGGATCGCGCTGGAGGGGAGATGGTTGCTGAATAGTCGCTCCACCGCGACCATCAGTCTCTCGGGTCCACAGCAGTATACTAGGGAGCCGGTAAAGTCTCTGCCCGCAAAGAAATGCCCGAGATCACATGGGCCTTGGGTGCTTTTTACCCACACGCTCGCCCTGGGGTTTCTCGAAAGTTCATCCACGTAGGCCATGTTCTGTCGTTCGTTTCCAAGGTATAGGAGTTGGTATTCAGATTCTTGAGCTTCGACCTCCTCAATCATGGCACGAATAGGCGTGATACCGATGCCACCCGCGATGAAAATATACTTGTCAGATTTTCGGAGGGCGAAATGGTTCCTTGGCCCCCGAAGGTCAATTCGTTGGCCCTTTTGAAAGGTGCGATGGATGAATTCGGAACCGCCTTGGCCCTTGTGTTCCTTTAGCACCGCAATCCGCCATCTGGCCCGATCTCTTGGCCCGGAGCAAAGTGAGTATTGGCGAAACCCTTTCTCGCCAACGGGTACGTCAATATGAGCGCCTGGAGACCACGTTGGTAGTTTAGACTCAGGCAAAGGAGAAAAGGTGATCTGAATAACATTTTGAGCCACTTTTACGATATCTTCTACAGATGTCGAGATAACCTCATCTTTGAGTGTGTGGCTCGGCACGTAGGCGATCAAAGGCTCGGCCTTGTCGGGCTTGGAAACAGCCTGCGAATCCCAGCTAAGTAACAGACGGTCGATTCCGCGCCCTTCACTAACTGGGTGATAGATGCGGTCTTCATAAGGAGTCACCAATCGTAGTCCAGGTAGCCTTTTTGCAAGCGTTTGCATCTCTACTCGCAGAAGCAATCTTGCCAACGGAGCTCCGAGACAGGCATGTATACCACGTCCAAAGCCAAGATGCTGACTCTTGCCCTGTTGTCCTACAGAAACGCTGCTGGGGTGCGTGAATTGCGCAGGGTCTCGGCTTCCTGCGTTATAGGCCGCAAATAGAACATCTCCTGGTTGAAAACATATGTTGCCAATCTGGACGGGTCGAGTCACTAGCCGTTTCATGCCCGTTATCGCGGATTCGTAGCGCACAAGCTCCTCGATGGCTGCCTCTGTACTTTGATCATTCTCTGTTGCAATCGTCCAAAGATTATTGTGGAGAAGATGAGACAGCCCCATGGACAGCAGGTTTGTGGTAGTTTCGTGGCCGGCAAGAAGCAATCCTGGTATCATGGACAAGTGCTCAAAGTCGGTCATGGTGACATTTCCGCTATCTCTCTCGTTCCAGATATGACTGATGAGGTCGTCTCTTCGATCGCGCTTTCGCTGCTGAATAAGATCGGCGATATGCTCGTGGAGAGCAATGATGCCTTGGATCTTGTCCTCGAGTGTGCCCACATTCATGTCTGCGTGTCCTCCAAACAGTGCAAGGGACTGGCCGACCCATTGCCATCTCTCCGGATCTAGACCGGCAATGGCACTAATGATCTTCAAAGGCAATGGCAATGCGAATGAGGATTTGATCTCGACTTGGTCGTCTTCAATAAAATCGTCTATGAGCTGGTTGGCGAAACTTTCCATCAACGGTTGGAATCGCTTGAGCCGCCGAGGTACAAAGAAAGAAGCTACACTGCGTCGAAGGCGGTCGTGATCTGGGTTGTCGAGTCCAAGAAGCGTCCCCCGCAAGGGACACTTGCTTTGCAGCCGGCTAACCATAAAGTCTGGCGGGACAGGGACCGTTGGCTGGGATGAGAACGTCTCGGGATTGTCGAGAATTTGGACAATATCATTGTATCGAGTAACAACATAGGCTTTCAGATGCTCATTGAACTCAATGTTGTCGCTTTCCCGCAACACTTCCAGATCTCTGAATAAATTACTTGGGTCGTCAAATATCTCAGGTGCTTGTAGGGCATGAGAATCCTTTTGTTGTGGTATGCTGCCCGATTTCCCCAGGATCGAAGGTGACGGGATATTTGTGACCAGCATCTTCACGTGATTTGGTCCAAGAGAGCTACGACCGTATAATGTTGATCACAGTGGTCGGTCTATGGGCTGCCAAAGGACGGTGCCAACACATAAGGTAGTTTGCAATTGAAACATGTAGCGCTAAAAGGTGCGCATTCAAGTTACCGACCTGCATAGATGAGCACCACCTAAATGGTGATGTCTTCAATCCGGCGGGCCGCCAAAGAAGGATGCATCGAATACCCCATCCCCGAACCGAAGGCCAGATCTAGCTCTAGCGATGTACAGGAGTATACCAAACACTTTTTGTCGGCATGATTCCCACCAAAGTGGTAGGCAGACTCCGAACCGAGCCTAGCCGAACCCGGAGAGAACCCGGCTGTGTCACTAGCACGATTCCTCCCAATGCTTCGAGCTATGCATGATCATACATAAATCTTATATAGATCGTAGGTGTCCAAGCAGGGTCAGTTCGACCATTGCATTGATTGTGTTGAATAGAAACGCCGTCAATCACAAGTGCTTGTGATGATATGCACATCACCATATCGTCCGAGCATCTTGGTGCAGGGCTCACAACTCGCGCTTCGCAATAATTATTGACAGCCATGGGGATATGCTTATTCTACTGTGACTGGCCCGTCTCTGTATGATCGCATTGACAATACACAAAAGCCAGGTTCGACGAGAAGTAGGTTGTTGAGACTGCACAGTCAAGAGCTATGCATGTCATCCAACTTGTATAGTTGAAATCTATAACATGACGTAATACGTCGTGAGCAATTATATATAAGAGTTGTGGTTGCTGATGCGCAAGGGAGAAAGTGGACAAACTCAACCCGTAATAGTCGACTCAAGTCAGTGTGGCTTTGAAGGTCCCGCACCAAATGGTGTGGAGCTGTGCTATGCTCACTGCCGAGACTGACTTTGGCGGCAACTTTCCTCTCCACGACATGCGACGAATGAAACAATATGGCGGCGCCAATAGATGACGTGGCGAGCATCACGGATGTCGTTGCGGCCGTCAACGAAATCTCAAGGTTTTTGGCCCATGAGCAGATTCGCGACACGGCGGATCTCGACAAGTACCTCGCTGCTACCACGTCGGACTCGGGCGGCGCGGCCCCTGTGGTCGATGTCATTGTCTTTTGTGCCTCTGCGGTGCTATATACTGCCGACGGCGTATTTTCCGCCATCAACAAAGTAAAGGAAGCAAGGGGTACGTCAATGCCCTTGTAACTCTGAGCAGTGCTCCTTGCTGCATAATCACGCAAAGGAAAGTAAATGGGCTGATGAGGGTACGGGCGCACAGGGGCACAGAGGCAACAGAGCCCTGCCCCGTACGCGCACCGGCTTGTCCTAGTTCTGTGTGGCGGCATCGGACACTCTACGCATCATATGCACGAGGCAGTTGCACGTCATCCTCGCTATCATGTCCTTGCTGAGCAGGTGAGCGGGAAGCCAGAAGCCCGCGTGCTGCAGGCCATTGCCGAGAGGTTTTTCGGCCTGGTCGCGAATGACCCGCAAGCAGACGAGACCCGGGAACCTACCTCGGGACCAGGCGCCACGAAAGGAACCTTGACGGTTCTGGTTGAGGACCAGTCGACCAACTGCGGCGCCAATGCCGCCATGACCAAGAATCTGCTGGAGAGCCATGGCATTTTCAGACCTCGCAACATCATCGTCGCCCAGGACCCTACCATGTGCCGGCGCACAGCGGCTTCGTTCGAAAAGCTGTACGAAGCAGATCCGGCTAGCCGGCCCCGGGTCCTCTGCTGGCCTACCTTTGTTCCACGTGTGGCCGCAGTGAATGACAATGTTTCTTCCAGTCTCGAGAAAGGAACTCTTGCTCGATTGATATTTCAGGTAGATAGAGCGAAGGGGCCGAACCTTGACGACCTTTGGGACATGCCACGTTTCGCAGATTTGATCATGGGAGAGATACCGCGGCTGCGAGATTCCGTCGACGGCTATGGGCCAAAGGGCAAAGGCTTCATATCCCATGTGGATGTGCCGCAATCTGTCGAAACCGCATGGTGTCTACTCCAGTTGTATCTGGGCAATCTGGATCGAACGATATGATGGAGCAGCAAATGAGAATTGCCCGACTTTGTACCAATCATGTCATGCATTAACTCGTGTCTATCGTCTATGGTGATTTCCCATCCCTAATCTATCAAGCAAAGTCGCTTTAATCTATAACATAGCATGTATCCTCTCTAGTGATTGTCGCGCGGTACCGGGTATCTCTCTACAATGTTCTGGAACAATAAGGATCGCTTCATTACCATGCCCTCATTCAGCCCCGCCACCTCTCGGCGGTGAACGTCCTGCCAGTACGTCTGGCTTGCCGGAACATGATATCCGCCCTGAGAATTCAGCGCCTCCCTTCGAGCGCTCAATTCCTCGTCGGTAACGAGGAGGTCGACCCGGCGCTTGTTCAGATCCACGCGGACCATGTCGCCGTCTCGAACCAAAGCCAGATTGCCACCGGCCGCGGCCTCGGGACTGGCATTCAGAATCGATGGGGACCCAGATGTTCCCGACTGTCGTCCGTCTCCAATGCAGGGCAGCACCTTCACTCCTTGTTTCAGGAGACTGCCAGGGGGGTGCATATTGACGACCTCGGCAGCACCGGGGTAACCGAGCGGGCCGACGCCTCGCATGATCAGTATCGAGTGTTTGTCAATGTCCACCGTGTCAAGCCTAGCCTTGTAATCTTCAGGGCCGTCAAAGACAGCCACTCGACATTGGAAAGCATTGGGATCTCGTGGGTTCTGGAGGAACTCTTCGCGGAACTCCTGCTGAACCACCGACATCTTCATGATGGCCGAGTCAAACAAGTTGCCGCGCAGGTGAAGGAAGCCGGCATCTTGCCTGATGGGGCTTGACACTGTTGTGATTGTCTCGCGATCCCAAGTCGTCTTTCCGGCCGCATTCTGGCCAATGGTTTGGCCGCTGACAGTCATGCAATTTGGGTGTGGAAGCTTTCCTGCATCGATCAGTTCAGCAAGTATTGCAGGTAGTCCGCCAGCGTGGTAATAGTCCTCGCTGAGCTTTTCGCCTGCCGGCTGCATATTAAGGATCAGGGGAATGTGGTATCCGAGGGTGTCCCAGTCGTCCAAGTCGAGCTTAATCTCGAGATGCGCAGCGATAGCCTTCAAGTGGATGGGCGCATTTGTACTGCCTCCAATTGCACTGTTTACCACGATAGCATTCTCAAAGGCTTCGCGTGTCATAATGTCTCGGGGGCGCACATCTTGACGAACCATGTCCACAATTCGAACACCAGTCTCATAGGCGGCATGTGCACGCTGTCGGTAAGGAGCAGGAATGGCAGCGGAGCCAGAAAGAGCCATACCCAAAGCCTCGGCCAGAGTATTCATCGTGAGAGCTGTCCCCATCGTGTTACAGTGTCCTGCCGAAGGTGTGCCGTCAGCGACCATGTCCACAACCCTGTCATCGTCAATTTCTCCGGCAGCGTGCAGTTCCCGCGCTTTCCATAGCACACTGCCCGATCCAATTCGCGAGCCTTGCGACCAGCCATTCAGCATGGGTCCGACGTTGAGGCAGATTGCAGGAATGTTGACTTGGGCAGCCGCCATCAAGAATGCGGGAGTGGTCTTGTCACAACCCGTTAGGAGTACCACACCGTCGAGCGGGTAGCCCGCCAACACTTCAGCCAAGGCCATAGCTGCAAGATTTCTGTCGATTGCTGCAGTCGGACGCTTTCCAGTCTCTTGAATAGGGTGTGTCGGGAACTCGAAGGCGATGGCTCCAGCTGAGCGAATGCCCTCTCGCACTCTCTTTGCAAGCTCAATGTGATGGCGATTGCATGGCGCAAGATCCGAACCGGACTGAGCAATTCCAATGATGGGCCGGCCGGAGCACAGCTCCTCTCGGGTGTAGCCATAGTTGAGGTACCTCTCCACGTAGAGGGCAGTCATTCCAGGGTCATCTTTTCTTCCGAACCAGTTTGCCGATCGAAGTGGCTTCTCAGAGTGAATGGATTCGGAAGATCCGGAAAGCTTGTTCATTACTTTCTGTGCGTCCCCAAGCGCAATCTTGGTGCGTTTGAGTTCTCTCTCCTTGGATCGGAGCAAGTCGAGTAGTTGTACCTTGTCGAGATCCTCGATATCCTGGAGTGGACGGTCAGAGCAGTCCACACTACAGTTCCCACAGGCCGTTTTGGCGCAGTGAACTTGTGGTGAGTTGTGCTCGAGACTAGGCATGGCGAAGGTCTCCACCCAAGTAGTCTCTGTATGTGGTGCTGTTTGCATCTGCCTCTTGGTGCTTTGGTGGACTTATCAGCCTTGTATGATTCAAGATCGGCAAGAAATGTTTGGATTCATTTGTGAAGCTTCAGACAACTGAGCTTGGTTTAATTCCGAGCGCATGGCTTGACAGTTTGTTGTCTCGAGGTGAAAATTCTGCTAGGGAACCAGACTCATCCCTCTTTCCAAGGGCTTCGAGTTTGTGAAGCATCGTACCTGCCTCGGCGCAGAGCTGGACAGACAGTGTAATAATCAAGCTGATTACTCTATAGGAAATTCACTCATCCATTCCCCCATATTTCACCTATCTTGGTGGGGCTTTACAAGTGGACATCTTATCCACTCATTAGCTCTGTATTGGCTGCCGACTGACACGAGGATGGCTCCGGCGATTAGACCTAATGCCGTCATTGATAGACTATGTTTCGGTAGCCATCCTCTTTAAGGTTTGTCGGCGCTTATACAGCTCCGTCGGCGGCGGACATTTCTTCTCTTGTTTGCTCCCTTTAGCAATTTGTTCGTTGCTAAAAAACTATTCAATACCGGCAGTACCCATCGGTCTGCCATGCGTGGTTTGCTGGGCTATGATGAACTTGGCTGTGATGCCATTGCGTAAAGTATAACACTAAACAAAGTCTGATAAGCAGACCTCGATAGATTGTCCGACAGACTACCGCGATTGATAGTTGTTGCCCAAACGCATGTAAATTATCACATGTAGCCCCATAGTCTTTCGTGACTTTGACTGTACCTAAAGGAACAGTACTTGGTACAGACTTTCACTGGATACATGTGCTTACTTTAACAGAGTGGAACAATCTACAACCATATCATAATAATCATAGCAAATGTTCTCCGATCGGTGTATAAGATCCGAGCTCACCCTTTTGTGACACAATGCCATCGTCTTGAAAAGCAGCATTTCAGTCCTCAAATCCATGAATAAGTTCTTTCTCTCATACCGGCCAGGATTGCCTAGAGATATGAATGACTGATGACCAATAGTTACTTCTTTTGCCAATATTTGAACCCTAGAAAGAATGTATGACGAAGGGTACAATTGGCACCAACCATTAGGAGCGACATTATGACACAAATTTCCTTGCTTGTTCCTCACATGTAGACTGAAGGATTATTCAACGCCTTTCTATCTTTGTCTCACCGACCTGAAGTTTATCGTGCCCTTCACTCTGGTCGCACTTCTCAATCTAGCAACGGAACACATTGATTTCAAGGTATTTCTCGAAACCATCGGCAAATATGGGACCCTCGTTTACGTCCAACAGCCATATGGATGCGGCGACAGAAACAAGAAAGCTTGCCGACTAGGCAAAGCTCTCTACGGAGCATGTCAATCGCCGCTGTGGTGGTATAGCACCATTCGCCTAATTATCGCAGATTTGGATTCCAGTCCCTTGGTGTCTGAACAGTGCCTCTTCAACCACAAGAGTGCAAACAGCAGGCAATGGCATGACCAGACAGGAGGCTCAGAACCAGTCTATATACCAACAATCTTCGAATCAAATTCACATGAAAGCTGCAATTACTCACGCCTATACGACAGACTCTGCTACTGCAAAAGGGGCAACGTCGCGATGGCGCCCACCCTATGCGTCCCCTACTTTCATACCAAGGCCAGCCACATCAAAGCTTGGGTTCTCCTGTATCCAATGGCGATAGCTCCGAGGACAAAATGGCATCTATTGGGCTCGCGACACTTGGGCCCCAAGTTCATTTTCGCCGAGCTTCTTCAGGTTGTTGTTATTGCTCACCAAGAGGCATCCTATGACAGTTCCACTACATCTTCAAACCACCATTCTCCGAGATCGAAGACAGACAATTGAACAATCGGAGGATATGAAGAAATCGTGGGGATCACATGGGCGATATGAAGGCCCGACGGCCAATCGACGGGCCAACGAAACCCGGAAAAAACACCGTGTCGGTGGACACGGCATGCCCGGCTTCGTCGTCACAGACGACGAGTCGGGTCTGTCGATGGACCCAACGTATCGAGCTCTACAACCCAAACAGTCGGCTAGCAGAATTGGTACACAAAACAGTTGTTAGTGTCCAGCAATGCCTGCCAAAAAGTAGACTTTGCTAGTTTCACATCCATTAAGCAAGGCTGTTGCTGAAAGAGACACTCTCCGCGCTACCATTTAATCGAGAGGGATCAATCTATGATCGGCTGCATTTCGAGATCTAGCCTCAGGTCACGAGCCAGAACCCTAAGCAAACCAAGATGAGTTTCAATCAAGCGCGTACAATCATTATACTCCTCGATTATGGTAATAGTCCTTTGGTCGCCGCCGTTATCAAGAACGTCTCACGGATTCCAAATGATGGACGATGAATCGTTGGGAAAAGCAAGAAGCTGCAAACTCTTATCGTCGTAAGAGCGTGGAATGAGTACGAAAAAAAAAAAAAAGAGGCACTCCCGGCTCTCAACGCAGTCTCAGAAGCACTTGGTGCTGCACCTCCAAGTCGCAACACATTAGAAAACCCTTGGTGATGCATGATTGATTCAGGTTGTCCCGAATCCGGGATATTTGATGATATGGCACAAAAACTGGAAACCCGGTGAAAAGAGGTATATGATTGAGAATGATAAGAACAATGTCATCATTACTAAAGTCCGCTGCAGCATTGCGCTGGAGGTTAAAGCTGGAAGAAGGCACGCCAAGGACAAGCTAATTCAATGACGAAATATTTTTTGGTCGGGAATGTCTGGACCAAAGATTTTGGCATTAGTCAAGCAATATATTGTGAGAAGCAAGAGACATACTCGACGTCGGTAGCATAAGCACTTGCAAAGATGATCGACAGAACGAAATATGAGTATAAGTATGCATTGCTTTGGCTACGTCCTTGCCCTGCCAATCTCTTTATATTCTGGGCATGGTGAATATTTAGCGACAAAGTAGCGATAAAGGGGGTTTGGCTGGTTTAGCCAAGTGCATATGCTGTATGTCTGCTGTCAGGGGTATCACGTGAGAAGCTTCGTCCACTGGTACCGTTGACAGCAGAACAAATAGAGATACTCCTTTAGCATAGAACAAAACTGTCATCACGCAAATTTTACCCCCTCGCAGTTTAAGACGATTCAAGTGTCGGTCGAGTCGGTGGGGTGATGAATGGGTAAATAAAAGTGAGCTCCTTCCTTCCGCACCGCCTGTTGACACGATATGGGATCTTTTTTAGTGGGTGACGTGCCTGCACCGTCTCAGGGGCTGGGGAGCTGTTAATGTATTGGCATTGCCGCCGTTTATATGGAGGTGGCCAGCACTTGAGGGCCTACATATGATAGTTGGATACATGCACTGATACCTACGTTAGGTACGCCATGTATGTACTGGAAGGTATTCTGTTCAATATTCAGGTCAAGTAGGTACCTAGGCAGAACGTAAGAACCCTTTGTATTTGATGGCGGTCGAACCTCAAAGAAAAGCGAGGCGGGGTGTTGTGAGAAATGGCCGCCCGCTAGCCAGCTCATGGCATGTGTCTTGCCGAGCCTTAGGAAACCGGGTTGATTGATTCAAGAGCTCTCTGGTTTGGTCCTTTCCCCTCGTAGGTCTTCGTTTCATGTCTGTACCTACTTTGATAGCCATGCGGCCAAGTATGCCCAGAAACTTTGATACATATACTACTCTCTGGCCATATGTTTCACGTCATTTCCCAGTCTGACACAGTTGCACAAAAGCAAACTCACCTTTTCCTCGTCCTGAGCGTTGATCAGAGGCAGAAAACTGTGTTGTGTTTCCCCCCCTTTCACTCGAACCACCCACACCCCCTGACCGACAAGATGGTGGAGATCTTAGCTGGGCCCAGCGCCACGATTCGCTCAAGCTACAGCGGGCCCTGCATAGGTAGCACTGCTAGCGGTTGGGGATCTAGGCCAAGGTACCTAAACCTGGGCCTGTGAAGTACCTACATTCATGCTGTCCATGTTGCATTTCCATGAATCAATATAGAAGGCAGACACATATTTTATAGAAGGACACGCAAACGGTCAAGAATGGCAATCGACCCGGGTAGCGGCATTTGGTGTGAAGAGTGTGATCACAAACTAAACACGGCTACAAAAACTTCTTGCCCACTGGAAACCGTCGTGTTAGCCTGTCTGTTTGTCTCACCCGCTGGGTTTTGCATTGCAAATCGAAATCAATTCCGCACCAGGGAATCGCGGTCACGAAACTTTGCAGGGTCAAAAGAAAAAAAGAACAAGTCACCGTTCAAGGCTCGAAAAAGCCCACTGTTCGAAGCCGCTAGTGCGTTGGTGGAAGCCGACCGGTACACCCACCAGCCCGCCAACAGAACAATTGGAACCGCGCATCCTTGCTGCTGCTCGGAAGGGTCCAGGCGCTAAAGCAAGTCCACTGGCGGTTTAGGATGTGGGTGGGTGAGAACCGATCTGCCTTTCTCTGTCCTCTATCCTGTACTAGACCTGACCTGCAGCCGACTAAACGAAACACATCCCATCCCATTCACTCAACTCGTCCGTCGAGGTTCAGGAGATTCCGACATTCCAGCAAACTTGTTTCGAGGGAACTACAATTCGGCAGCTGAATAGTAGACTTTGCAGTGACGCACAGCCTATTGAGCTGCAATTATCCATCCGGCTGCAATTCATTCATCCTTCACACATTTGCATGAATGGATGAAGTCATTTGCTTCTGACAAACGCGCGGGCAGACAATACACTAACCAATCATCCGCCGCCCTCCTTTACTTTTTTGGTCGCCGCCAGCCCAGACAAAGGACAGCTCGAGTACTTGCCTACCCACGTATCCCAGACAAGCTTCAGCAAACGGTCAAGCAGCCACTCTGCCAACCTTCGTTCGACACGTCTCTATTTCACTAATTCACGACCCCGACAACTTCCTCAGAGACACGCAACAACACTTTTTAATTTTTCCCCGCGAAACAATCGCCGACAAACCGTGACTGTACTAGTCCTAGTCCCCCTGAGCTTTGGTAGCCATGGCGGATCGAGCTGAGCCGCAGTCCGTTGAGGCTCACCACCAGGTGGAAGACTCACATGTGGCTTCAGACAAGGAAACGGTATGTCAGTTCTGGCGGTGTCCATACCTATACCGTTCGGGAGAAGACGGTATCAGCTCACAAGCTGGGGTTTGATAAGTGTAACGTGGGAGACAAGTCGCTAATATTTTTTTGGACTATAGGACACCTTTGAAGATGCCGTCGACACCAGCTCAGTCAGATCCCTTACAGCCAGGAAATCAATCGCTTCTCAGCATGCAACTAGACCTACAAGTTCTGGCTCTGATTCGACCGTCGAGAAGGACGATGGCGACGAATTCAAGGAGCCCGCAGAGAGTGTCACCGAAAGAGACGACTCGGACACTGAATCAGAGGTTGAGGTGCAAGCAGCAACAGAGGTAAAGATTGAGGCAAAGACAGAGCACGAAGAAGAGCAAGAGAAGGAGTCAGAGAAGGAGTCGGTCAAGGAGCCAGAGCAACCCAAGGAGAGCGAGGTCGAGATCGAGACCGAGACAGAGATTGAGCCTCAGGTCATAGAGGCAGATGCCCAGCCCGACGTTCGACCAGAGAGTAGAGCTACAACTGCCTCGAGTCGGGTGTCGCATTCCAACATGGACGTTGTTAGTCTCGACGATGATCCTCCGGCCGTTGCTGCCCAGCAGAAAGGTATGGGAAGGATAACATCCTTGGACGCTCATATTCTTGCAACCAGCTAATCTCAGGTTGTGCAGATGAACCACCCCCTGTTCCCCCAAAACAGGTCTCCAAGAAGCTCTCCTTGAGCAACATTGCAAACTCCTTGCCTGCTATGCCTTGGTCGCCTCCAGCAACCGAATGTCCTCCCAAGACCAGCCCATCCACAGGCCCAGCAGTGCCGGAAAAGCCCCCTGCCCCTGACCGAACTTCAACCTCGCGCAGTAAGCTCTCGAGCCCATTTTCGTGGCTGTCAAGGAGTTCCACCAGCAAGGAACCTGCCGCATCGCCACCATCTGGCCCGATTCGCTCTCCGAGAAGAGATACTGCCAGCTCCATTGCAACTCTGACTAGCAATCCAGAGATGCTGGCCAAGCTGGAGGAAGGAGATGAGGGCGTCACAGGAAGGCCAGCTAGGCACAGCCTGAAGGACAGATTCAAGATGGTGCGTCTAAGGGAGGAAGCCGGTATCTCCCTTGGAGTAGACGCCGAGGAAGACAAGGATCAAGCCAGTGCTGCCACAGCCAAGGCAGCCTCTGTCTTGGGAATTACAAGCCCAGGCGAGCCACCGCTTACCCCTGTGACAACCGATGCCAACCCTCCACTAAGGCCCGGGACTGCCTCGGGTGTGTCCGCCGGACCTGCTGAAGCAGATGCCCAGGTTGACTGGGATCTTTGGCAAACTGTTGTCTATGAAGGTCCGTCTGCAGTCGCCAAGACCAGCCCCGAAGAGCTCAACAAGGCCATCACGACCGGAATCCCCACTGTAATCCGGGGCGTGGTGTGGCAAGTGCTGGCACAAAGTAAGAACGAGGATCTAGAGCACGTCTACAGAGAGCTGGCAGCACGCGGTACCGAGAGGGATGTATCGAGGAACAGCGCCGGTACCTCCATTAGTTCTATGAGCAATGGCTTGAGCATCGACAAGGAAACCGTTGCATCGTCTTCTTCCTCCGTCCACTCCGACGAGGTGGGTGGCGCCAATGGCAGCAAGTCGCCTCCTTCAGAAAAGGAGGCCGAGGCCATTCTGAAGGCACAAGCCTTGGCTGCCGCTGAACGCAAGAAGAAGGACAAGGAGGATGCGGCCATGATCTCAAAACTTGAGAAGACAATCCGACGTGACCTGGGCTCAAGAACAAGCTTTTCTAAGCATGCGCAAGCAGCAGGACTTCAAGAGGGCCTGTTTGGAGTTTGCAAAGCTTATGCCCTGTTCGATGAGAGCGTAGGCTACGCACAGGGGATGAACTTCCTAATCATGCCTCTGCTGTTCAACATGCCAGAGGACGAGGCGTTCTGCTTGCTAGTACGACTCATGAACCACTACAAGCTGAGAGACTTGTTTGTGGAGAACATGCCTGGCCTGCACATGCATCTGTTCTTGTTTGAGCGGCTACTGGAGGACCACGAACCTGCAGTTTACTGCCACCTTAACCGGCGTGGCATCTCGCCCCACCTATATGCGACACAATGGTTTTTGACCTTGTTTGCATACAGGTTCCCTCTGCAGCTTGTCATGAGAATCTACGATCTGATTCTTTCCGAGGGCCTGTCTGCTCTGCTCAAATTTGGCATTGTCCTGATGCAAAAGAACGCTTCCACGCTTCTCGGCATGACCGACATGGCACAGCTGACTGCTTTCTTGCGAGACAGACTCTTTGATGTCTATATTGACCAGGCTCCAAGCAGCGGTAGCATTCTTGAGAATGGCTTCTTTGGAAGCAGTTCATCGAGTGTGGACAAGGAAGTCTATCGAGCTGATCAACTTGTCCGTGATGCTTGCGACATCAAGATCACGCCAGAGCTATTGAAGGCATACACATGCGAGTGGGAAGAGAAGACCCGCGCCGAGAAGCAGCGTGAGGAAGAGATGGAGCATCTGAAGCAGTCCAACACGAGCTACGCTATTAGGGTCCGAAAGCTCGAGGAAAGACTAGAGGCCGCCGATACCGAGTCAACTAACATGGCTAATGAGCTGGTCCATACTAAGATCGAGAACGAGGAGCTCAAGGATGAAAACGAGAGCCTCAAGGGGCAGGTCAAGGAGCTCCGCAACGTCATTGAGAAGCAGCCACTGGAACTCGAGAATGCCTGGAAGGAGGAACGTGACAGCCTCATGAAGCGAAATGAAAAGGTCCACGAGGAGAATCAGAAGGTCGAAAAGGAGATGAGCGAGCTCGAGGAAGAGTTGGTGCAGACCAAGATGCGATACGCCGAGGTAAGTCAACATTTACATCCAATCTCATCAACTCAACTAGACTCTTTACTAACATGCATATAGATCAACTCTCAGTATGAAACATTACAGAGAAAGTGGGCAGACCTTAAAAAACAATTCAATTAGTTGTTTGGTCTCCATAAGCAACATCACATATCTCAACCTGACATCTTGTACATTGCATCAACCATGCCGTATTGCATTTGGAGAAGGAGTTGTCCGGCATGAGGAAAATGCCGAGAAAGGCAGGACTATTGTCGTCAGCATCGACCCTTGGTCTGGAAAACGCAGCTGGTCTGGCCAACAGGTAGATCGGGAATCTTTGCGTCTGCTCGTGCTGAAGTGGTTTCTTTGTATTTTTGCCCTGGCGCACACTGTTCGATATAGATGGAAATGGCGTCTACTCATGGATGAAACGAGTTCTGCGAAAGCCAACATGATCATCTTGGTATTGCCGTACCTCGGGGGAAAAGAGGATAAAACAGTCGAGTATTGTATAGACCATAGTGCACACATCATCCCCTTTGGAGGTTTGGGGCCTTGAATGGAAAAGGTGCTGGAGGATATACCAATCAATCAGTGTCATTCATGACTGATGATAGAATTCACATGATCTATGACTCCATGCATGGCATGCCTGGTTGAGATCGTGATGTTTGTTCACTATGCAGTATGTGCCACCTATCCTGTTGAGAGATAATTTGTGGGCATTGGCAAAGCTTGGCTATTGATTTTGTTTCTTGTTAGTAGCGGTGAGAGGTGCGAAATACGTTCTCTTCCCAGTGTCTCATGCCCGATATGGATACAATAGCGGAAGGAAATGGAGACTAGATATTCTTTCTGTGGATGTTCTCGCCATTCTGAGGCTCCGCCATACAAGTGTACAGGTTTGACAAGAAACGGGGCCGGATGTACTTGGACAGAGCGGCTACATATGTACTTGGAGGACATATGAGAAGTACCTAAGCGGATTGCTGGGTACTGAGAAAAACTTTTTCCCGCGGGTCTGCTCTGCTTGTACAAGGTGATGGATAGGGTGGACAGGGACTGGTCTTTCAGATATGCAGTCGATTACTACGACTTTTCCAAAGCAAGTCCTTAATAAGAGGTGGATTTCACAGTTTTGTTCACATTAAACTTCCTAGACATCTAATCTTCGTACAATTCATTCAGAGGGGGAAAGGGGTGAGAATAAAGAAGATGACAGGTTGTTTCTCAAATGGCAGCACTTTTGGTTGATCTTTTATTTGACCTGACCCTAGTCTCAATGAACCCATATCCTTGCCGAAAAGACAGAGAGCATAATCCATGAACACCGTTACCAAAGTGCAATGCTGTGTGACGTTTTCCTCGTCATAAGTTTCATTTTTCGCCCCTTCCCACACTGAAAAGTGTTTGTACGTCAAGAAATAGCTGACCCCAGCCGTAGCTAGCGGGCAGTCTATTTGTGGAGCTTGCGCTGGTAGAAGGCAAGCTCCTCACCCTCGAGGATGTAGCCGTCGCAGCGGCCGGACTGACCGGGACGCGAGGCAATGACGGCAAAGAGACGACCGGCCTCGAACTGCTTCTCAATGGCGGAGTCGACCTTGCCGGAGGCGGAGAAGCGAGCGGCCTGCTTCTTCTCGACGGCGTGGCTCTTCTTCACCTGCTCCTCCTCCTTGCCCTGCTTCTGCTGTCGGCGACGGCCGAGAGCCTGGCCGTAGTGGGCCTCGTACCACTGACGGAAGGGGGCGGCATCGATCTGGACAATGGCGGACTTGGTCAGGGTGTTGGTGCGGACCAGCTCGTTGTTGGAAGGGTGGTAGGCGACAACGATGACACGGGTCTTGCGGGTGATGCCCTCGGAGGCCCACGAGAAGTTACCAGAGTCGAGACGGAGAGCACGGAACTTCTGGTTGCCACCGCGGGTGCGGACAGTGTGGATGCGCTTGGGGCCGATACGGGTGTTGGCCTCCTGACGGCCAGACTCGAAAACGCGCTTCTTCCCTGTTGACAAAGGTCAGAACGTATGATTTAGACAAGGCAAAATGCATACGGGTTTTCGAGGGATCAAGAGGAACAGGTTTCGATTTCACACTACGCCTGTTCCCCGATCACAACGAGGGATTGTATGTGTGTAATTGTAACGCGAGAGGAGTTCTCCAGCCATTTCTGACATGGAAGAAAGGCTTCTGCTCGGTATTTCTTTTCAAGGAGACGTACGGTAGTAGGCGCGCTTGGCACCGGAGGCGGATCGCTTGTGACGAGAGTCGCGTGAGATACCCATGATTGCAGTGTTCTATTGGGGGGAGAGAAACGAGTGGTTAGCTGGGTGTTGATTCGGCTGACGAGATTTTGATGGTGTGCGGAAAATATTGAATCGTAGGATTCCTCGAATATCGAGCAATCTCTTGATTGCGGAAAGGAGAGAGTGCAAATGTAGAGAATACAAGAGAGACTCTTGTCAATGGTCAATACTCACCTGGTGTTTTGACTACTCTACCAGGCAATCGAAACGGGGGTTGGTCGTTGGGCGTTGAAGGAGCGGAATAGGTCAAAAGAGAGAAAAGCCAAAAGTTCGAGATATCGAATTTGTTGCAGTTTCTGTGGGCTTGGAAAATTGTGGCCCGTGCAGCAGAAGGGCATTACTCCACTTTGCAAGCCAAAGTTGAATTTTAGGCGGGGCTAAGCTTGGGCTTTTGCATGGCGAGGGAGCTTGATGCTGGCAGCTGGCATAGACCTGCAGCTGGCAGCTATAATGGCTGATCTCGTATTAACACTGTGATTCTCGCCATGGTTTGCAGCTTTTGTCATGCCGTTGTTGAAAATACACACATGTTCAAGACGATTTACTTGCAGGTGATGGCAAAGATCATTTGACTGCTTCTGTAGTAGATGTTTCTAGGGCCCTTTAATTTCAAAGCATCCATCACGGATGTAGACACACAAATGCACAACATGAGGACAAATGCATCTAAACAAGCACCTACGTTACACACATTTCCTCTGTGTGTATTATTTGCGCAATGATATCAAGAGGGCTTCTCCCCATGAAAGCACTCCGCTTTATAGATTGATGAAGCAAAAGTCACAGGCCGTAATGGGAATAACAAACACCAAGCTGCAACAATGATTGTCTTGTGGAAGGCGATGGGATGACAGTTCGTAAAAGGCATCGTCTCTTCACCGGTACAACAATCAAGACTGCAAGCCAGTCATAAAAATAATCAGTGGTTGGGACATAGAACAGCAAAATTACAAGCTAAATATAGTGAAAAAGAGCAAAAATGTGGAGAAGCTGGGAATCGAACCCAGAACCTTTTCCATGCTTTTATCGCATGCTAAGGAAACGTCATACCACTAGACCACATCCCCGGAGGTGTTAATCATCATGATTTGATGATTGGATGTTGAAACTGCGGTTCAAGAGATTATATATCCGTGCATACAAGAAATCGCGCACATGGAGGGTAGCGGAGTGGGGATGGCGACTGTGCGGGAGCCAAGACTGAGCAAGCTAGGACTTGGACCAAATAACAAGGTCACAGGTGACGGATATTGCATTGAACACATTCTATAATATTGGCTCAAAAAATATTCAAGTTCCCTTAGTATGAACTTCTGAAATTGAGAATAAACATCTTTCTTTTCTATGAAAAGACAAGTCCAGATTGTAAATGTGATAAATCATGCATTTAGCATGGTGCAAGTAAAGCCAGGCGGTTTCTGTCTCAACATGACTCTAAGAATTGGCTACTCGCTGTAACATCAGAATCGATTGTTCTTCTCTCTCATGTCTTTCTGAAATCAGCTTGTCCTAGATTTCACCCGTGCAAATTGACCACTCTACCTTTAGCTCCATGCATACTAGGCAAATACTATGTAAGAACGATTCGACGTCTCGCCAGCAAAATTCGCCCTAGAGAGCACTGTTATATTCTCCAAAAAGTATCAGGTTTGAATCATTAAATATGCATGCTGATGTGTTAGATTTGATATTCGGAAAATATTTGCTTTGATGAATAATCCAAGAGATTTAGTATCAAGGACTTTAAGACTTTAATTGTTAACCGAAGAGAACACACGATACTTTAGACACTGTTTTGGCCGAGTATATGGAGTTGAGCAAGTCAATTGAGCCATAACTTTCTAAGCGGGTAGTAACATTGAGACTAATCCATAACCTGAAGCAACTAATTCACAAGAAACAGCTAAGTGACTATATGTAAATGCTGCACATGAAATATAGGCTGCTCATGAGTCGTGGTTGGTTATTTGGTGGAGTTGGGAAAAGGCGTTTCAACGAAAGGGCGGCTTGCTATTGCTAGCATCGGCCCATAATACCTAGTAGTAGCACCAAGACCTTGTAGGAAGTTGCGGATATGACCATGTCGACAGGCCGTGTGTGCCTATTAGCTCATCTGTGAAACTCACGATCATCACCGGCAGATCATATTTCGAAACAAAAATGGGGTTCACTCTTGGATTAAAGACGAGGTCGCTAGCAAAAAAAAGATTGAAAGTCATTGCCGACCTCGAAGCTTTCACGATGGCACCACAAGCTCGCGACCAGATTTAAGCCCGGCGGCTACTACCTGTCGGTTGAGCCGCGGAGCGTAACGTCGCAGCACATTCCCGTTGATGGGAGCTTTCGGAGTGGAACCAGCTCTATGAAATGTTGTTTTCTTTAGTAATTCAGGATCTTCGCAGGGATGTAATGCCTCGATATTCATGAATTTACAAAATATCTAGTTTGAATGCACATCGAGTACGACAATTGATCCTCGAGAGTGCTGCGCTCATTGCTAGTTTATCATCCAATTATTTCATTCACGCCAGACACAAAAAAAAGTACATTAAGTCGCGGTTCAGCTATGCAGGCGGAACCTGTGAATGCAAGACGTACGTATCGAGAGAGAGAGTTCGCAGCTTCAAGTTGGACGACAGCATGCATTAATGACGGTACAGCTGGTGGCGTCAACTCATAATGCATGGGTTTCTCGCAATTGGCAGGCAAAGAAGCTTGGCAGGCGAGTCGTTCTGTCTCACGCGCCTCTTGGCTCTTGTTAGGGTGACAATCTTCAGCGGTAAGATTTGGGTCATATAATGTCACCCATGTACACCAAATGTCGTTCGTTTTCTTGCACTCTCCCTCTTGGAGCAAGGTCATCGGGATGACAGATGCTTATTGTTGGCCTATAGCACGGAGCCGCTTTCCATTAGCTGCCTATCATGGTACACTACCGTCAATATCGAAAACACTTATAGGACCGAATTGACAGCTTTCGTAGGGTCACAGTTGGTCCATGTATGCGGAAAATCCCGTATGTACATTGACGTGGGAAACTTGGTCGTGGCCACAAAGAAAAGACATAAAAAGCCTTATATGTTATCTTTTTTTTACTATACTACTTCGGCTGGGTCGGCTTTCAATGAGGCGGGGCGAAAAGTACATTAACAGCACAATTTCATCTGCATTAGGTTTTGCAGTTGACCAGGGGCAAAGAGGGAGGAATAAGGCGCACCGTTGAAAAAGGTTTCCTGATCATTTCGACCCGGCGCAGATCTAATTTTTTTTTTATCAAGAAAGTACGCTTCATAATGGACATGTGTTCACTATTCGAGCGGCATGGAAAAGAAGACAGCTTTCCAACACGTGTGAGCCCGTCAGATTTTTCTTGAACAGGACTGTTTCATAAACTGCAAGGAGTAAGGTTTGAGCCCTACCTACCTGAAGCCAGACACGACTACGTGCAGTACCTCTTCTACATTGGGAAATCTTTTTGGTCTCTCTAGGGAGGGAGGGGTTACAAGTATTTCTTTTTCTTTCCCTTCATCTTCCTTGTCTCTCATCTCTCTACCACCCATTATAGTCTCGTGCTGCTAAGGAGGTTTTTCTCTGACCCGCGTTTGAGGGCCGGGGTCCGCTCTTTGGCGGTTGCCGAATCAGGAAATCGGATGATGGGACTATACCCGAATCCGGAGGCCGTGCGATGCAGTTCCGCCCATCCACCTTCCAAAATCACGACCGTGAGCCGTCAGACGTCATGTCGAAAAGGGCAAAGCCCGACTACCCGGGTTTGGGGCTGGCGCTTTTCCAACAGTGCCCGGATCGAGTATGTGGTGGACTTGACTCGTGATTGGATTGTCTAGGAATTGGGATGAATCGTCGACAAGCAAGAAAACAAAGGCAAGAATTGGCCGCCCAGAGCTTTTTGGTGCCAGCCAAAATGGATCCCGCTCTCATGTGTGTCGCACGAGCTTTTGATTTCGGTTTCGCTGGGAGGGCGCGGGAAGTATCCGTGAAGATAATCGTCTTTTCTTTTTCGGGAACTTAAACACAGCGCGGCACATGCGTGGATGGGACGGCTCTGAGAGACAGACATAACAAATGTCATTGCTGCTGACAGTCATTCCATAGCAGCTACTTGCCTACTGTGACTCGAGGTCTCGACTGTGCATTATTTCGTGCTCATCGACCTATGAGGCCAGCACGACATCCCTCATCTCGCCTGGCAACCGTGTAGGACAGTTTCCCGTCTATAGTCTTAAGGTCGTCTAATCGCAGCATACACGGGATACCTCCGTCCAAGGTGCCGAGAGGTTGGAGCATTTCTTTGTGCGCTTCTCTTTTCCAACTTATACCCACGCTTGTTTGTACATTCTCAGTTATTGGACTTTTCCCTCTCCTCGGTTTGCCGACCTGTTTTAATTTTACCAATCTTGCCGAGTCTCGGGAATTATCCATAGATCACATCTAGGTGGACCGCGACGGCAAACTCATTGGAGCTACAGACTTTTCCCCTTCGAGGTTTCGTAACGCGATATCGATATGAATCGAGATGGTCCAAGTTGGTGTAATTACATGTATCCTACTGCTGGCTTCGTCAACGGTTGCTTCCGCAGGTGACAGAGGAGACGATGGTAGTAATATGTTGGAAAGGGGTACAACGGGGAGCAGGACAATCCGTGGGCTGGTGAATTTGGTGGAAAGGGATAATCCAAGGTCGGCCGAGCAGACACAAACAATCTCGGAAAGTGTCATTCAAGGTTCATCTACTCTCACGCGGAGGAATAATCCCGAGTCGAAGCCATTTCCACAAAAGCGGCAAGTTGGAAAGGCAGAACCAAAAGAGCCCGCGGCGGCGGCTCCGGCAGCGGCGGCTCCTGCTCCGCCCAGCGACCCAGCACAGACAACCACAACAACACTGGGCCCTCTAGCATCGTCAGTAAGCGTGTCGTTGACAAGCAGTGCCGCTTCGGCCCTCGCTTCAGTCTCGGCCAGTTTTCAGGGCCAATTGTCGGCTCTGTCCTCGCAATCTTCGGCCGACGTGGCAGCGGCGTCCGGTGCCGTATCAGCGTCGGCCTCTTCAGCTCTGGCTTCCGCGTCAGCGTCGGCGTCCTCGGCGGTGGCCTCTGCAAACGCCGTCACGGATGCCCTGAACGCAAGTGCCAGCAGTGCTATAGCGGCGGCCAGTTCTAGCGCGGCTCTGAGCGCAAGCAGTGCCGTGGCCGCCGCGTCTTCCAGCGCCGCAGCGAGTGCCATGAGCGCTGTGGTTGCGGTCCAGGCTAGTCTGTCTTCACAGGCCTCAGTCATGATGCCGTCCGCCACCATGCCGACTGCTACTGCTGTATGTCCCTGACAATTATACACTCGAAATATCCCTACTGACAGCGGCCACAGGACGTGAGCAACAACCTTGTACAGCCCAATTCTTCGGGAAGCACAGATGATTCGGGTGTTCTCGTAGTGACCCCAAGTCAAATTGCTGCCATAGTGATTGGCACAATCGTGGGAACAGCGATATTCACCTTGCTGGTGGTATACGGGGTTATGCTATGCCGCCAGAAGCGAGAAAAAAAGTATCTCGAAAAGTTGCGCAACGGCAACAAGGACAACGACCAAATTGTTTTGCACGCCATTGACCACGACGACGAGACGGGAAGGGCAGAGGGGTACTCGAGCCGAGACGAAAAGCAGCGGGCAAACTGGTCTGTCCAGTCGAGAGCAGCTGGGCCTGCAATGTCCAGGGACGGGCCAAAGGGACCATTGACATCACATCGCCCAAGCTTGCCCCCACTGCCAGAAGAAAGTCCTCGGGTATCAGATCAGTTCAACCTGTACCCTCCTGGAGAAGGTACCTCCCATGGCCTCGACTTTCATCCCATGACCTATGGGTCAGAACAGATTGGTCCGGGAATGCCAGAGGAGCCAGCGCCCGTCAAGTTATCTCTAATGAAACGACGAAGCAAAGGAGGAAGCCAGAGAATCGCGGTAGCGCGGGTGGGAAGTACAAGTAGGCAAGGAGGCGAGAATGCGCACAAGCCCCAAAGAAGCTTGAGCAGTGTGACTCCCTATTTCTCGGCGCCAATCTCACAGGTATCCTCTCCATTCCAGCGTCCGCCTCTAGACCGGACGCCTTCATCCGACACTCTGCCACGCAGACGCAGCGACGTTGTCTCACCACTGGCACTCAACCCCTTGCCGAGCGCGACCACGGGCCCGCGCAGCACATCGGGCTTCACGTGGGGATCCTGGGGCCCCGAGACGACCTCGCAGCCTCCGCCCATCCCCAGTTTGAACGTCCCGGCACAACCTGTGTATCAACCTTATTCGCCGTACGGAAATCTGGCCACCAGGCAACAGTATGTGCCCGACAATGGCCAAGACAATATCAGTTTTCTCCTACAGCAACAAAGCTCGAGTTCCGATCTCTCCCAGCGAGCAGCCCAACCAGGAGGCTATGACGACTATGCCGGAACTAGTAGTGGTCTCGGCAACGCCAACCAGATATCGAGCGACTACCTCTCAACGCCCCAACCGACACGGCCGTATAACCACCTCTCTGGGATCTCTGCAAACAGCCCCTACAGCTCCACATTCGAGGTACCGCTGGCCTCGCCCGCCTTCATGTCGCCGCTCTCGCCACCGCCCAAATCGCCATTGAGGACCGTGGTGCGACTGACAAAATCGGACCGCGAGCTGAGGGACCAGCACAATGTATCGCCCGTGAGCAGTGACGGAGGCGGCGACGGCAGCGGCAGCAACATGACCCACAAGGCCGCGGCGCCCCTGCCCCTCCGCAGACTAAGCCGCAGCTCAGGTGAGCTGGGCGCCGTAGGACTGGCGCAGGCAACGGCCGGTCTGGACTTGAACATTGGACCGTCGGGCATGGCGTTCAATATCGACCAAGTCGTATTGGACCCGCCCAACGCCACCACCACGACACAACAAGCCGACAATGCAACCGCCAGAACCACAACAACATTAGGGAGCGACAGGCCGAGTCGGGCGTCGAGCCTCCGGTCGACATATACCAATACGAATCCCAACGGCGGGGGCCGGTTCACGTTTCTGTCATCCAACGGGCACACGCCCGAGAGCAGCCGGCGGAGCCTGACGCCAACGAGTCCGTGGGGCGGACCCGCGGCGGCGGCGCCGCCCCATCATCTCCGGAAACGACGGAGCAGCAGTCTGGGCCGCATCGAGATTCCGCCCGAGCAGCTGACGGCCGGGGGCATCTACGTCGGCGCGCCGGGTCCGCGCTTTACGCTGTTCCCCCGGACCGATGGAGGCAATAGCAGAGCCATGCCACCTCCCGTGGTGGCGCCCCTGAGCCCGTCGGGCCTGAGCCATGGCAAGAGTCGCAGCACGGGCAATGCTGATTATGAGCAGAGGCAGGACGGCAGAGTGGGTTTCGGCCTCGTCATCAGGTAAAACTAGGGTGTAGACTCCATTTTTTCTTTTCCTAGGGTATGAAATTGGGGAAAGTTTCAGATGGGCTCAACAGCGCTCACTGGAGCAAGCCATGAGTGGATGCCAATGTATGATAATGACAACCATGTAACATATCACCACCATCACTGCCCTGTAATGGGTAATCAACTCTAATGTACATAGCCTTTGATGCTAATCATTCATTCATTCATGAATGGGCATTCCGTTTCATTCCACTATATACATGGCCAAGTCAAAAAGTCAAGTCTAGTCTGCGAAAAATCGTGCCGCAAGACAATCGTGCGCTACACTTCTTGCGATGGCACGTTTTGTCGTGCTGCTATTGTACAGCCATGAGTTGACCATGATCATAATAATAGTCCAGTATTCTCAAAACGCCAAGCCAAATGCATCTGATATTCGATCCTGCATCATGCATCAACGCCAATGAAGATCCTCATCAGTTCCCGCGCAAACTTGCACGCTGGGCTTTTTCTTTCTCGAAACAAGGTTGAAGTTTTCGCAAGGTATTGAATTGTTTAGAGTTCGAGACAATTGGGGAGGTACAAGCCACCTAATCTTTTTTTCACATTTACCCCTGAGACCGGCATCTTTGTGGCAAGTCGTTGCTTCATGGGGGAAAATGTGAATAATCTGGCATAAATACTCAAAGTTGTGCATTTATACCGATCCTTGGAAATGTGGAGCTGTTTTCTCCTGAGAAAACGCCCTTAGACAGGGAGCTTGAACTTCATGCCCTTGACGACCTTGTTGTAGTAAATCCAGAAAAAGTCCGAGTAGAGGACGGTCTGAATGAGACCAGCGACGACGGCAATCCAGTCCACATGATGCTTGGGCTCGGTAAAGTACCTCCAGAGCCAGTTGGGGATGTACAGGGCGCGGTAGGCACCGAGGGCAAACAGATAATGAGTCGTAATGGTCTCGGCGGAACCAGTGCGTTGCAGCATGAAGAGCTGGGGTAGAATGGCGACAGCCTCGAGCCAGATGGAGAAGGCCCAGAGAATCTCGTTGAAAGTGTACTTGTAGGGTAGCAGGATGGCAAGGACGGCAGCTCCGCCCAAAAGATACTGGACGCGGAAGGTATCGAGGTTCGGGTCGGTCGTGGCCTTGTACTTGGTGGTCATCAGGTAAATGATGTAACCCTGGCTGCCGATGAACAGAATCTTGAAGATGATATTGTAGAGCGACTCGGTGCTGAATAGATCAAGGTATCGAGTGATGTAGACGATGAAGTAGAGAGCCTGAGACTTGAACGAGATACCGGCGCAGCCCTGAATTCAGTCGTTAGCTTAGCTTATCCAGAGCTAAATGGCATGGGCAGCAGCTCGTACGTTGAGTTCCGTCATCTTGTGCAGCAATATCAGAATGGAGGCCAAATGGGAGAAATCTCCCAGAATTCTGAAAGCGTTTAACATGATGGCGGTGTTGTGCAGCAAGCTGCGCTCTTCCCTCTCTTTTTCACGATGTTGGTCGAATCCGACGTCGACGGAGCTTGGCGAGTTGTGCGATTAGAGGTGTTGGACAGATTCAATCGATTGCACCAGGTGATTGAGTCGTGACTATCGCTTTTGGCGGTCGTTGGTATCTCAGCCAAGTCGAATGGTGGGTGAGACTGGCAGAAAAGTAGATTGCTCGGTGGCTGCGTCAGAGCAAAGATGCCAAAAAAGACACTTTTGTTTGTCGTCGTAAGTAGTACGGAGTAGTAGCTGTTGTTGAAAGGACACGAACGCGATTCACGTTTGATTGGATAATCCCAGTTTAGGTTGTGGCTGGCCCTGAGGAAAAGATTTGGCAGGCCAAAGCCACAGCAGCACAGGGGGCTAATCTACCTAGAACATCGAGCTCCAGTTGCCGGAGCTAGCATCTGCTGAAGCCCCTAGGCTTGCAGCAGCCCTGGGTCGATCGCCCTAAACTTCTGATCTCACCTGTCGGGGCAAATCCATACGGGGCTGTTGGACTTGGTGCATGAACATGAACATTGCCTGCAGCATTCTTCATCTTCCCTTCCAGGTTCCTTTAGGATATTCATGGAATGTAGCGTGCATGATACGCCACGTCTTCAGTCTTCTGGTGATGGGGAGTCGTCTTGACTGTTCTACAGAGAGAGGACTTACATGTTTGCTTCGAATATGTTGACTCCTAGGTCACAATGAGCGGCCATGGTTTATCAGCTTGGCGGCGATTGGTGTTCCTGGCGATAGCCGCGATAGTCCCTCTGACGTATTACAAAGCTGCCTTACACTAGAAGCTTCGAGGGATGCTCACTGAATGTATTCAGAGGGAGACCATTCCTTCACGCCAGGAGTTAATCATTTTCTTCAACGCTTCTGTTATTGTTCCCAGTATATCTTTCTTTATTGGTTCAACCTTGAAATCTTGACAATTCAACTAGCCGTGCACTTTCATTGTTGCACTACTTGGTTCTGTCGCTATACAACAGAGAGCTGCGAGTATCATGGCCGACTCAACGCCCGATGCGCCAACTTCGGAAATAGTTTCCATCACCCTGAGCCATGATGGCAAGGTACACAGCTTCCAACTTGAACCTGATGCGACCATCACCGACCTGGCAAACACCGTCGAGGAGCAGCTGTCCATCCCCGTAAGCAACCAAAAGTTCATCGCCCCAAAGCTCGGCCTGCTCAAGGCGCCGTTTAAAGACCCAAACCTGCCCGTTGCGCAGCTCGACAATCGCAAGCCCATCAAGTTAATGGGCACGACGGCCGGCGATGTTGCCGACTTGAACAAGACCCTCGATGCCGCCGCGGCCCGCGAAGCAGTCTACGCCGCCCAGCGCCGCGCCCAGCCCAAGATCCGAACCCAAAAGACGGCGCAGCAGCTCCAGGACGAAGCCAAGTATACCTTTCACAAGGTGGAACCGCTACGCTACCTACCCAACCCGGAGCGCTCGCGGCAGTTTCTCGAGCGGCTCAAGGCCGACCCGGGTATCGTATCGGTCATGCGCAAGCGGCAGTACACGGTCGGCCTGCTCACCGAGATGGACCCGCTCAGCAATACGGAGAGCAACCACGAGGGCACCACGCGCCTGCTGGGTCTGAACCGCAACCGCGGCCAGGTGATTGAGCTGCGCCTGCGCACCGATGCCTATGACGGCTACCGCGACTACAAGACCATTCGCAAGACGCTCTGCCACGAGCTCACGCACAATGTGCACGGCGACCACGACCGCAAGTTTTGGGACCTGTGTCACCAGATTGAAAAAGAAGTGGCCCAGGCCGACTGGAAGTCCAGCGGGCGGTCCATCTCGGCGCAGAGCGATTTCTACGAGCCGAGTGAGGAAGTGGCATACGACCACGGCGGCTGGACTGGCGGCGAGTTTGTGCTCGGCAGCGGTCCGAGTGGCAGCCGGGCGGCGGGAGGTCGGAGTATCAGGGAGGTCCTGGCCGAAGCCGCCGAGGAGAGGATACGGAGGACAGACGCCTCGAGAAGGCAGAATGATGAAGCTGATCCGGGGCAGGAAAACCCCTAACCTGTATGCTCTGTGAGGGCCGAGACAAGAGTACATGGCGAAAGACGGACATCTGAAGACTCAACATTTCGATTCGCATTTTGAAACATTGGGTAGGCGTCACTAGAGGGTTTCTGGTTTGTCATATGACCAAACGTGTTTTTATAGTTGAACAGCAAGCGTTGCAATTTTTCGAACATTTACAAATACGACAAACAACGTGTACATATCTCTTGCAGGTCCCATGAATTCTCATCCGGACACAGCACAAATATCAAGCAACAAGATGCAGAGCTGTTATAGTAGATGTGTGTATTCATGCATAAGAAGAATTTTTGAACATCGATTCCGATCAAGGGGTATCTAATGCTTTCCGCCCATGTTCGATGCAAAACGACCAAAACGTATATACAATGATGCTCTTCTTCATCTCTCTCCTCTTCCCTACCTCTCGTCATGGAGTGGTCAGGGTATGTTTTCCGCTCTCATTTGCCAAATCGCACAAGGTTTATATTAAAAAGAAAAGAAAGAAAAAATCCAAGGATATCTTGTCCAAGACTTCGGATGGAGTCCCTTTTGGAATACTGAGAAAAACGCCGTGACTATGCAAATGAAGACCTTAAAATTGGAGTGTGATGGGGTTCTTTTGTAAAGATTTTGAGGCTGGCTGGAAAGACCGCTTCAGCTTATAGAAAGAGGATGACGGCGCGACGCCACACCCGATGACGCCATTGCGAGATGTATCGTGTATTGGGTATTGTTCATGTTTATTGGGGAAAAAGGCGGAGGAGGCTGGCGATTTTTGGAATAGCGTGCGGCTGTTGATCGGCCCCGGTGGTTTGGTCTAGGTTTTCCCCCACACCGGTGTTGGTGTTAGGTTGCCGCTCTCTCTGTGTTCATGATCGGTGGCGTAATGTGAGGATGTGACCTCTTTGGACATGGTTGCATATAAATGCCCGCTGCCCTAGTCTCAGTCGTGTGAAGTTCTTTCTCCCTTTCTTTCTCTTTCGTCTGTCCGTTGTAGAATGCAAGGGAAAACATCACAATACACGACTCGGACTGTCAAGCTGAAAGATTGGCCCGTGTAGTTCATAACTCATCACAGCATCACAGCTGCTTTGTCCTCGAGAGGACCTCGGATCGGTTTCATGGCGAAAGAACGATTTAATGGCCGGTTTTGCCATTTTGGGCGGGCTGGCCCACAACTTGCTGTCCCTCGGGCTTGGGCTTCTTCACCCACTCCTTGAGTTCCGGCTTCCATTGGTGTCTGTCGATGTGAAGTTAGTATTTTGGATTGACAAAGCAAGAGGCGCCATGTTTTGAGCGACATCAGCAAGTAAAAATAGACTCACCCTTCCCATTCGGTGGTTACCAAACTCTTGGAGCCGTACTCGTCTACCAGAATACGATCGAAGGAGTAGGGAATGGTAGCCGGCACACCCTCGAATTCAGTCTGGCGCATCGGGTACAGCTCCGTCGTCCGGTATCTGTGGTAGTTCTTGCAACTCCAGACGCCAGGCTGTCTGCTCGGTTCCCGCTCTGCCAGTCCGGTGATATCGATGAACATGCCGTTGCTGAGATCGATCCATCGCGCGTCAATAACGTTTTGGCCATCGCCGCGGCCAATGTCGCTGTGGTGCGGGTTGATGTCGAGGAGGTACTCCTTCTTCATCGTGGCTCCCGTGCTGGGATCCGTGTAGGTGTACTCATGGTGCGTACGGTTGAGATTCTTGCCCAGGTAGTGCAGAGTTGCGGCCGAGACCTGAACATCGAGGTCATAGTCCCAGGGCATGATGCGGCCGTTCCACCACCAACCAAGCAGGGTACCATGCGCCAGCCACGTCTCGACACCCAAGTTGCGGAAAGTTGTGAGGTATGACCGGATCAGATGCTGCAGCGCCGGTCGGTGCTCCTCATAGGGCACCTTCTTCTTGAAGTACCGAATGTCGTAGTGGCCCAGCTCATTGTCGCCACCCGGCTCGTGGAAGTATTTTGTGTCGGGCTTCTTTTGCTGGGGCTTATTTCTGCCAACTATCCTCCTCTCCATGTCACTCGATAATGCGGCGATGGGAGCCACGGCCAGAGTGGCCAATAATATCGACTGAAGAAGACGCATGATTGTGTGGAAAATGCCGGAAAATTACAGATTTCCCAGAAAACAGTAAATCAATCTAATAGCTCTCGACTGGTATCTCAGCCAAGTATTTTGACTCCAGTGAAGGAGGAGAGGGAAGTCAAAAAGGCAAACGGCTCGTCGCTGAGGATGGTAAGATTTGACGGCAGAATCAAGTCGGCTCGGTTTGATTGACTTCCTAGTGACACAACCAAACGATTTGGATAGAGGGAAAGGAAAAAAAGAAGTCCCTGGATTTTCCTTGGCAAACTTCGGATCTGCAGGTGATTCCCCTGACTAGCAGAGCAAGATTCTTGTTGTATGTCGCAAGTCTAAATTGTAGATTTGGCAGATGTCTCGTCGAGGTAATGAGGCACGTGGTGTGGGCGGCCTAGACAGAGGGGCGGCAGCCTTGGGGGACTTTTGCGATTAACGTTGACGAAAAGCAACACTGGTGAGATGAGAAGACAACCCTATTCTCTATCAGGCGACGCTGTCTAGTCTAAGCGGGATCCTGGAATATTGGCGTATGGGAGGCAAGAGGTTTGCAAAAAATAAAAAAAGAGGGATTTGCAAATAATAATAGGAGATGGATAGACGGTCCCCTCCACAGAAAAGAGGAAGGGTAGTTGGTTTGGTTTTATTCAACGCGACCGACCAGACCGATTGACTGACCGAACGACCCTCTGGACTCTTGGCCAAGACAAGAAAGACAGCCTTTTTACTCAATCGAAAAAGAGGAGCCCGTCTCCAGTATCAATCATGGATCAGCAAGGTACATGGTCGAGCACGAGCACACATCAGACAGGCGCCGGGCCGGGATAGTAGTTGGTCTGCGGCTTGCTTGCTTGCTCGCTGGACCTTTTGCGCGCGCGCGCGCGGGTGGCTTTGGTTACCTACTACTTGCCTACCTACGCTGATATGCGAGTAAACCCGAGCTGGGCTCGCATGTCCTTTCTGTCTGGATTAACGGGGCGTTGAAAGAGATGAGAGGGCTTCATTGGCTGAGTGGGTTGGCAATCCCCTGCGACGGACGAAGTTGAGCACGCGAGCATACGTACGTCCATGCCACACACTGTGGACAAGGGTCACAGGGGGTGGGGCCTCCACACACGCACACACGACAGCAGAGCCCAAGCCCAATCCATCCCAATTTTTTTTTTTTCTTTCTTTTGGTCCCTGACAGGAGCAGTAGTAGCTCTTGGGTTAATAGTACTACACTAATGTAGAGACGGACGGAGATAGCAGACCAGTAGAAGGTGGACTTGGCAATAGAATGAATAAATGGAAGAGAGACGAAGAAACCTCACAACAGAAAACACCCCCCCTGCTCGCCAGTCCATGCCTAAAGTAGTGCGGTAGCCGCCCGCGTGAGGCTTGCATTTGCCCGTCAGTCTGGCACTACGTTAGGAGGTCTTGTAGTGGTAATGTAGCAGTAGTAGTATCTAATGTAGATTGTAGTCTTCCGGCCCTACCGTTAATAACCCCGAAACTGGGTATGATGTCAGTATCCGGCGGGACAGACTGAGGTGGTTTGGGAAGCTGTGCGAGTTGCTACTTTGGTATGCGACCGTTACACGTATATTGCACTATTCACTTCACACTTATTGATAAGCATTTAGAATGCCCAAAGAAAGTCAAAAGCACAGATCAGATGGATTGTACAAGACGGGTAACTCCCAACCTAGTACTGACTGTATATGGGAAAATAGAAAAAATGTGAGACGTTCAATGTCGATCTGCGTTTAGCAAGACTTACGTACTCCTTGTGTCGGAGCAGATTCTAGCGCCGAGCGGAGGTAATGGGAATATGCGTACGCACATACTACTACGTACACCACACTACACATTCATTGACCAGCTTACATCTACCTGGCAAGCGGGAAACAGAGAGAAAGAGTCAAGCAAAATTGATTAAGTTTTTTTTTTTTTTTTTTATTTGAACTCTAGATGGCTCGACTCCATCAATTGAAAGGGGGCAATTCTATATCCACTCCCTCTTTTGCAGCAAAAAAAAAAAAAAAAAAAAAAAACAAATAACGATGGGTAAAACAACGTTTGGCTGGCTTTTTGTCCTGATGTCTGCATTGCGGCATGCTGAGGATCTCCCATACACCTTCTCGTCTGGTGTTTGGCAAGCAAGGATTTCACTGGTCCGTCTTTCTTTTCATCCGAAAAATCAACAGCTTGTGAAGGCTTGCAGTAGTCATTTTTCATCCAAGGCTGTTCCCGCCGACCGTTTTTTGAGGTTACCAGGATTGGAGGGGGGCTAAAAAAGACATGGAACCAGTCCGATCATGGCGCAGCAGTCGTCTTGTGTGTGAGGAGTACGTATGTGGTAGTATATACTCGCCCGTTGGGGCTGGGTGGCTGAAGCAATTTTTCAAGCTATAACCGAGTTATGGGTAGTAGTTTGCGCTGCTGCACAGTGACCAGACGATATCTAAGGAATATCTATACTACCTTGTATGAACTGTAGGCTCTTGAATCTTTAAACATCAACTCCCCCACGAATATTGCATGTGGAATTTGTACAGATTGCGGAGAAACCCCCAGGACATGGTTGTAGTGTAACCAAATCGCCTACATTACCTATATACAGAGCGGGGGCAATGTCAACTCACATAAATGTACACTAGAATGTGTGTGCATGTATGCAGCAAATACTACCCATACATGCAAGGTCTTTACTTTGCGAATTGCTTAATTTCTACTAGATCACCTGCAAAGGCCCCGGGAGGCTGGGTGCTTGCTACCGGCTCCTGTGAGAACAATGTTTGATGATTATCAGTCCGGGACGCGCGGCCAAGAAAGGCCCATATCCCACCGCTTGACCGCGCGTGAACGAACCTGGGGTTAGCCGAAACGCTTCCGAAAATACACATACGTACGCAGGGGAGACGATGTTGACGACTGCCCATTGCCCCTAGCACCAGGAGAGTTTAACAAGAGACACGATTGTCTGATTTTCCCACCGTTTACGGAGCCGCGTGTGAAAAAGCGAACAACCCCCAGGGCCCGTACCGTGGCTTGGTTGCCAATAATTCTATTGCATCTCACTCGGACTTTAGTTATGCTCCGCTGGGCCACGCCGCAGGTGGGTGGTTTTGAATTGAACTGCCATCCGAATGAGAAAGCCCTATCTCGGGACGAAATGACTCGCCGCCTCACGTCGCAAAAGATTCTCTACATTGCGCCCAAAGCCATGAACCACGCATGTTGTTGTTGGTATCTACATGTGAAGGCAAAAAGAGGAAAAGGCTAATGGATCTTTTTCTCTTCTGCCTCCCAGTATTCTTGAATTGCGACTATCGTCACAACCGGATAGTGCTGCTATCATAGCGGCCATACATGGTAACCAAAAAAATGATCGAATTTTGATGAATTCCGCATAAGCTTTGCCTCTTGAGATTTGGATGCCACAAATGCCAAGCCCGCCAAGCAATTCTCACAGCCATCCAGGGGTCATGGCTTTCTTTTTGGTTATGGACCTTTGTGCCGACGTCAGCGACTTTCGCAGACCCCAAGTGGGTATTCTTTTTGTTTGTCTCTGTCCATCACTTATCTCTACCTCTCGTTGGTACTCTTTCACCCCCTGCCCGTTTCGAGGGAAGACGCGGATTGCCTTTCACGAATCGTTCATCCGACGTAGAAGGGATCGAATTTTGCAGCTCACGAGCTGGTTGTTCATCACAACTTTCTCCCTCTTGCAAACGCTGCCTTGGCTGTATGCGTTCCTCACGATGATCGCATAAGCTGAAACTGGAATGCCGACGACCCGATTGCCAAGGCAAAAGGAGTATGCGCGTGGCGCTGTAGTATAATGTGTAATAATAACACGAGAAGAAACAAGAAAGATTTGCCCATTCAAGGCACTGCGGCTGTGCTATGCCTTGTTGGTTTGTTTGATGCTTCATGTCCAGCCCTATCGCATACTTGCCAAACTCGGTGCAAGCAAACTCTCGGATGCATTTTCTGCTGTCTTTTGAAATTCTGATCTGCCAAACTGGTCGCGTGCTCTCCTGGCTGGTCGTGTGCTCAGTTTCTTGATTCATAAAAGTGACATGACACAAAGCCGTTGTAGAACCCAAGGCCAAGAAAAACCCCGTCTGCAAGCCAATAAGCAGAGATGCAAGGAAAAAAGGAAAAAAGGAGATCAGCGATACCAAGGGGCAACGCCAAGGCGGAGGATGATGCCAAGACAAACCAGTCGCGATCCTGGTGGGGGAAATATTGGAAGACTCTGTTCTCGTTCTAATGTTGGGGACGGCTACGCGGCAGTGGATATGTTCGTACAGTGTCTAACACTGTATCGACTCCACCACTGAAATAATGGCTGTTGGCCCGTATCGCCATGGATGTGAACAAACGTCCCATCTTGTGAAACCAACTCCCTCTACCAGAATAATCCCTTGTCGATCACTTTTGCTCCTGCTCGAGTTTCCTCCGTGTGATGTGCCAAGAGTACTATATATAAGCACTACTGTACCTGATGGCGGTTACCACTATTACGTGTTGGCGCTTTACACGTTTAATCCGGCTGTTGGTTGGGTATCTTTTTATGGGACGATGTACATAGTAGGTGATACTCACTTCCGAGTGGAAAGTTGCTGTTTCTCATGCGTCTGTCAGTTGTTACAACTGACAGGTGGCTTGCCGATTTACAGAGCACACGACAGCCGTAGTGTTTAACGTCCGTCGAATCTATGGAATCCCACCATATCGAACAAGTTGAATCCAATATACTTTTATGAAAGTGTAGCGAAATAAGCACGAAAGCTATCTCTCATAAAACACAGTTACTCCAGAGTATTGATCATAGGCTACCCAAAGTGGACTGCTTAATGTGGGTATTGGACGTGCAACTACTCTCTGACCGTTATTTTATACGAATCGAGATCTTTGCCAGTCAGCCTTATGAATGTTACCACTCCATCGAGCTTTGATATTACAAACTGCCAAGTCTCACAATACGAGCAATCATGAGCCGAAGTTCCGAGACGCTGGGTAAGTTGGCAACTGACCCCTCATGCTTATTTACAATAAAGTATGGTAACAGGGGTAGGACTGTTTGTTATAGTACGTCAAAGGTCTCCGGATGGGATCCATGAAGGACACCTTTTTTGTGTGTCCCCTTTACGCTTGGTTGACCCTAACAACTCTACCATCTGGGTACCATGTACACTAGGCTTCACAGCCGTCTGCCTTGATAATGTCGGCGGCTCTTTCTGCCACAGCGTACACGGTTCCCGAGGGATTGCCGCTCATCTGCACAGGAATCACCGAGGCATCCACAACCCTGACGTTCCGCGTTCCGTAGACCTTGAACCTGGAGTCCACCACGCCCCCGAGCTCGCGCGGCAGCATGACACATGTTCCCACCTCATGATACGTCGTGGTTGCTGTTTATTTTTAAGCATACCTGATTAGCGCCCGAGAACGTGTTGGTGGAGAAACGAATTACGTTTACTGGGTTTTGGAACTTGGGAGAGGGTGGGATAATGACGACAAAACTTACCAGTGCCTAGGATGTGCTCCCTCCAGTCCTCGTCCGAGGCGCCTGGGGCAGGACCACCACCTTCCACGGGCCCGGCGATCCACTCGCTCAACGGCGCCGTGCCGTACAACTCCTGCGACAAGCGCCCGGCTGCCGTCAAGACGTCAATGTCAAAGTCGACCGAGATGAACTGCGAGTCGATGACGGGATAGTCGGCCGCGCTGGGTGTGCTCAAGTGGACGCTGCCCCAGGAAAAGGGCAAAAGAGTCCAGACCACGGCCGCAATGACATTGGACGAAATGTAGGGCATGATCTCAACCAGTGTGACATTATCCTTGAATATCATGTCGTGGTGGGCTCGGAATCTTGTCTCGAGATTTTCCGTGCTGATGGCGCCGTTGCTGGCATCCGAAACAATTTGCGCCCAGGTGGCTATCTTGGCATCTGTGGCCTCGGCTGTAGCAGAAGTCTCATTGCCAAAGACATCCTGGGCAGAGACGAAAGTGACGTAGGGATGATATCCCGATATGTCTCGGCTGGTAAGATAGGTGAGGCCCACGATCTGCTGGTCCTGCACTGCAAGATTTGGTGTTAGCGAGTGTTCTCGGGATATGTCGAATGAATCGAACTATATCTATGGGGGAAAAATCTCCAACGGCAAGAACTCCATTTACCCGGCGCCTGGGGCAAAGTTCCGGCCACAGCATGGTCAAGACTGTACTTTCAAGCTTTGGATGTACTTACTTCCCTCGCCAACGCCCGGCAAACTGACTTTGACGCCAATGTCATGAGCAGACAGGATACTAATTCATATACACGTCAGCAGGTCCATCAGTCCAGCAGCAATCTCTCAACTCACTCGGGATTGCCGATCCCAGAAGCTTCCAGCACCAGTGGACTACGCAGTGTGCCTGCGGAGACAATTACTTCCTTTGCAACTGTCACAGTCGAATATTCTCCAGACGGGGTCAAGTATTCGACGCCCGAGGCCATAATGTCGTCGTCCGGTGTGTCACTCCATAGTAACTTGCTCACAGTACCCTGAATCACCTGGAGGTTGGTTCTATCCTCCACTGGGAGGTAATAGGCACGAGCAGCGGTTTCTCTCGCGGCCGCGTCCCGGTCCAGAGTCTGGGGGTGAATGGCAAACCCTTCAGTTGTGCCCCTCAAGACATCAGGATTATGAGCAAGACCAAGCTCATTCCAGCTCTGCTCGTAGTCGCTATAGAAAGTGCTATTGCCGAGTCCATTGGGGAAACCCGTCACCAGAAATCCGTCCCTCCCGTGGACCTCTTCTTCGTAGGTGACGCCCGCAGCAATCTGCTCGGGCGAGGGAAGGGTAAAATTATCGGAACGTTTGTAATATGGGAATAAGTTATCCCAGTTCCAGCCTTCGTTACCCAGTCGTTCCCAGGTGTCGAACTGAGCCTCATCTCCACGGAGATAGACCATGCCTAGGAGTCAAGTCAATCGCCAGAGTTTCCCATATGACCTGCGCCGCAGACACTTACCATTGATGGTGCTCGTGCCACCCAACGCCTTGCCGGCGTGGTACAGCAAGGACCGATTGGCGAGCCCGGGCTGCGGCACCGAGCTGTACTGCCAGTCGATGGAGGCATTGATATAGTCTAGACCTTGCAGGTCGATGCGGCTCACGTTGAAGTAGTCACGCACGTCGGGGCCGGGCTCAATGACGGCGACGCTGGCGCTGGGGTCCTCGGAGAGCCGGTTCGCGAGCACGAGGCCAGACGTTCCGCCGCCGACAATCACATAGTCGAAGCTCTCGCACCTTATGGAGACGCTAAAGAGCAGAAGAGTCCAAAAGGGCGGCAACATTGTTCTGAATCCTAGCACTGCGTTGACTCTGAATACATGCAATTTTCGACAGTATACTTGAACAAGATAATCCAGCGCAGAGAAGTTGGGGTTTCAGAACAATTCGCTTCCGATGAGAAACTTTTCCTCGTCGTGTCTTGGACTGCGACTAGGCTTCACTAACAAACACAATAAAACGATGCATCTCGGCTGGGTAACATTGTTTCTAGTGCACTATCTTTGTCCTGGCGGAATGAAGCGATTGGAGGATTGTCAGCCTTGACCTTGTCGATCATGCAGCTACCGACTGTACCGTCACATTGTGCGGAGAGTATGTCTTGACGCCCATCAACACTTGATATTCCTTTTTATTTTCCCCCTTCTATTGGCTTCAAAGTATGGATTCAACCGACAAAAGACAAGTGAACGTTTGAATAATTGGAGGAGTACATATGGGCGAATCCAAATGTGTAATTGAGACTATTACCATGACTACTAGTAAACCTATAATTTGACCATGGATGGACGATTCACAAAGTGTCGAAGCAATATAGACAGTCATGTCCAGTTTGGATGTGGCTTGAAAAATCTATCCTATATCATCTGCTAGAGAGCCAAGAATTGTTCGTCATGGTAGGATGGGGGGTAATGGATGGAAAAATGCAAATCGCTTTACACTTTCATTGTTACCTCAAACTGATACACGGAGGACAATGCCGATGCTGTATTTTCGTGGTTGTCTCAATGGCCGGGTTTCCCTTGGTTGTTCTTGACCCAATCAATTGAGACTTTTTTTTCTGTCCTTCCTTAATTCAAGTTATGTTTCTGTACCAAACTGCAATTGGGTTTTATCGAAAACCGACACATACATGAAATCATTATAAAAGTCGAATTGTAACTTGTTTGAATCGGGCACCCTGTAGTGTTATTACATGTTGAAGCACCCGGAGCTGTGGGTCCGGGCTCAGTAGTGCGGAAGTTTTGTTGATCCCGGCCCCGTTGGCAATTGGGAATTGGTGCTCAGCATCCTCCGAACCCCAAGCACGCCGACCACTTTGCGACAGGGCCCCGGAAGCGTGGTCGCCAGATTCCCACTCCCGTACAAAAGATCAATCCTCCGCCAGTAATCACACAAAATGAGGCCTACAGGAAGCCTGCTCAAGGGCCGATCCGTGTGGAAAGGTATGCCGACCTACCCCATCATTGCTCTCTGCTCGCGCTTGGAAAACTGACTTTGCCCCCCAGGACCTCACATTGTTCCGTAAGCAAACCCTCTCGCCGTCGACTGCTGCGCGCTTGACCTCCAAGGCTGCGCCGACACGAATGCCCAGCTTGCCTGCGACATTCAGACTTCGCATATTCTAACGAATAACTTCTACCCGCAGTCTGCCAATCGTTCGCCCCAAGCCCGGCGAATGGGCCAAGCCCATCAAGACCCAGGCACGAGCCGCCACGATTCTTCCTAGCTTTGTCGGCCTCAAGTTCGCCGTGCACAATGGCAAAGTCTACAACGAGGTCACGATAACTGAAGACATGGTCGGACACAAGCTTGGAGAATTCTCTGCGTACGTTTCCAGACTTTTGGGGGGTTCATCACCTTGGGGGCTTGGACGGCAACGTTTAATCGCTAACACGACAACTGATAGGACGAGAAAACCATTTGTCTGGGCAAGAGGAAAATAATTTGGGCCAAGAGGTCTTTTCGCATTTTGTGGCGTTATTGGGGACTGCTTGGAAAACAACATTATTCGCGCCGTGTACAATATTCAATTGTACATTAGAAGGGGCTGTCTGTCAGTTTATTGAATCGAATCGACATTTCACGCAAGCCATGGAAAAGGCTTCTCAAAGTTATATGCGTAGCCACGAAAGCGATTGTGCCCAAAAAGGATCATCTCTTCTGAAACAATGAATTTGTTACATAACAACATGGCTGTCTAAGCCGCTGCTTGTATAAGACCTAGTGTGCGTGGAATAACTTGTGTTCCACTGTCATGCGTAGAAATGCAATCCCTATCGTGTCCCGAACGCCTTTCCATGGTTGTATGTAGAGCCTTCCCCGTACGCCAAAATGAATGATGTGTAGAAATGCGGCCAAGTCCTGCCATCTCGACTCGCCTCTTCTTTACCGGTAGAACTCGCTCCGCTTGACGTTGACTCCGTACTCGCCAACTGCCATACCTAGGTCTTCCATGGTGAGCACCGTGCGGTTCTGGCTGCCGCCCTGCCCGCCACCGCCGTAGCCGGCGCGTTGCACTCCCAAGGGCCCGCCGCGGCCCTGGTCCTTTGCGTTTGGCTGCGCCTGGCCGGGAATGGGGATGCCAGCTGCAGCACCAAGGTTGCCCATGGGGTTGTTGGCGCTTGTATTAGAGGCGCGGATGCGGCTGTACTGATATGCATCGGCAGCAATGTCGGCGACAAACTTCTGAGTTGCCAGTGCAAGCAGGCGAGCGAGACGCTGGTCCGTCTGTGGCGGTGGAGGGAGACCTGCTTTGGCGAGATAGAAATTGGTAACTGCGTCGGGGATCTAGACAAAGAGTACAGGTAAGCCAAACGTAGCAGGCAAGCAGAGGCGGTCGCAAGTAGAGGACTTGGACTCTTGCCTGGTGCAACTTACGATAGGCGCATAGTCATCCATCTTGTTAAGGAACTCCTTCAGCGAGACATCCTTGCGCGTGGGCATCTTGGCCTCTTGCGGTTCTGGATTGACCTCTTCTTCCTCTTCATTGGTCTTCTGGACCTCCTGGCTCGCAGGTGGCACCTCGTTGTTCTCGACTGGAGCGCTTGACATGGTTGCGGCGGCGACTGCAGGTAATGGAAGAAATGTGCGATGCCGGAGAGCTTCTCACGCCGCCTCAAGTCGTCGGCTATGGCGTGGGGACTATGGTAGGCGCGCGGGCGCGATGATCGTGTTGGTCAACGTCAGCAGATACGCGATCCGCTCAAGTATCGAAACGGTGGGTGCAAAGCGTTTGTTTTCGTCAAATATTGGACTTGTGATGTTCTTTCAAGATGCTAGAAATGACGTTGCGACAATTAGCAGGTGGTGGGTTGCTATCTTTGATAGTCTGTAGGTAGTAGGAAGGTAGGCAGTTAATAAAAGAAGTTGAACATTGAAGTCCACCATTGGACCAGCTGCTGATCTGACCAGGGGGTACCGCGGTACCTGGAGTTAGTGGGGGTGTAGCTGTGCAGCCAATCAAAACACGAGTCGCTAATAGCCATCGCATGTATATTCCGTCCTTCACAGTGCTGCTTCTTCGCCAGGCTACGAAATTGTTCCGCAATAAACACAATCAAATATGCAGATGATGGACACGATGATTTGGATTGTGAAATTTTATTTTCTCTATTTCTCTATATCCCCTTTCCACTAATGAAGAACTCCGCAGCCAGATCCTGTGGAACCATGGAGTGAGTATGTCCCGATCTCGTTCTCTCCCCACATACTTTCCTTGGGTGATTCTATGATTTACTGAATTCTGCAACTCACATACTTATCGAATTTCTATGTGCCAGGCTTGACTTGGATGATGTCTTGTTTGTTTCCTCGTTTCTCGTGAAGTTGGAAGCTGTGTTTTAAGGTCGCCATGGATATAAGTTGCGTTGACTTGAAGTGTCTGAAATGCCGTTCAAAGGAGAAATGCTGTGCCTGTTGATGTAGTAAAAGGCTTGAATCTCGATGGGTAACCAGTTCGACTCAATATCGTGCCATTCAGCCGTAAACAGCTTTTCGCTCCGATGAAATTGTTCCGAATTGGGTGTCCGGCAGCCTTGCTCTTCGGTACTCGAAACGAATCCGAAATAGAATCAATCCGCTTAGCACGGGTGACATTTCTAGGATGCGATTGCGTTCAATAGTAACACGGTCTCGTAGCGCTTCTGCCTCTAGTTCGTACAACGGTCAATCACATTGATCTGTGCCCGGTTCTCCTTGGATGATATCTCAAACGCTTCCTTGACTTCGTTGAACTTAGTAGCTGGTGCGGGCTGAATCGGTTGATGGATTGCAATTTTCTGATCTAATGAAGCGGAAGAAAGGAATTGAAACATTGAGTAGCTGGTTACCACCGAGGGTTCCCTGAGGATGGAATTGTGGGGAGTTGTGTTGTGTTGAGTGTTATGGGATGAAGCAAATGGTCAAGGGCTCGGTGGACGCGGGTTGGGTCTTGTTTATATACACGATTACGCGGGAGGGTTCCATACAGGAAGGATCAACATTGACGATAAGCACCTCCCTCACCAGGTAGCGGGTTGGAGCTCATGGCCGACTTCTGTTCTCGCGGCTTCCTCGAGTTACTCATGTAAACGTGGAGAGTTGACTGCATCAGCGACTAGACGGGAACCACGCCCCTTGTGCTACATATTACTCTTTCTTCTTGAAGGGATCTCAGATTGAAGTGAGACTCTTGGGAATTGACCACTGGGGCTTGTTTACACTATGCCTTCCATCATATAAAGCTTTCACCATGGTGTTGGATAAGACTACAGATCCATGGAATCTCTTGTTAAGCTGGGCTGGAGCGATGACGACTATGACTAGGTTGCAATTTCTTTATATTTGGTACGGCCCTAGGGAACAACTATGGAGGATCTCGGGAAGAGGCATAAACAAAATAATCTTTACCCAATGATTACTCAATGACTGCTGTAATGATCCACTCTGTATGACATGCTTTACTTCCATTGTTGTTGAGAAACTCGCCGTAATCAGAGTTCCACGAGTAGATTCACTGCAGTCACCGATTGCAAGTACATCATACTGATATTTGTAGGCCTTTTATTCGATACTATCGCAGGTTGGTCTGAGACTGAGAATTCTGGATTTCTAATACAAATAGCAAAATCAATAGCATGGTCTAATCCATCTTGTTTCTTCGACATTGCAAAAATTTGCAGCTCATCCGTTGACATGAGTTGCACATTGTCGGTTCTCATAGTTGTAATCGAATGCTGTAAGGACGCCGACCAGGTGTACGATTGTAGCAAAAACTACGAGTACATGAAAGATTTGATGTGATGAGCCCCAAATGTCGAACTTTCCTGGGTGCATTCGTTCTGGAAATCTGGTCTTGTGGAATTGTTAGAATGAGGCTGGACTTGGGGGTCATCATCGAAGTTGCCGGGCGGTACTCACTGCATACACGACGGCGCCGAGAAGAAACAGTCCTCCTTCCACCAAGTAATATGGCAGTCCAGACTGAAGTGCCATTTGTGGGAACCCAAACTTGTAGATTCCATGAGCGATAGGCGCAATGCCCGACAGACCAGTGCAAACAAGGGTTAGAAGACGGAATGTTCTCCATTTGAGCCCTTGGAACTTTGGGTGAAGCATCACAATAATGGAAACAGCACCAAGACCGCCAGTCTATTGTGTAGGTATCAGGGTTTAGTCTCCTATTGCCACAAGTATTCCTCGTCTAGGTCCAAACTTACCATGCCAAAATATATGGTTCTCTCAAACTGCTCACACCAGAAACCCGCATAGATGCCGGGGATAAAAGATCCCACAATGAGAAAAATAATGCCGACAAAATCCAGACGAAGCCATATTGTCTCAACCTTTTGCGAGTGACTGATCAAGGTGTGATAGGCGGCCGAGAAGCTAAAGCACACAGTTGCCGCGAGAAGGAAAATTGCCAAGACAGCATAATCACCCCCGGAAACGTATGAATATTTGCGATGGAGCGGTTCGAGTACATAGGCCTCAGCCAACAGGAAGGCCACGGCAGCGAACAAGTGAGAATGTATATTGACCAACTCATTGTGCAAGCGAACCCAGCTGCAAAGGCATGATTTTACAGAATTCGACACTGGGCGATATCCGCGGCGGATCCATGGATTGTCTTGATACCATGTTGGTATCTCGTCGTATGATAAGAGAAACACTCTGTTTTTTCGACCGTGGTGCAGCGGGAGGGTGATCGGCTCAACGCGGCTTTCCTCCTTCTCCTCCTTCTCCTCACTTCCCTGTCTATACGTCTCTGACGACATATGAGATGAGGAACATGTATCGCTCTGGTTTCCAAGTAGTAGAAATCGATAAGATAAAATGGGCTGAAATTTGATCTCGCCAGCGGGGGAAAAAATAAATAAATTCAGAAACAATAGAGGATGAAATAGTGGCTACATTGCAAACAGTTTAAACATTTACTGGATAGCATTTATTGTGTAGAGGGGATTTTCTGCAAGACCCTGAAGATTTGACATTCGTCCCAAAGGTGCTGAAATACCCGCAGTGCTGCGACCGATACGGTCTTGGTTATGCAAATCGGCCCACCATGACGACGGTATCCTGGGGAAATCGGCAGCGTTTCCCGGAGATACGAGCCAACGAGCTCTGGGGGGCATTGAGGGGGTTTCTTTGGGGGTGTGAATCGGTTGCTACTTATTTGCTGGAAACACGTATTGGAATGTTTTGTTATTCAAAGCGATATAGTGATCAAGTAGTACCAGGGTGACTGGACATGGTTGATAGGATAGTAGCATACAATACATTGTTGGAATTAGATCTGTAACTTTGCAACTGCATCCGCGCAAGACAGATATCCATTGGGCAAGTCTCACATGGCATGCAGGAATGGACGCGTTGCCGGGGGAAGTATCGCAAGGCGATGTAGGTAATGTACATAAATATCTGAACATGTTTCGCCCTATGAGAATATACCCCCGAAGTGCCTTCACCTACCATTTTCCGAATTATGGTCGTTCCTCATTAGAGTTTGCGACGTGCGTCTGCGGAAATCGCCAACATGCAAATATTGTTGGTGACAGACCGAGTCATGTCAAGTCCGCACCTATAAACTCCCAAGGCTGCATCATGTTCTAGACATGCAGCACACATACATGCACCTTGGACTGGAATTTACCTACTTGCATAAACCCCCAATGTCAATGAATGAACTCTGACTGAATGAATGGTTCGCTTTGGGCTTGAGCTAAAGGTATGGTTCATATTTCCTTGAGCTGCTACTGCTCTCTTTGGGGCTAAAAATTAAAGACGCCGCCGCACTTTGCAAGTTGCCCCCCGCCGCCGCATGGCCAATGCGCATGTGATGAGGTTCCAGGTTCCAACCCCCCCAAGCTCGCCAAGCTTGCTGCTTGCCAAGTTCCAGCCTCCAAGCCAAAAGCTCTAGCCAAAGCTCCCGCCAACCCACCAAACCTTCTAACCAACTGACAGCGGGTCCGGATTAAAACAGAGCGCCGCGTGGGTGGGTTCGCCGTCGGGCCAAGTGACCAGGGCCGTCCCTGCTATCGTCATCTGTACACAACTTCAAGGACCATTCCCTTAACCCCGTCACCTGGTCCCATTGACAGACTGGCAAAGTCACTGGCCATTTTCCATTGCTTGCCGCATTGCAACCCCCTTTCCGGCATTGAAATGGCAGCTTGAACTTGATCATTTTCCCACAGATTTCGCCTTTGTTTCCTCTGCCCTGCTGCTGCTTTCTATATCATCATTCCCAAAAATGAATGGACACTTCGCCTCGGTCGGCGAGGAGCCGACCCCGGCCCAGTATGAACACGGCGTCCAAGTCATCGACGAGGACAAGGTCTTCAAGTAAGTAGTAGCTCTGCTGGCACCCGACATGGCCTTCACGGCTTTGCTCCCGAAACACCTCTTGCGACAATGTGATATGTGACACTAACCAGAATCCACTCACAGCACAAAGATCAGCTCCTACCTCCAAGCTACCGACGTCGCAGATGCTGGCTTCAACTACCACCTCATATCCGTCTTCGGATCACAGTCCACTGGCAAGTCCACCTTGCTGAACAACCTCTTTGGCACCGAGTTCAATGTCATGTCCGAGTCGGAACGTCGACAGACTACAAAAGGAATATGGATGTCAAAGAACAGAAAGGGGCCCATGGCCGACAACATTCTCGTCATGGACGTTGAGGGTACCGATGGTCGCGAGCGCGGTGAAGATCAGGATTTTGAGAGAAAGAGTGCACTCTTCGCATTGGCTACCAGTGAAGTCCTGATTGTGAACATTTGGGAGCACCAGGTTGGCTTGTACCAAGGTGCCAACATGGGTCTCTTGAAGACTGTGTTCGAGGTCAACCTGCAGCTTTTCCTCAAGGACAAGCAGTACGTCTACGACTATACGACTTTCGCTGTTCTACACTTCATTGCTGACTATTGTTGTCCAGATCTACTCCACGATCCCTCCTCTTTTTCGTAATCCGAGACCATATTGGCAACACACCCCTGGCTAATCTCCAAAATACCTTGCTGGCCGATCTATCCAAGCTTTGGAGTTCCATCTCCAAGCCTCAGGGACTCGAGAACTCGCGCATTGAGGACTATTTTGATTTTGCCTTCTCGGCTTTACCACACAAGATCTTGCAACCTGAGCAGTTCGTGGCTGAGACAAACAAGCTGGGACAAAGATTTGTCGCCGCTAGCCGTAGCAGTAAGACCACTGCCCAGCACGGCGAACAAGAACTCGATGGTGGCGTGTTTCTGCCCGAATACCACCGAAGAATCCCTGCCGATGGTTTCTCGGTGTATGCCGAAGGTATTTGGGACCAGATTGTCAACAACAAGGACCTCGATCTTCCCACGCAGCAAGAGCTTCTGGCACAATTCCGATGCGATGAGATTTCCAGAGAATCCCTTCTGGCCTTTGATGAAGTCATCCTTCCGTTGGAGGAGAAGCAGGCCGAGGCTGCTCGCGCAGGAAAGCCCTTTGTCTTGCCAGACCTAGGCAAGGCTGGAAGCGCAGCAAGAGAGAAGTGCTTGAAAACATTTGAGATCTCGGCCGGGCGATATCACAAGGGTGTTTACAAGCGAAAGCACCAGGAGCTTGAGACCAAGCTTGACCAGCGCTTGAAGACCCTCTATCAGGGCCAGATTTCGGCTATTCACAAATCCGGAGTCGCTTCTTTCAGCGATGCTGTATCTAGTGCTGTCAAGGCTGGACAAAAGTCTGGAGGAGCATACGAGTTCGCCGAGATTGTTGAGACGGAAAAGACCAAGACTTTGGACTTTTTCAAGAATGAAGCACAGAGTCTGGCCATTCAAGGCGTACCCTGGACTAACTTTAAGCCTCAATACCTCTTGTTCGAGAAAGAATTGGATGAGGTAAGCGCCAAGCTCAGAAAGGAGGAGATGCGCAGACTTGCCACCAGGGTAGAACGTTGGGTCAAATCTCGCCTCGGCGATGCAGTTGGTCTCGAGTTCAACAAGCTTGGCTCTGGACGGGCAGGTGCTGGTGCGCCGGAGACGGGCGAGAAGCCGGTAACTGAGAAGGACCTGTGGGATCGTATCTGGACTGTCTTTGTCTCAATCGTCAAGGAAGCCGAGACCCGTTTCGCCGAGAGGGCAAAGAGCTTCGAGGCTAGCCAGGGCGAGGTTGATGTTGGCCTGTGGCGCTTGCGACGCAAGAGTTGGGTCGCCCTCCGAGAAAGGATTGAGGAGGAGGTCATGGAGGGAAACATCCTTTTGAAGCTTCGTGAGAACTTTGAGGACAAGTTCCGTTACGACGAGGCCGGCGTTCCTCGCATTTGGCGCCCTACAGACGACATCGAGGGCATCTATACGAAGGCCCGGGAGTCTACTCTGGCCCTTATCCCTTTGCTGTCCAGGTTCAGACTTTCGGCAACCTACGGACCTCCCGACCTGCCCGAGTTCATCGGACACCTGCCTCCGGGAGCCGAGACCCAAGACGAGGACGATTTGCACCCAATCGGTGGAGTCGATGAGGAAGACGGCAAGAGCTTGGAGGAGGAGATGACAGTCTTGAGTGAAAGCAAGCGCCAGGACCTCGTCGTCAGATTCAAAAAGACAGCAGATGGTGTCTATGTCGAAGCTAAGCGTAGTGCGATTGGCGGCGTTGCACAAGTGCCACTGTATTTCTACGGGATACTCTTGGCACTTGGCTGGAACGAGCTGGTGACAGGTGAGCTTTCCAGTTGTTTCTCTTTCCCTTTTATTGTACTAATGTTGTTTCCCAGTTCTCCGCAACCCAATGCTCTTCTTGTTGCTTATCATCCTTGCTGGGGGCACGTATGTGGCCTACACTCTGAACTTGCTTGGACCAATGATGCAGATGAGCAACGCTGCTTGGGGCCAAGGTATTGAAATTGGCAAGCAGAAACTTCGCGAATTCCTTGAAAACAACGAGACAGCTCGTGCAGCTATTGCTATGCCGGCACGCCGCGACACTGATTCCATAAGCCTGGACACGCTCGATAGCCGTGGCAGAAAGGCTGAGCGAACGACAACTGGCGGAAGCGTCGCGGACGATGATGACGATATTTGATTATAAAAAAGCTGGTCAAAGATGGATTATAAAACGCACGCAGGATAATATACGGCCAGATACAAGGCCAGTTGGCAGTTTATAGCAATGCCAAGTGCATGCATGGCAGATCAATTCTCTGTGCTGATGAAATAGATGAAAATCACAATATCCTGCCCAAACGCCTTGCGCCAAGTTTCCATGCTGCCTTTTCCTAACCATTGTATACTTGTTCCCAGAAGATGCCGATTCGAGGGTGTTGCTCCATAGTAATTTTCTTTTGTCAGAAGGCTTCCTGACCGACGGGTGTTCCGAACCATGTACCCAGCTCATCGGCATCATTGTCTTTTGAGTCGCTTTCTACAAAGAAATCGGTCATGCGACTTGTACCTTCTTCCTCATCCACTGGCCACTCGATTTTGACGCCGCCCTTGCTGTCAAGCATGTCTTTTGCAGTGCCCCAGCTGAATCTGCACTCAGGACCCCAACCAAAGACGGGATGCATATTCGTCCGTAGCCAGCCAACGCAGCGCGCATCGGAAGGATAGCCGGATCCCCATGCCATGCCTTCGTCCTTTTTGGCCTTTTTGCTCGTAGAAACCTTGGCATCCTCTTCGACATCCTCCTTGTCCTCTTGGGCACTGTCCGCACCATGAACTTCATAGAGGACCTCGAGCGAGGCGTCCCTCGTGACCTTGGCGCAGACGGAGGCGGCACTGACGCTGGGGTACAGCGAGTCGGCCTTTTTGGCGACGGTGATCTTGGTGGTGGGGAAGACGCGCTCGAGCTTCTTTTGATAGACGGCGGGCTGGCCAATGGTGTCGACGTAGATTTCGCGGACATTGACGCCGCGGGCCAGGACGCCGCGGATGAGGGAAATGGTGGCGTCCATGGCCTGGGCGTTGAGGTTGTACATGGCGGCGCCGGGCCGCAGCATGCCGGCGCCAATGTCGCGCGCCGACAGCGAGCTCGTGGCCCAGCCGCACGACGTGTGCAGGTCCGACCCGGACGTGCACAGGGTCTGCATCAGGTCCGACCGCACCGCCGGCGTCAGGACCTTGGAGTCGTCAAAGTGGTGCGTCGTCTTGAGCAGCGGGTCCGACAGCGGCAGGGGCAGGTAGAAGACGCCGTAGACCATGGGGCCCAGCACCGGGCCGCGGCCGGCCTCGTCGACGCCCAGACAGCACGGCTCGCCTGGGGTGTCGGGGTTGGAGGCAAGCAGGGACGGCGGTACGGGCGAGTAGTGCTCGTAGGAGTCGCCACAGAGGAGTTCGTCTCGGTGGATCGAGGGAGGGACGAAGACGTCGGAGATGGGGGTCTCGAGAGCGAGGTTGGGCGCATCATCGGTCATTTGTATGTCCTCCATGTTTGGCAAGATTTGTGTGATTTGCCGTTGTATCTATCAAGGCAGCAGTTGTGGAAAGGGTATATGGTGCGACAGTCGCAAACCAATCGTTGGGGCGACTGGTGATATTGCAAACTTGTCTGGTTGGTATAAGTGTGTAAAGTGACGACGAGCTGGAGTCAGGATCCTTGGCGAGGAATTGCGATGTAGCAATAATTTGAAATGTTCTTGAAAGGTTAGAACTAAATCAATCGATGTGCTTCCATTCAAACTCATAAATAGAAACAACAAGAATATCTGTTACTGTCTCTTGTGACTTGAAAGAGAAAGACTGTACTAGAGGTGGTACATTCAATACGTACAAGCAGCTGCTCTTAAGTGGGACGCGTCTGGTGAGAAAACCCCGAGGCATTTCACGCGTCTTGTCTTTGACTCTTTCAGTGCTTCTTCCAGTGTGTGGGGGGCGTCTAGCTAGCTAAAGCCAGCTAAAGCCTGGTCTCATTGAACCAATGAGGATCAACCATACAGCAGCAGGTGCGTCTAGCGACGTCTTTGCCCCATCAACGGCTGCGCAGTCGCTAAAATAAACATCCAAGCACATCCAATCCCCACTTTCACATAGTAGCATTAGCATACATACAACAAGCTCCTGGAACGGGACGCGTCCAAAGGAAGCTATCACCAAAACTTGACGTGCCAAGGCAGCGCATTCGATGACATTTTTGTCGCGCATCGATCCAGCGCTGGAATTTGTCAATACCAAGACCGAGCATCGATTCTAGTCTCCTCCGAAATGCCACCTCGTCCTCAGGCGCAGCGGCGCAATCCGCAGGCGCAAAATGAGCAGGTTTACGAGCTCGGTGTCCAAGGACGGTACGTGCCATCTAGATATCAACGCGCCATATGGTGCTGTAACAGAGCACTAATTCTTCTCTTCACAGGAAAACCGGTGTTACGCTCACAGATACTGGCGAGCGCGATGAATATGGAATGGAACCAGCTGATAATATTTTCTCCTCCGATCCCGAATCCGAGGACGAACAAGACATGGATATCGATGAGGGTATGCGCGGCATATCGCGACCATGAGACACTGCTACTGCTGCTCGGAATGGCTGATTTCATATAGCTTCTACCATGGGTCCCGCGACCGTCAGCCGCAAAGCCAGGGAAAGACTATCGATTCCCAAGGCGCGATCGCCAGGCAAGACCTTTTTGAATTCACCAGCGCGCCACAACCCGCACGTTGCACGCACGTCCTCGCCTATTCGTGGCAGCTATGCTGAAGATGGGGAGGAGCAACCCAGCCCCGCCAAGTCTCCCAAGAGGCTACTGGACTTTTCCAAAAGTCCAAAGAGGAAGCCCGTCGCCAATGGCCACTCGCAGGCAAAGAGTTCCAGTCAATTTGCAAAGGGGGCAAGTCAGGCTTCCAAAGCGCTGGGAACAAAGCCATCAAGGGTCAACGGATACGTGCATAACGAATCCGACGAGGAGCCCACTCCGCGACGAAAAAAGCAGCGATCTCCTGAAGTGGAGGAAGAAGAGGAGGATGAGGAAGAGGAAGAGGAAGAAGATGAGCCAATGGACTTCCTCAACGCTGATGGAGATGATGTTGAGCAGGACTCAATACGTGACGAGTCGCCTGAAGAGGAAGATGTTCCAGAAGAAGAGGAATCAGAAGAAGAGCCTGCGCCAGTCGAGAAACCTCAGCCAAAGAAGCGTGGTCGCAAGCCCAAGGCAGTTTCACCGCCTGTAGAGGAGGAGTCGGAACCAGAACCGGAACCAGCGCGCGATGCATCAGAGGAGCACGAGGAGCCTTCCAAGAAGAAGCGCGGCCGGCCCGGCAAGAGACCTTTGGTGGAAGAAGCTGAACCCTTGAAACCTGCGAAACGGCCGAAAGGAAGGCCATCTTTGACAAAGAATAAAGACCGCCCGGATCAAGGAACGTCGAGTGCGGCAGAAGTGCGCAATGTCAAGAAAGCAAAGGCCGCCCCGAAACCGAGTGAGAGCAAGGCCAAGGCTCCTCAAGCGCCTCAAGCAGTAGCAGCAAAAGCCAAGCCCGGTCGGAAACCAAAGATGACGGATGTGGATGCAGAGGATCCAGGTGCTGTGCCGCGCCGCCCACCAATGCCAAAAAGACGCAGTCTGGTCAGTCAAAGACGCGATGAATTCGAAGTCAAGACGACCCGATCTGGTAGGGTGTCTACCAAGCCGTTGGAATTCTGGCGAGGTGAGCGCTATGACTATGACGAAGAGGAAGATGACGAGGAGGTTATTGAAGACAAGAATGGCCGTCGCATCAAGATCGGCTCCAAAATCAAAGGTGTTGTGCGGGTTGAGTATGACGAGGATCAACCTAAAAGACGTCGGGGCAGGCCTGCTTCTGGTTCTGGTTCTGGCGGTCCAGGTAGGCGGCACAAGCGACGCGTTTCCGAGATTGAGGAGGAAGAAGAAGAAGAACGCCAAGAATGGGAAGACGAACCAGGTCGAATGATTGGCGAATGCATCTATTGGCATCCCGAATATGAACTCAACCCACCACATGACGACGATCAGGTAGAGGTTGCCGAAGAAGAGCTTGCCATATCAGAATCGGCGATCCAGATGAAGGACATCAAGGACGCCACATTCCGCTTCGCCAAGACCATGACTCTACCATTTTTCGGTTCGGGTATTGTCGACTTGCCGCCTCAATCGGAAAAGCGTACCAAGAATGCCAGAAAGATGCAAATGGTCTTTTTCGTACACTACGGCAATGTGGAGGTGACTGTCGCATCAACCACTTTTAGGATATCAAAGGGCGGTACCTTTTTCGTTCCTAGAGGTAAGCGAACAACAACTCTTGACATGAATGGTAGATATCCAAGGCTGACCTGCAATATAGGAAATCACTATAGTATTAAAAACGATACGGATAGGCCTTCGCGGCTGTTTTTCTGTCAAGGATGCGAGGTAGCACCGCCCCCTGCAGATAGCCAAGAAATGTAGTTGGGAGGGCCCAGAGAAATTCAATGAAATAAATGTACAAGTGAAAACAGGGTCAATTATCACATTTGTCGGACAAAGTGAAAAAAGAGAGGCGATGAAGACAGGATCGTGAAAGCGCATTCAACAGTCCCACAATTGTCCTTGCAAGATTCAATTTTTTGGGAGTGAGTGGCAGCTACTTGACGCATATATACATTTCACAATGTGGAGGGTAGTGAGTGACACGCTTTGGGAAACTGACTTTTACGGGCGTTTTACTCTCGAGACCCGGACGGCCAAACGGCATTTTCTATGCAGTATGAATGATACCACTTGATAAGAATTCTTTCCTGGTCCCGGCATAATCGTGGTCAAAGGATAAGTGAAAAACATTGCAACATGGAAGAGTTGGACTCTGAATAGTTTTACAATTGTATAATGTTGCCTTTTTTCCGAGAAGAAATTGAGAAGGGTATCAATGCCCGTATGTACTGCAAATCATACTCTGCGAGCTATCTCACCGACACCTCGGCCCGTGTTTTGTCCACCATCGCCATGCATATATCGTTACATTTCGGTTCAACCTTATCCGCTCTGGCAGCGAGCTAGTATTCCGTAGCAAGTGTCTTCTTGAGAGGCGCCATCTCCTTCTCGTACGCCTCAACCTTTCTCTGGCTAGTCTCTAGCTTGGCCAGAAGGTAGTTGATTCTGCCAGCAGTTTGCGCGGGCTGTCTGGGTAGGCTGCCAAGCAGAGCAAGCTCGTTCTCGACCTTTTCAATCGTCTTGCCTTCCACCTTGCTCAATTCGGTAAGCACATTCAAGTCCATGGCAGCCGAGAGAACCTTGTCCTCTGTCAGCTTCTTAAAGGCAGCCTGGTATACGGGCTTGCCAGGTGTGATCTTCTCTGGTCGGCCATTGTTGCTCTTGACCGTGATCAGTTCTGCATTTGTCAGTCCCTCCAGGGCAGCTTCGCCATCGGAAACGCTCGTGGACGAGGCGAACGTGTCGGAACGCAGCACCTCGTGGTAACGAAGACCCTCCTTTTCGCTTGAAGATAGTGCTTTGACGAGGTACCAAGATTGTTCCACAGACCATGTTTTACCCGTACCATCAGCCGCTACCTTTCCTGCCAACAAGAACATCTTCAAGATCTCGGAAGCAGATTGATCTATGTTATAGAATATATCAGTATGTCTCATCTTCGCCTTGTAGTCGTAAGTATGTGATTCGGCACTCACCAGTGATTTCTTCGACCGCTTCTTGTGGCGACTGTCCAGCCTTCAGGCGCCGTGCCAGGAATTCCAGGTCAGTTAGTCGTCCCCCAAGAGTTCCGATGCATTGATCGAGTCCCTTCAAGTTGTGCTTCTTGGGCTTCGCCACGGGCTTTTCCTCGCCATCATCAGACTCGATTTCCTGCAGGGGCTCATCATTACCCTCGAGGTGACTGATAACAAATCGCTTGGCCACATCAGGAGACAGATCACCCAGTGCTACCTGACGGAAGACTCTGTCTGGTAGAGACTTCGAGAGGGACTTTGAGTAGGAAGAGTCGTTCGTAAGGAAGATGACATGGGCAACATTTGATTGAACCAGGGCAGCAGCCCACTCGGCGATCTTGTCGTAAACAATGGTGTTGCCTTCGCCATTCTTGTGGAGGAAGTTGTCAATAACGACAACGGAGCGTTTCTCAGGGTGCGTTTCGAGCCACGCATCGACAGGTAGGGATGCGTCCACATCATCCTTGGTGCGAGTAGAGATGTCAATCTCGCCCAGCGCTTCAGCGGTTGTCTGCAGAATCTTTTGCAATTGAGCCTCGAGAGTCTCCGAAAACCCAGCCTTGACTCCAGTAGTGCTTTGGACGGCAAGATCGACCATGCTACTCATGCTATTGGCCCATGAAAAGATGGGTCGATATCCCACTTGCGCTGCCATCTTCTTGATGGTAGCTGATTCTCCTCGGGCTTCGATAATAGGTTTGCAGTCAATGACGAGGACGTTTCTCCGACCTTTCAACGCTTGGTCTAGAACGAGTTCCTTTTTACCAGAGCCTCGAGGGCCTTGTATGACAATGAATGTCTCTGCCGTTTCCATTAACCATTTCTGGATTGTGTCAATCACATCCTTTCGGTGGCTCCATATGGCGTTGAGCCCAGCCTGCTCTCCCTTGTGTCCTGATCGGAACGAGAATATGTCTGAAGTCTGGCGTCTCAGCCATCTGTACAACTTGCTGTTGCTCAAACGGAATTTTCTCTGCACGTGAGCCTTGACGAAGAAGGATCTGATGGGATCGAAAACAACCACGGTGATACCAGTGAGAAGCGCGACGAGAACGGGAATCACTATTCTCGGGTGGTTTGTGATCCAGTTCCAGATATTGTGGGCCTTTACTTTCTGCTCATAAGACATGCGTAGCTTCGTGCCAGTCTTGCCACCGCCGAGATTCGACGGGCAGACAAAGCCGTGAAGGCAGTTGCGGGCCATGATGGCATCTCTCACAAAGGCAAAGTCGACGTAGGCATACTTGGGCAGAACCTTGGAGTCAAATGGCTGCGAAGTGATCTCGGCAATCTTTCCATACTTGCGGAAAATGACATAGAGATCCTCCTGTGACAACTCGACCGCTTCCTCACCCGGGTTGGGAGCAACAAATTCAACCTTAAGCCGTGAGTAAGGAAAACGATGCAGATCCTCAAGCCAGGGCACGCCCTTGACAAGACCTGCAGAAATACCTCTGAAGGGGCTGAAAAATGGTTTAATCGGATTGTCTTGAAGGCGCTGAGAAATTGTTCCTTCAATCTCCTTGGCTGGCAGTCCTTGGGGATGAGAAAACTTGACAAACGCTCCGCCATCTTTTAATCTCGGCAGGATCTCAGTCACTTTGACGGGAAGACTGTCTGGAATAGCTCGTTTGACCATGTTGATGGGATCCATGATTCCGAGATTGGAGTTGTGGAACCGCTTCAAAAGCTCCGACACGTCCCTGTCCGGACTCTGCCATGGTGCTCGTAGTAGACCGGTGAGCTTTAGTGGGAATAGATCTGTGTAGGGCCGTCAGTAAAACTGAGTGATTGCTCACGTTTTGACCACCAGCAATTTCTTTGAATCGTTGCCCACTGGAGTATCGACCCCAATGACACCCGCGTGATCTCTGATCGTTTGGACAGAGGAGCTCCATGAGAATAGACAAGTTCCCATAAACACAAAAGTGGTTCAACTCACTATCGATCCAAATAATGGACTCATTAGAGGCAGCAGAAATATGACCGGTAGTATCCTCGGGTGTTGTGGTCGTGGTCGTGGTGGACTCGAATCTGGCGCAAGGGATCCTTGTAGCGATCGTGGGACGTAGTAACCGAGATGCAGTGACTGTTGTAGAGGCAGAAGCTATGCGGTGCCTCTGAAGTCCAGCCGGGGCCCAGTGGCCGAGGCCGACGTGTCTTGAAATCATTGCAAAACTTGCACAACGACGCCCATGATCAAAACGATCTTGGCTTTGTTTTTTAGCGGGCGCGTTCAGCTGGATATATACTTTCTGGGAGTTTGGCTGAGTTGGCAGTTCCTTGCGTGGATCGATCTTAGCTCCAATCTGCAGCTTGCTAACCAACTGAAAAAGTACGTAAGATATTTATGAGGTCATTGGCGGGTTGTCAACGCGAGCTTTTAGCAAAGTCGCGACTAGAGGGTCCGTGCTTCGAAACTCGTTGACCAGGAGCGCCACAGATTTGGCGCCACCTGACAGCCAAAGTGCGATGAACTTTTTGGCTTATCGCGAGGATTTGCTGAAGTTGTATATCGGCGACCAGACGAGAGCATATGACCATTGTGTGAGCTCATACGCAAGCATCAAGAGCCATCACTGTATACACTTCACGGCCAATTGTTATACTTCTTGCGCCAAAGTATACCAAAGCCACAGCCAAGCGTCTTGCCACGAGCATCCCCTTCTGCAGCACAGGGCTGGTCGCATCATCTGCAAGGACTGCCCTCTTTTTGCTGCTATTGGCCGGAATACTGTCAATCACGGCGCAACGCTGCATACAAATCACGAGACCTGGGCTGGTTCCTGAACAGCCAACACTTACCCCTCGCCGGCCGGAATTCCCCTTCCGAGAGCTTCTTCTCTTGAGGCCATTGGGAAATATATCTTGGAGACTGCTCTTATTGAGAGTTGTTCCTCCTTGGCCATTCCATACAACCGCTTTCTCTTAGCGACCAATTCATACACATACACACACGTACACACCACCGACACAATGGGCTGGCTCTGGGCATCATCATCCTCGGCCTCGAGAGGCACGGCCGACGAGAATGCAACAACTGCGACGGCAGCACCAACACCACCCGAGCCAAAGTACAGTGACCCTGAGATTGCCAAATTCATGGCACAGATTCAATCAGAGTTTGGCAGCGAGCCCTCGGCAGAACCACAACGACCGTCACCCTCCTCCCGAGCCGAAGAGAGCCGGCCGAGTCAACAGGCGGCAGCAGCGACATCAGAGTCACCATGGCGCTCCCTCTGGGGGCCCGCCGCACAGTCCGAGACCGAGCCCTCCCCGCCATTGGGCTCGTCGTACACTCATACTAACACAAGGGTAGAGCGCGACGCCGTGCGGCAGCATCCCGATCAGCTTGACCCCATTTCCGAGTCGCTCCTACCGACGACCATGTCGTGCCGCAATGCTCTCGACGCCGCCTTTTACTGCCAGTCGCCTGGCGGCCAGTGGAACGCCGTCTACCGTGAGGGCGGTGTGCGCTCCTGCTCCCAGCACTGGGAAGACCTTTTCTTTTGTATGCGCACCCGTCCCATGACTGGCAAACTCAAGGAGGACGCCATTCGGGATCACTACCGCGCTCGCGAGTTGGCCAAGTACGGCGCTGGTAAGCCCAACAGCACCGACGTCTGGGAAAGTCGCGAGCGCAAAGTGGATGCCGGCACAGCATTTACGGAGCGGTACGATCCTCCAACATTGAGCGATGAGGAGTGGTGGGCCATGGAGATTCGGAGGAGACGGGCCATACAAGAGGCCTTGGCTACAGAGAAGGGTGCTTGAAGATAATTCAACATAAATATAAACGTGTAAAATAAAAAGTTCTCATCACTCCCATCACCCCACTGAATGATTTTTTGTATGAGCCTGTTCATATTCGCTGATTCTCAGTCCCCATGTCTGTAATGAAATAATACATACGATTTCTCGATAAATATGCAGTGAGAACTGGATACAAGGGCAGAGTCTACGGGTGCTTACACACTCAACTATTTCTTTATGTTCTATGATTGCACTTTCATGTGCTCTACATGTGTGATCGGGATTTAGAGGACAACGGAAATTCGGCTTCCATTGGGTCAAGATCCCTAAGCCCTGTTGTGCTCCCTGCGCCCCATGTTCACTCAGGTCGATTTGAACACAACTTTGTGAACCTTGGTATCCTGGGCAGTTGTCGAAGACGGGCCTCCTGGTTTTGTTCTCGCAACTCATGCCACGGTTGCTGGTAGGGGGCTATGGTGAGAATCTCTAAGAAGTATCATTTCAAAAGACATTGGGTTTGAGTGTCACTTTTGATGATAGACAAGAAGAGAAGAAGAGCCTAACTACTAAAATCGTGACCCTTAGTGAACGAACAGCAGAAGTTTGATTGTGCTAGTTGAGGATGATACTAATCCATAGTAGAACGAACATCTTATAAGTAGAGTGAAAGTAAAAAGAGTGAATATCTCACGCATACGAGATAAATTATTCTGCTTAAATCAAGCAGACTAATGATGGCGGGATCATGTTAACTTTTAATTCATATCACCAGTGTCACAGATCAAAGCAATCAGAATATGGAAATTTTATGAAATATTATATTGTTCATCGGATGCGCATCTAAACTACATCCATGCATCATGTCGCAACTTTTTGTCCTGTATCATCATTACGTGAAAACTCTAAAGCAAATGCCATTTCCATCCATTGTGTCGAAAACACCGGAAGAACGCCGAAACAGAAAGCAGAGAGGGTATAATTGGGACAAGCCGCTTAGTCGACCTCCTCGACGGTGGGGCCGTCGTCGCCACCGGCGCCAGGGGCACCACCAGCGCCAGGGAAGCCACCGGGGGCACCGCCAGCACCGGGCATGCCGCCAGGAGCACCACCAGCACCGTAGAACTTCATCATGATGGGGTTGGCAATACCCTCGAGCTCCTTCTGGCGCTCCTCGTACTCCTCACGAGTAGCTTGCTGGCTGTCATCCAACCAGGCGACGCACTTGTCAATCTCAGTCTTGAGGGTCTCTTTGTCGGAGGCATCAAGCTGCTCCTCGACCTTGGGGTCGGCCAGAGTGTTACGGAGAGAGTAAGCGTACGACTCGAGGCCGTTCTTGGCTGCGACACGGCGGCCCTCAGCCTCATCCTCCTCCTTGTACTTCTCAGCCTCGCTGAGCATGCGCTCAATCTCCTCCTTGGACAGACGGCCCTTGTCGTTGGTGATGACAATCTTGTTGGACTTGCCGGTACCCTTCTCAACGGCAGAGACGTTCATAATACCGTTGGCGTCCAGGTCGAAGGTAACCTCGATCTGGGGAACACCACGGGGGGCAGGGGGAATACCAGTAAGCTCGAACTTGCCGAGCAGGTTGTTGTCCTTGGTGCGCTGACGCTCACCCTCGTAGACCTGGATAAGGACACCAGGCTGGTTGTCAGAGAAGGTGGAGAAGACCTCCGACTTCTTGGTGGGGATAGTGGTGTTGCGAGGGATGAGCTTGGTCATCATACCACCAGCGGTCTCGATACCCAGGGAGAGAGGGGCAACGTCGAGCAGCAGAATCTCGTTGGTAGACTTGTTGGAAGTGTCACCGCTGAGAATGGCAGCCTGGACGGCAGCACCGTAGGCAACAGCCTCATCGGGGTTGATGGACTTGTTGGGCTCCTTGCCGTTGAAGTAGTCGGTAATGAGCTTCTGGACACGGGGGATACGGGTGGAACCTCCGACCAGGACGATCTCGTGGACCTGGGACTTGTCGATCTTGGCATCGGCCAAGACACGGTCAACGGGCTGGAGAGTAGAACGGAACAGGTCCTGGCAGAGCTCCTCGAAACGAGCACGGGTGATGGAGGTGTAGAAGTCGATACCCTCAAAGAGAGAGTCGATCTCAATGGAAGTCTGGGCAGACGAAGAGAGAGTACGCTTGGCACGCTCGCAAGCAGTGCGGAGACGGCGCAGAGCGCGGGCGTTGGTGGAAAGATCCTTCTTCTGTAAATTATTCATGTTAGCCTGTGAACACTTTGAGGGGGAACTATTATAGGGATTCTCTTGACATACGTTCTTGCGCTTGAACTCGTTGACCTAAGAATAAATGTGTTAGCTTGTTGTTCCGATTGACATGTCAGGGGATATTGTCTACTTACGAAGTGGTTGACCAGACGGTTGTCAAAGTCCTCACCACCCAAGTGAGTGTCACCAGCGGTGGACTTGACCTCGAAGATACCCTCCTCAATGGTCAGGAGAGAGACATCGAAAGTACCACCACCCAGATCGAAGATCAAGACGTTGCGCTCACCCTCGGCCTTCTTGTCAAGACCGTAGGCGATAGCGGCAGCGGTGGGCTCGTTGATGATACGGAGAACGTTGAGGCCAGAGATGAGACCAGCATCCTTGGTAGCCTGACGTTGCGAGTCGTTGAAGTAGGCAGGAACAGTGATGACAGCGTTGGTCACGGTGCCACCAAGGTACGCCTCGGCGGTCTCACGCATCTTGATGAGGATCATGGAGGAGATCTCCTCGGGGGTGAAGGTCTTGGACTCGCCCTTGTACTCAACCTCGACGTTGGGCTTGCCACCCTTGTCGATGACCTTGAAGGGGAAGTGCTTCATATCAGCCTGAACCTCCTGGTCGCTGAACTTGCGGCCGATCAGACGCTTGGCGTCAAAGACCGTGTTGGCCGGGTTCATGGCGACCTGGTTCTTGGCGGCATCACCGATCAGACGCTCGGTATCTGTGAAGGCAACGAAAGAGGGAGTGGTGCGGTTACCCTGGTCTGGTGAATAAAGTTAGCGCGCTGTCGGCTAATGACGTTTGGGAAAATCTGGGGATTGTGGGACTTACCGTTGGCGATAATCTCGATGCGGTCGTCACGGAAGACACCGACACACGAGTATGTGGTACCCCTAGAAAAATAGTTAGCAACTGCTGCGAGAAGGGTAAGAATCAGTGAGGGAAGGGGAGTACGAACAAGTCGATTCCAACTGCTGCAACCATGGTGGCGGTTGGTTGTGTGATGTGATGTATGGGTTGAGGGTATTCAGGAAATTAGGAATGCGCCTTGCTTCTTAGGCGAATGCGTGGAAAATGTCTTGTTGAATGTAGAAAAAGTGTGAGAAAAAAGGTCCTTGTGACTGGAGGACGACTTTTTTTGTATTCGTTTGTTTGTTTGATGGATGATTGAGAAGTGAATGATGGAAAGAAAGAGTTTCAGTGCTGCAGTCAGGCTCTTCATAAGTAGGCAGGCAGTGGCAGGAAAAGAATTGCCCCACCTGAGGTATTGCCAATGGAGAATCTTCCAGAATCTAGAAGATCGCATTCACCAGAAACGCCTACAAGCGCCCAATTCGGTCTACAAACTTCCAGAAACAGCTAAAGCATTCTTCAATTTTCCCGTCTCTTCTACTACTTTAATCTACCGGCTTCTGGCTCCTCCAAAATTACCGCGTCCCTACTGTTTTTCCCAATCTTTGCAGAGCTCTGCGACACAACGAGAGCTTTCGAAGAGTGTCGTAGAACCATCCACGACCCCGCCATGGCCGGGCGGTGACGTCTTGTCGAACTAAAGTCGTAGCCCCAAAGAAGTGGATTTTTTGTCGAGACCCACTTTCTCTCTCTCTCTCTTTTTTGCATCTCTCAGGCAACCTATCCAATTGCTGACTGGGGGGCCTGGGGCAGGCTTTTTCTTCGTCCCCTTCTGTCTGTGCCTTTCAGCTCAGCCATGCATCATTCATGTGTGTCTGCAGCCCGCCAAGTTCTATGGAACAGTGTACGTACCCCTCGATGCATGTGCGCGCATATTGCCAAGGGGGCGAATAAGTGGAAAATTTCCAACCTGATCGACCGCCGTAGAATGGTGTCGCAGAGTTTCGAATAGCAACTCGTCAATTCATCGTTCCATCTCTAATCATTGCCTATTCCATCCGTACGTCATGTCACTGTATCTGCATGATTAATTCTCTTCCAGATAGATCTAGATCTCGTTGCACCAAGCAAGGATCAAGGCGTAGAACCCAAATGACTCGAACGCTTCCAATTGCGGACAATACAGGAGCTCACGTCGCTTTCTACAACAGCTACACGCCAGTTCCGCCCAATCCGCCAATACACTCTTGACATAGAATGGAAGCTTAGTCAGAACAACATGCAAATAGAGATGATAGATCTGATTTGAGCAGTCTGCTAGAGCTCATCATCGCATACCACTAATTTTGGCTATTTAGATAATGACTGGCAGTATCTACGTGTCTGGTATATGTGGTTGGTACCTTTAGTTGTCCTGGATTTAGATACTGGCTGCATTATGTGCGATTGAAAAGCTTTTTAGGTGTCTGCAATAAGTAGTCTACCATGCTGACACGACACGTGGGAGACACTGTGACATTGTGAGTTGGACCCGACGGCGGTGCGACATGCTTGCATTGCGGCTTGAACTCCAGGAATTTATTGCCAACACGTGACATTTGGGGAATGCATTGCAATCCAGGACTCATTTCTACGATACCTGAGCATGATATAGTAATCACTGAGACATGAACTGATTATCCACCAGTGTCCATCGTCTATCTGATGTAGTGGTGGTTTTCTTTACGAGCTCATAGCAAAGCCCTACCTCTAGCAGACATGCTCAACCTTCTCGGGCGTTCCGTCCTTGGGACCCAGGTCCGTCTTGAGCGCGCGCCCAAAGAGCTCGAGCAGGACCTCAAAGCAGACCTTGGTAATGGCAGGATCGTAGCGGCCCTTGCTGAGCTCGTCGCGGATAAAGGCGTGCTGGGCCCAGGCGAACTCGTAAAAGCTAAAGACGACGCCCGCCTCGCGCAGCTTGAGGCGGATCAGGTCGCGGCCGGCGTCCGGGACGTGCGTGTCCTTGAGCCCAAAGATCATGGCCACCTCGCCCTGGACCTCGCTCAGCTTGTCAATGGTGTGGGTGCTGCCCGCCGGCGCCGTCGCCGACGTGTTGGCGCTCTCGTAGGGGCCGAGGGTTCGGCTGTGCACGTCGGTGGCAAAGTAGGCCGTGCAGGCGTTTACTCGCGGGTCCAGCTGTACGCAAGTTAGCAACATTCCGGTTCGTGGTTGGCTGTCAAGGGAGTTGAGGGAGCCGTACCGCTGCCCGAAGAGCCAGGTGGCCGCCCAAGCACATGCCCGTCACACCAATCCGTCCAGTGCACGTGGGTAGGCTGAGAAGATAGTCTACTGTCTTGTAGGAGTCCTCATCGTAGGACTGAAGTGTCTACAACCCGCGCATGAAGTGTCAGCAACTTGGCAGAAGCTACTTTGGCACGAGTTGACATACCTTCTTCACCTTCCACTCGTTTCCCTTGTCCGTGCCCGGGACATCGTATGCAAGTGGCTCCGGTCCAGTGAAGTCATGGTAAGACGATGGAGCTGCAACGATGTAGCCTTGTCCTGCAATCTGGCGGGCGAATCTGGCCACCGGGCCAGTCACTTCTTAGTGTCAGTCGGCTGAAGACACGTACGACGGTGGTCAAAGGATTATTCTCCAATGGGCGCGCATTTACCTTGGTAGATCTCGCTGAAAACAGCGACACCAGGGAATCGTCTTTCTCAATGATGTCAGCGCCTATTCCAAAGTTCCCAGCACAGCCAACGCCCTTTGACATACGCATTAGGATATTGGGGGATGGTGGGGTGGAAGAGAAAGATCCCTATGAGATGGTCAATTGGTCAGCTTCTCAACAAGCTACAAGCTCTCAAACTATTACATACTCATTGAGGACTCCTTTCCATCCACCTTTGTTTGCACATCGACATGGCTTTCTTTGATGAGCATTTTGACTCTTTTGAGGCGATGGCTTTTTGCAGCACTTTGAAGTGATGTGAGAAAGTTGGTGGTGGCATGGGTGTTTTATCACCGATCCGGTCCACGCACATAAAACCCCGCGCTCGCCGAAAGTGGGACCCTGAGTAAGCCCGGATCCAGCTCCGGATTCGGAGCCGTACAATAAATATTAGAATTATCATGCTCCGGTTGGCGTCACTGTGGACATTAGTAGTGTGTAAGTCACTTCAAGCAGGTACATAAATCACATTCTCGATTAGAATACCTGCGTAGGGAACGTAGGTTTTTGATGATCCGGCTCATTGAATGTATTGATTTTAAGCCGACATCCTGACCGGTGTTCCGTAGTGCTTGTAATAACAATCCATCCGACATTTGCTTGATGAAGATGAAAGTACACCTTTTTGATAAGAAGGTGTGTAAATTTATATGATATTCTCAGCAAAGTAATACTATGAACATTTAATATTTGAGCTGGACGCAACGTCAGACAGATACCCCTATCCATTCAGTTTTGAGTCGTGTAGTCTCGTGAGGTGATATTGTTGAGAGTTGAAATTGAAGCAGAGAAACCGGAATTCATTCCTGTGAGAATCGTATTTCTTTGACAGAGGAGTGGCGAAAAGTCGGCGACCATAGCGAGTTCGTAAAGATGTAGGCTCTGTTTTGACCAAGTTAATCAAATCATCTTAACGACATGAATACCAGGTCTCCCTCTCAAATAGCACACTGTTGAATAAACACTGCGGATTTTACATCTATCGTGAGTATGAGCGCTAGATCCATTAACTTGGGAACTACTACAATCGGGATATGGGGCGTAGACTATCGCCGACAAAACATCCTGGTTGGAACCCGAGGGCACTGACAAAACCAGGAGCCGAGGTTTTAGCTTTGCCAACAAGTTTATTATTAGACAGCACTACAGTCAGATCATAGAAGCCATTGCCTAAACATTCCATTCGTACTTGGTAGTGGCGCAGTAGTGCCAGATTCGGTCATCACGGACCACTTGGTAAACAGTACTCTTCATGGCTCCATCTATGGGGTTATGCTCCCCATTCACAAGTGGGTTAACAACGCACAAGAGTTGCCATGTTTACGAATCCGTAAACGAACGAATCAGAAATGTTTAGTGTACAATCTTTTGTTTTCCTTGCCATGTCTTCTGGGAGCACTACATTTAATCGTAAAAGATATGGCGCACAAAAATAGAAGCTACTCAAGGTGGCAAATGTATTCGTACTCGTCTCAGTCTCCCATCATATGGAATCTCTCATGAGCTGATAGAGCAAATGTGGGTATAGAGCATCCACACTCTGGACATCGTAGAACGTCCTCTGGCTCATCTTCAACCCACTCGTCCATTCCTCCTTGGTCATCAGAAGTATCTGGCATGAGCTGCTTGGGTATGGCGCCCGTGATGTCTTCAACTTCGGGAGAGGCAACAGGGGTTGATTGATCGTAAACGGTAAACTCTTTGAACCTTGTGTCTTGTGTCTTGAACATGAACGATATGTCACGCCCACTGCCCGTGCCTTCTTCATTTCCTGTGAGAACCATATTGGTTACACAAATGTTGATCAAGGACAGATTCCATCCCTGCCGTTCAGTGTGGAGTCGCCTGAATTGAGGTAGTACAACCTCATTGACGAGCCGTTCTACAATGACCTCTTGGCTGTCTCTCAGGGAGAAGACAAAATTCGGAAGCGATTGACTTCTCGAATTGCGACTGAATGTATTTTGATTATCCGCAATCGGCCTATTTTTAGTTCGCGTTGATAGTCGTAGTGTTTTAGGGCAGGCAAGCCACTTGCGGCCGCTTGTCTCCTGAGCATGTAAATCCTCATCTAGCAAGTCAACATGCATTCTCTTGACGAGTGAAGCTGTTAGGGCCCGGAGCTCTCGCATGAGCTCAGAAGGCGCATTGAGTGGTTTGGACATGTAAGTGTCTTCAATGCTGATTTGAGTTGGCACATCACTGGCCTCCTTGACAGGAGACTCGTCAACTCCATGCAGAAGTCTCCATACTTTCAAACCAATGCCCCTTTCTGCGCCTGATCTGCCAAGAATCTTTTCAAGTAGCTCTGGGGACATATTCGGACAGGAAAGCACTTCTTGAACAGTAATCTTGGCCGAATATTCCTCACTATGGGGAATATCTGCTGAATCACGAGAGAGGGCGTGGTTTTGAACAAGATGAGATGTTTTATGACCTAGACCGGGGACCTTCCTGATCTGATGTGCACCCATGAAATTTTGAACGTCTTGGTCCTCGAGACTGATTAGTGAAGTCTGGTTCTTGGGCTTGTTCCTCGTCCCTGCCAGTTTGGCAAGGACCTTGTTGATAGAAACACCACACGTTGAAGTATAACCAAATTCCTCCTCCAGCTTGTGCCGGAGATACCCAGCCAGATGTGATGCTAGGATCAAGCGAAGCAGGAGCGGGTCCCGTTCAGACTCGTCCTGGCATCTGTACTCTTTAGGATATGTGCATCCGAAGAAGGAAGAGGCATCAAAGGCAAACCCTTTCTCGGGATCTTCCTGCGATAATTGAAAGAAGGATTGCGCCAAGGCGTTCGGATTGAGGATTTGTTGGTTATAGGAAATTATGTCGGAGACATCCAAAAACACCTCATCGAGCCCCAAGCGTTCAACTCGCTTATTCCAAGAGTGCGATCGTAGAAAAGTCCATAGTTTCTTGGATGCGGCTCGGAACCGCGTCAAATCCTCGCCATTCATTAGCACCAGATCGGGACAGAGCTTTTGTGCTTCCGATATGAGCATCAGCTTCTTGACACCCCTGGCACGGGCGACATAATTGCAAGTGGCTAGTATGCTCTTCTGCTTGATACCCAGGGGTAGGGATCGTAACGAAGGATTCTCATTCTCGAAGACACTGGCGTAGAAGCAATCATAATCCTTCAACCATTTTAGCACCAGGAACTAAGAGGAATGCGGCTACGCCAATATGCGGATCTTACAAAATGCAGTATAATGCGATTCTTCGGTTCCGAGAGGCTGTTGGTGTCTCGTGCTTGTGGGGTTTTCGTCCCGGGGAACATTGTATCCACGCTCGGCCCTGGAGTCATGTGATTGTTGTTGTTGGTACGCGGTGCGTTCCCGGATCCGGAGAGGATTTGGAGTCACCGTCGTTTATTTGCTTGCCTCCGAAATGCATCCAGATATGACTGAAGACGGTACTTTTGCACCAGACTATTTGACTAGTATTGACAAACAAATCGTGGATCTTACAGATTGTGTCAGAGATCTCTTGACGGAGCGTGCTGAGTAATGAACTAATTAGGTAGAGGTGAGCAATTCGCGTCCCAGGCAGCGAATATTGGATCTCAATGGATCAGGAGCACTGGCGGCCGTTCATTCCTTGGGCAGGGCAGTGCACAAAGTAATAATGACAGCACATTTTATTTTTATGAAGTAGGTCCGCTGATCCAGGATGAATCCATTTCATGATCATCAAAGTTACTAAAAAGGAGTCGCGGACTCGCAAAATGCCAAATCGCATTTGATGTTCGCAAGTTTCACAGCCCTAGTTAGACCACGTGGTCCGTGCATATGGACTTGGCTGTCTACAGTAAGGACGTTTTTTTTTTGTTTCAATAGGCTCCTCCTCCCTTGTCAGCAGTTGAGTCCCATCAGCCCAGTCAGTCAGTCCAGCCAGCCAAGCCAAGCCCAGCCCAGCCCAGCAAATTCAGCTAACATGGTGCATTATGGTGCATTATGGTGCATTATTTTTTGATCTCGGCCCTGACAACTTTCCGAATGTACCGAGCAACCGAAAACGACAGTTCTCCATTCAACACTTGATCAAAAGAGAAAATATTGGGCCCCGATGGCGAGATATATCCCTTGCATCAGCTCAAAGCCACATTCAGTAGATGATACATCCTTGAATTTTTGTCTCGGAACATGTCAAAGATACCCACAAGCGGCGAATATTGATTTTGTTCGGGTTTTCCAATACAGTGGTAACTCAGCAGAACCCCTTGTCTTCCATCTAGCAATTAAGCATTCCACATTCCGCATGGATCCGTGCACTTATGATATTCCAATTATAGTCTTTTTTAAGTGTATTAGATTTTAGGGCCCTTGCTAACAAGCCGATCGGGGGTTCCGTCTCCCGATGAGCTGGCTGGCTGGCACGGGCTGGCGTAATTGTATGGGGCCCTATTGCCACGCTGGCTGCCCAGCGGCGTCGGACATTTTCCCCCATATTTTCCTAAATGGGGTACTCAGAAAACAAATGCCTGGGTCTTACAGACTAGTTCTTCGCTCTCTTGTATGATTGTATCATCTCATCCTCGAGAGTTCTCGATGACCCCGATGCTTAAACATTGTCACCGACACTCGTAATGGATTTGTTGATTCACAGGCTATGATGTTTTCCCATACTAGGAATCAGAGAGGTACCTTTTTACTGGATTGTTGGATCCACTCGGCGGATTCGGGTATCTAAAAATTGACATGACGGTACTGTGGTAAAGCAGCGTAGTGTATTGCGTGTATCTGTCTTTTCTGAAATGAAGAGACCGAGGCGACTGACTGTTCTTTTGTTGCTCGTAAGCCTGTTGCTTGAACATCTCATGACTGGGGTGTGAGGCAATCACGGGATTGACATGGGCAAATGTTCTTTTTTCGAGAAGAATCCAATTGGTCTCGACAACCATAAGTAAGAGTTGCATATGTGGTTATTGACCAGTTGGCTGGCCAATAGCTTTTGCTGTGCTCTTTCGTTGACCGCTCAACCTCGACTGGCATCTCTTACCAAGCTGGACTCATGGATTAGCAACGAAGGATGCCCCGCAGTTAAGCGATGGATCTTTGTTCGTTGGAATGGCCCAAATTAGACGCCGTACAAGCATGGGACCAACTGCGACAGCCGACTAAGGATCTGACTGATTGGCTCGTCTTACCCATGGCGGTGGGCAAAGGGATGTGACAAGCGCCGTTTAACAAGACCCCTGTGCCTCTTCTCTTTTTATAGCCAACCAGCATGTATTCTCATCGTGAGCAACTGCATTAGCCTCAACACTCTCGACTTCCCCAGCTCCTTTTTTACTCGTCTGATTTCCCCTCCCTTTGTTTCCTCGACCTATCTCCTCTCGTCTAGAACTGCATCACATTGCATTAGCTTTACCGTCTTTTTGGCTGCCATAGCTGGATTCGAATTATATTAAACTACTCGCCGCTTGTTTCCCTCGTCGACACTGTCATCTTACCCGCTTCTCTCTGGCGTTCGACTACCCGGCCGGCTGGGAAGCTGCTCATTATAATTCTGTTGCCTGTGGCACCGTTAGAGTGGGTATGCTCGACTATAGAATTCTTCCTTGATAGTCCAGAGCCGCACCATCTTTCCACTACTATCTGTATAATTCAATTCCCACATCGCCGGAATCTCCACAAAGTCAGCAGCAATGTCTACTTCAAACACCTCCAAGAGACCCCGGCTGTCTCTCCAGACTTCAACGGCAGCAACTGGTCGGACCAGATCAAAGAGCACACTGGGCCTCCATACCGATATCAAGTCGCCGACTGCCTTTAACACGCTTTCAAATGTATACGTTACCGCGATTGAGAGGTCGACGCCGGTCCAATCGACACCAGTCACCGCTATAAATCTTCTTCAAACGTTGAGGATACAAACAAATCCAGAGGTTCTCAAGGATCTGCAAAGGACACAAACTCCATACACGGCCACGTATCCCGACACTCCATTATCTGCCAACCCAAAATCGCCCATGCAAATAGAGATTCAATTCCCCAGTACCATGACCGCGACGCCACCATTATCAGCAGGACCCGTGGAGAGTACAGCGCCAAGAGTGTTTTCATTCGGCCCCACGGATATCGCCGGACAGGCCGGTCCTACCTCTCCGGCGCAAAGCCGTAGGAAGATGCTGAATGTTCCAGCGGCCAAGTTGCCATATACGCATCCTCGCTCCCTTCACAGCATACTGAGGAACTCTCCACTGCCACACGCAGGCGACAAGTCACCGATTTCGCCGAGGCGGCAGTCTCTGCGACTCCAGGAGAAGGCGGCGCGGCGGGTGGGATACGAAAGCCCCCTAACCCAGACGATCATCACGGAAAAGTATACCAAATCGCATGTCGATTTGCTCAGCGAAGACGCGTCGCCGTATTCAGCAACACCCACGGCGGAGGACTCTGAAATGGTCCTCGACCACACCATGGCGTATACTGGCGACGAGACCCGTGATGGCGGCCAGACACCGGGACCATTCGAGGAAATGAGGCGACGCATGGCTGGCTTGGGGTCAGATAATGCCGCCGGGTCACCACGCCCCGGGGGCATTCGCAAGAAGAGAAAGGAGAAGAAGCGCAGATGGGTGTGGACGATTGGCCAGGATGCGGAAGAGGAGGACAGCGAAGCCAGTGTTTCACTGCGGGCAGCCGCCGCGGCCGAGGCGTCCACGCCACGAGTCGTTGTGCCCATGCTATCCATGGTGCAAAGCAGCGTCGAGGCTGCCGAGCCGCGGGCACACGACGCCAATGTGGATGTGGAGATGTCAGACGCCAGCAGTGTCTTGTCCTCCAGCAGAGCAACCACGCCCTTGAATGGCGATTTAGATGCAAGGACGCCTACTCTCGCTGCACTCAACACGCATCTGGTGAAAGCATCGCACCTTGGCTCTGCGGTTCTATTTAACTCAGAAACTGGAAGCAGGAGGGATACTCCCGTCCCGCCTGATCTGGTAGCCAGCAACTGAATCGAAAATGCAGGATTAAGAATTCAAAGAACCCTGACAGCACCAGGGATTCTATAGTTCTGAATATTTGGGGGAGTATACTTATCGTATTTGTATTTATATGCATATAGCAAGGGAATCTGCGAGCATGGTCACGGGCGCATTATGATTGGGAGAGCACCATTGCATTTATCTGAATTGTATCAAATTTAGGAAAGGCTAAATCGCCACGAGATATGATGGCACAGAATTGCACAATGAGATATAGCTTGTCAACTTTCTCCATCAATCAGGATCATCAGTCTGAAGCAATTGAGCATGTGAATGAGGAATATAGGTGACTAGTAAGAAAGAAATATAATGGTAGGTTATTTTTCATATACTATTCTCACCTTGCGGCAGCACACTGAGTTTGTTTTGCCTACCTAGTCATAAGCACGTGAGACGGTTGATGGAGGTAGGATGAACAACACTCCGTTAAGCGAATCGGCACTCATATTCCGGGTCTAGCAAGCGACCAGTGTCTGGTACGAACTTTGATGACTATCAGCAACTCCTGATACTAGTCAAAGGTACGTTTAGTTCAACTGCTTTTAGTATACAGACTTCAGTAGACGGTCGGATGGTAGTGACTGAGTTTGCTGTAAACGACGCCTGGATCGCCAGCCCATCATGACGCAAGTTTACAGAACTGATTTGCATCCTGGTCGTAGATCTTGCGGCGATCTAGCGCCCCTAGGCCCAGACCCTAAGGCCCGAAAGAAGGGCTGATTGACGGTGCAAGAACAAGGGATTTTCAACGAGCTGAAAAAAAGAAAAAGAAGGGAGATCAGACTAGTAGGCATCTTGTATCCACAGCATTTGTAAAATCGATCGATCACATCAAAAAAGATGCCGCGTACAAAGGAGTGAAGGACACCCTTTTTGAGTTGGGCTCTTGCCTTCGATTGAGTCTGCCGTGCGACAGTCGTACTGAATCTCAAACGCTTTTTTGACGCTCTACCGACGGGCGGCTACAGAAACCGGTTTTCAAGCCTCGATGCGCTAAAAAGCCCACTGGAGCTTGGCTTGCATACAAGAAGCTATGGCCTCTGTTGCGCGAGGCGGCTGGCGGGAGGTTGTGGGGTAGGTGAGTAGTGTGCAGGAGCTGGAGCTTGGGTCCTTTCCATGCTAGAGTGCAACTCGAAATATGGGAATCTGGCGTCACATTTGAGCACATCCATTCTTTTCGGAATATAAGTTATAGATAAGAAAGATGCATAGCCAGCAGGGGATGCATGGGGGATAATACCGAAATGAGAAAAGAAAAATTGCAAAAAGTTTAGTGCGCGGAAGACAGGGTTGGAAACAGCCAGCCATTTGCCTTGCAGGACGTTTCCAAGAATTTGTACGGCATAGAGGCTGACGCTATCCCTTTCCATAACCTAGATGGGATAGCTTCTACTGCCTCCCGTTGACACACCTACGTCATACATAGTGTTTCGCGAGAACAGCGCGCGCTGGCTCGGTACAATTCTCTGTGTCCAACATGAGAGAGCCCCTACATATGTCTGAACCCCCCTGAGGTCTCTTCCTCGGTTGTATTCTTTTACCTGGTCACTTGTTTCCCCCTCCTCGGAACACCTCTTCGCTGTTCAACCCTTGCATACCATTGCTGCAAAAGGTTGCAACAGCAAGTCCCGACTCCCAGCATCTTGGAGGGCCTCTTTCACGACCATTGCCTAGTGTTGTAACGGGACACTGTTTCCTTTTGTGACCTGAGCAGGAATTGTTGTTACAGTCCTAGAAAGGCGCTTTCACGTGCGTCAGGATAGATGTAAGTGATGCCGCCAACTTGTAAATTTTCTTGAACGTATCGGAGTATCTAGCTTACACGATGTGATGCTTAGACATCATCTTAGCATTGACTCGTCGCGAATGCTCTGATCAAAATCTGTCGCCATGTCCGAAGAGCAGCACCACCATGGTCCTGGTGGCCATTATTCGGGTCGTAACCGGATCCCGAATATTCAGCAGTTTGTCGCTAGCCTGGATCGTGACAAGAGGGAAAGAGATGCCCAGATCGATGCCAGTTTAAAGTCGAACCAGACAAATGGCCAAGGAGTCAAAGAGCATACACCAGAAAAAAAGCACACCAAAGGCAAAACCGTCAGTGACCCCGTTACTGGCAGGGACGTCGAGATTGCCGATGCCGACCTTGACTTTGAGAGCGCCGTCGACAACCCCATGCTGTCTGTGCCAAATGCCAATCTCGGTAAAGAGACGACCGTCAAGACGGAAGCTACGCAGTCGGGCGAAGAGTACAGATACAACCAAGACGTGACGGCGCCTCCTGACCCAGTTGCAACCGGATCAACCTCAGATGTCCCCATCAAAGGTGAAAAGACCAACATTCTGTTCCACCCCACGCCTTCTGTCAGCTATGAGCCCATGTTTGATATCATTGAGCAAAAGGCCACCATTCTGTGCGCCGGCATCTTTTTTTCAATTGTTCTCATTGGAAAGTTCTTTGGCGGTAGACTCCTAGGTTTGATACCCCTTGCTATCTGCGTCGCTTCTGGCGTGTTCCTCTGGATGAAGGATCTCGTCAGGCAAGGCAGAGATATTGAATGGTCTAGTGAGCAAAAGCGTGGTGAAATGGCAACCGCCAACCTGATCCCCGAGTCTGTGGAATGGATGAACACTCTACTCGGCATTGTCTGGGGACTCGTCAACCCTGAAATGTTCGCTGCCGTTGCGGATACTCTCGAGGATGTCATGCAAGCATCGGTCCCCGGTGTCATTGAAAACGTCAAGGTTGCCGACATCTCTCAGGGTAACAACCCCATTCGCATCCTCAGCATGCGAGCGCTCCCAGACGACCACATGAAAGATGTCAAGGAGGAGATGCACAAGGAAAATGAGAAAGTCAAGGATCCTCAGGAACTTGCAGCTGATGAAGAGGGTGGCGACTACTACAATCTTGAAGTGTCCTTTGCCTACCACGCGAAGCCTAGTGAGGGCTCAGTCTCTAGCAAGGCGGCCAACATGGGCATGCAGTTGATCTTCTACCTCGGTGTGAAGGGCTTGTTTGGCGTTCCTCTTCCAATCTGTGAGTTCTTCGACCAAGTCTCTTCAAGTATGCAATGGAAAGCTAACAGTTTACAGGGGTCGAACTCATTGGGCTGGTCGGAACTGTTAGACTGCGACTCCAGATGTCGCCTCAACCGCCATTCCTCAAAGCCGTCACGTTCACGCTCATGGGAGTCCCGAAAGTCCAGGCTGGTTGTACGCCCATGATTGAGCGTGGTGTTAACATCCTTAACTTGCCCGTCATCTCCAACTTTGTCAACTGGGCCATCAAGACAGCAGCGAGCATGTATGTCGCTCCCAAGAGTATGACTCTGGATCTTGGCAAAATGCTCCAGGGTGATGATATCCAGAAAGAAACCGAGGCACTTGGCATCATCTTTATTCGTATTCACAAGGCAGTCGGCCTGTCCAAACAGGATCGCCGTGGCTCTGAAGGAGGTGGCAGCGATCCCTACATCACCGTCAGCTTCTCCAAATTCGGCAAGCCCATGTACTGTACTCGTGTCATTCAGGATGACCTCAACCCTGTTTTCGAAGAAACCTGTGCTCTCATGGTTACAACAGATCTTATCAAGGCTGATGAACAGCTATCAATGGAACTCTGGGACAGTGACCGGTCCAGTGCGGATGATGTTGTCGGAAAGGTCGAGCTCTCGATGCAAAAGCTCATCCAGCACCCAGGAAAGATGTACCAGCAGATCTCCAAACTGAGAGGCGTCAAGGCTGACAGCGAGATGCCTGGTGAGCTTCATTGGGAAGTTGGTTTCTTTGGCAAGACTCAGTTCCGTGCTGCTCTACGGACTGACGGCAAGGACCTCAGTCTTCCTCCTGAGCTTCGTGACAAGAAGGAGTTGCAGGATGACAAGGGAGCTATCGACAATGCGCAGGAAGATGCAGTCACCCACACTCCTCCCGACCCTCTTTGGCCATCTGGCATCCTCTCTATCGTTGTTCATCAAATCGTCAATCTTGAATTGGAGAATATGAAGGGCAGTGAAGGTGGCAAGCGCAAGGGCGGTAAAGAATACGAACCAGCCCGCGATGCCGGCGAAGTCAAGGAGGAGGCGAGCAAGAAGTTGCCCAGTGCTTACTGCACCCTTCTCCTCAATGACGAGCTGGTCTACAAAACGCGAACCAAGGTTGTTTCATCCAAGCCCATCTTCAACGCTGGTACAGAAAGGTTTGTTCGAGACTGGAGATCAGCTATTGTGACTGTGGCTGTGCGCGACTCGAGGAATAGGCAGCATGATCCTATCATTGGTGTTGTACCTCTCAAGCTCTCTGATATCCTGCAAACATCCAGCCAGGTATGTGTTTTTCAAATGATGCAAACTAAACTTCATGACTAATCTTGGACGACAGGCAACCAGATGGTATCCCTTGGATGGAGGCATCGGATTCGGTCGTATCCGTATCTCGCTTCTCTTCCGCTCCGTGGAGTTGAGACTGCCTCCTCCTCAACTCGGCTGGGATGTTGGCACCTTTGAATTCACATCCGACACAATCACCTCGACCTTTGCCGAGAAGAACAGCTACAAGCTCCGTATGCGCACGGGTGGCAGTTCTGGAGCCATCAAGCGCGAACAGTGTACATCCGAGAATGGTCAGCTGGTCTGGAACATCAAAGAGACTGAAAAGATCAAGCCTCCTCGTTTGCCAGTGCGATACCGATACCGATCACCCATTTTCTTCGAGTTCCATGCCAGTGGCAAGCGCCATGCTGAATGTTTTGCTGCCATCTGGCTACTGGAGCTCGTGGATAACGAGCCAAAGGAGTTTGATGTCCCAATCTGGCGGTGCGATAACAGCCAGCGCCTGTCTCAAAATTACATTACAGAGGAGAACTTCAAGAACATTCCCGATCTCAAGCTCGAGGAGGTTGGTCGCTTACGATTCAGTGGACGCTTCAAGGCCGGAACCGATCGCGATCACCTGCGGTTTGTCTCGGATAACGACTCCAGGGAGACCATTGAAACTTGGGAAGCTTGCTTTGCTGAAGGTGTCCGACACGAGGAAGTTTCTAAGGAGGTTCCTCCCGTCATTCAAGAATTGCATGATGCGTCTCTCACTCAGGGTCGCGACGTCTTGGCTACTGCCTCTGAAGAGGAAAAGCAAAAGTGGCTGGCCAAGGATGGTACAGATTGGACCGGTGCATTCGGCAAGGACCCGGCTACTATCATGAGTGGTCGTCAAAATGATGATGAGGATGAGGAGGAGGATATCTACGAGTCCGAGGATGACTCGGCACAGGGTGGGAGCAGCACCACGAGCTCACCCCAGCGGCTCCGCCATCCCAAAACTGATCTAGGCATTGTGGATGGCAGTAACGCGCCCATGTCCGATGGTCGCAGCAGCATCGATACTTCTTCAGATGCACGCAGAAGTAATGATACCGGCATTACGCAAGCCACCACCAACGGCAGTGCCGACTCCAAGGCCAGCAAGAGCAGCAAGAATCCCATTTCTCAGTACAAGGACTACAAGTCGCGCAGCCGTGATTTGCACCGCCAGCACAGAGGTCTGATGCAGTGGCGCCCAATGCGCAACATCCAGTTTGCCAAGGATGAGGCCAAGTTTGCCGTCAGGCGTGTTACAAAATTGGGTTCGCTCAGTGGAAGACAGCCCGATGTCGAGACCGAAGTCTAAAGGACTCAGTTGCGATCCTTTCTCCATGTCTCTTTTATTTCGTTATAAAGGAGTTGGGGCCTTTGCGTTGGGGGGTTTGTTGGGCAAGTGGAAAAATTATCAGGCAACGGGAAATGACATGACGCTTTCAGTACCTACTAATCTTTAAGTTTTAACCAGGGCCAATTGTCCTGTTGATGTATCTTTAATATAGCAACCGCAGAATGAGCAATGAATTGATGTCTTGAAAAATCAATATTTGCTACCTACTTGACTCGGTGTGTCACTACTGAATGCCAAAGTATAGATTGTTAGACTATCTGATATAATGGTACGACGCGTGACACTTCCTCCAATGATCGATACCACAACCAATGACGATTCATTTTCATGGCGATCAAATTTGCCTCCAGTCATGGCTTGGGCATGTCGTTGTCAGATTTGAGTTTCACATGCATTTGATTGCCAGACTTGATTCCAATGAAATGGTGATAATTTGTACATGTGGGGGGTATCTTAGGGTGTAGCTATGGTACATGGAATTTTACATACGGATCAAGACAAGATCCTTCTTCTTTCCTACACATTGAACCCCAGCTTGTTATTAAAAAAAGCTCACGAGCTACTCAGCAGCCCTTCGCCGCTGTTTCTCAAGTTTCTTGGCACCCTTCATGCTCTTTCGCGGCCGCGACCTCTGTGAGGCAGCCGTCACCCTCGGCTTGTTGAGCAGCCAACCATTCATGGGTCGCCGGTAGCCGATAAATTTGCCCTCGGGGCTGTACACGTCGACAATGGGCCAGTTGGGCTCGCCGTCGCCGTTGTCGTCGTCGGTGCGAGCCGGGCGGCGCGGTTCCTCCTTCTTGGGACCCTCGGCCAAGGCATCGAGCCGTTCGAGGGCCGTGAGCTCGGCTTCGGGCTTTGCTTCGGGGGCAGTCGGGGCTCTCCTCTCGTACAAATCTCTCGTGCGTACTTGGGCTACAACCTCGACCCAGCCGACGCCTTCAATCAGGATATCGGCGGCCAGCACCCGATAGGGCAGGCGGTCGACCTTGATATTGACAGAGTGCTTGGCCGTGATGGGGCCGGCACGCTCCTTGGTCACGTCCCATTTGAGAGCAAATGATCCGGCATGCTTGATTTTCTCTCCCGTGCCTGGGGCTGCGATGCTGTCGATGTTTAGAGTGCTCGTTTGGGTCTGGACCGCAATCGCCTTGTCTGTGCTTGTAAGATGCGCCTCGAGTGGCGTGAATGCATAGCTCATGATAATGGGACCGGGGACACGCGGCGTAATGCGGATCAATCCACCCAGGAGAACTGATTTTCCTTGCTTCAGCACCATCTGTTCCGGAACCACGCGCGAGCGTAGTATTAGCGATGTCTGCTGTCCATCCTTGACATACTTTTCCAGGCCCGTTCGTTCTAGGCCCGGCAAATCAATGAGTTCTCCTTTGCCATTTCCAAATGGAACTCGAATGGGCGATGCCGTGGTTCCCGGAAGATCAGAGACCAGAGGCATCTCGGGGTATTGAGTCTCGGGGGGCGCTGGAGGCAGCAGGGAGTATTCGTCCACCTTGTCTGCTTCCAGCTTGGCAATCATTTCATTGCTATTGGCGTCCTCCTCGATTTCCTGAAGCGCTTCACGGAGCTTTGTTGGTGGTTCAGGGTCGTCTTTGGCAAACATGTCGACCTTGATCTGGTGACTTGATGGGTCCCAGTCCATTCGTCCCTTGGGAAAGACGGCTTCAAAGAGTTGACTCTTTCCCACATTGACCTTCCCGACCAGCCAACCTGCGCCGCCACGGTTCCAGATATCTTCCTTGAGTTCCTTGGTCCACCAACTCCGTCTTGAGCTGACACATCTGATGTTTCCTAGTCGCAAGTCCTCTCCAGTCCGACCGAGGGCATCCCGCAAGACTTCTCGAAGGTACGGGACCAGGCGATCAACTTGAGGCTTGGTTGGCGCTAGGAGGTCGGCTCTTGTGATGACGAAACTCATCTCTGTCTTTTGGCCATGATAAAACTTGCCGGCCCTTGAACGCCGGTTCTTGGACCGAAGAGGCATCAAATGTAGCAGTGAATGAATCTTGGGCAACAGGGACATGGGAAAGTCGGCAGCATCGAGGACATGGTATACATGGTTGTACTTGTAGGGAGACTCCTCGAGCGTGTCTCTGATGGAGTCAATCGTGGGGTGGTAGATGGAAACACCAGTTTGATGATGCATTAATGTATGGCATCTGTCGCAGAGAGGCGTTTTGAGAGGTGCTTCTGGTTGAACTCGATCTGGTTGAGGTGCCAAGGTCGGCGCAATGTCGTCCACATCCACCCCCAGAGTCTTGAGCTTTTCCATGTCCACCGATTCAATAGTCCTGCGAAAGACCTCGTCCTCCTCGCGCTCACTGGCCTTGAGTTGTCGTTGTTGGGGCTGTTCCAAGCCTATATACCGGCGAACGACTTTTCTGCCCAGGTCAAAGTAGCCAGGCTGATCAGAGTGCGAGGTCTGAGAAAGAGCACCGCAGCCCGTGCATTGTGCAGGAAGCTTCCGAATAGGCTTCACGTCATGAACATCGTTCTCGACAATGTGTGCGGCCGTTGGTGTGCTGGTTGGCACGTGCAAGCAACGAGATGATGGTAACCTCCATTGCGAGCGACTGGACAGTACCTGACCCGCGAGAACTTGCGGCCTAGCATTGTGAGCAGCAAGAGAAGGGCACAGAAAGACTGGTAGCTCCAAAGCTGTTGTTGAGACTTCTTTGGTGCGAAGGGCAGTATTCAGCCATCTTTTGGAAAAGCTGCGATGCATCGTTTTTAGTACATGTGAAAACAATTCTTGTCGACTTGCAAGTCTTGTTCAACTTTCCCCCAATATAGAAAAGTTCCCAGTCTCAATGTCAGTGCCAAAGCTTCTTCTGCTTGCATGGAAAAGTCCAGAAATTCTAGAGCTAGCGGCTTCGATAAGGCAGCGCTGGAGCCACTAACAACACGCTAGCAGGGGCTATCCGTCCCCGATAAGGAATAATCTTCGGGCCGTATCAGCTGCAGGCCTCGAAATTTACTGCAAGTCGGGTGCTTTCCAATTGACGATACTGGGGCGCGCGGGTACGATACGACACGCCGCGACAGCTTCAGCTCATACCAGCAGCATTTTCCCACTCTTCCCCTGAGCACGAAAGGCTCGTCGACCGGCAAGATGGTGAACCCCGGAAAGCGCATGAACATATTAAAGGCCGTAAGTCTCTTGCGAACGTGTTGATTGCTCCTATTTAGAACCAAGACTAACAATGTTTTGCAGAAGGTAATTGCTTCACGCCGCTGCGCACTCTGCTTGAGGAATCATCCCCCATTCTGACCCACGCGACAGCTGCTCGACTTACGGCATGGCCCCGGTGCGGCAATTCTCCCGCCGGAGATTACGAGGATACACATGGATTTTGCGATGAGGTGGAACGACGGTCACCTTGGACCAAGGTGCGACCCCAATTTGCATTGGCTGAGATCTGGCAACAACCCGCTAACGTAGAGGTCGACAGGAAATTCTGGAAGCTATGTCTACCGCGGTTGAAATTCTGGAACCCAGCGATCCCAATGTTGTTAAATCGGCACACAAACCAGTCGGGCCCAGCAGTCATGTCCATCTATTTCCGTCAGAGCGCAGCAGCTGCCGCATCAAGGCATCATCAACTACCGCTCGCCCAGCAGCCGCACTCGAGCACCACCAACGAGACGCCGGCGCCGGCGCCCGAGGAGGATGAACGTATAGTGACCATTGATATGAAGAACCAGCACTCGGACGCCATCTTGGCCGAATTCTTGCACAAGACGGGCGCCACCCAGATACATCCTACGGCGGAAGAGAGGTCCGAGATGGTGCAGGTCGAGGAGCTCAAAGAGAAGTCTGCTGTGGACCGTGCCATTGTCAAGAAGTGGTTCGACGCCAAGCGGGCCGAGGAGAGGATGGCTGCAAGGGCCAAGGAGGAGGCCGAGGCCATCAGATTGGCCAACCAATAATTCATGTTGAATGCTACATTGATGGGGCGTTGGGAGAAGAAGGATGGATGACTTGCACCAAAAAAGAGCCCGCATTGGGCCATGTATCACTACCCTTCAGCATGCCGTGGCGAAATGTAGATATAGGCGCGGCTGAGCAGGAGCTGTTGTACAATTGACACCAGAATAAGGAAAAACTTTCGGCACTTGTTGGTTATTGTGCAAGAGATTGGAAAGTGATTGATTGATTCATCATGATGAGACGAGGACAATCGGATAGTGGACTGCATGGTTCTCTCACAACAATGCTCACTGGATGTCTGCCGCCGTGTGGGAGAAGCGCTAGCCATCCAATGGAATAATCACCATGTGAAATGGAATAATCAATTCTTTCTATAAGGATGGTTCAAGTTTTCTAGACGGCCACTCCGATTCAATAGTCTTTCACTATCACCAACCACCTCCACAATCATTTAATTCAAACCTTGACGCAGCAATCAACACCTGCATCAGCATCATCACACACCTGCCCCTTCAGACAAGTCGCAAAGATGCTTGCCATCAAGAACCAGCTCGCCGCCGTTGGCCTAGCCATGCTGAGCGTTGCCCCTGCTTTTGGCAGCGCTCCGCAGGCTGCTGACGTCTGGACCATCACTGGCTTCAGCGCTTCCTACACCTGGGAGAATAACCGCACTGCCAGGTTTGTCTCACTTTGTTGACACTTGCATGTACCTTTTTAGAACGACTTCTAACGTACCATTGCAGCATCGACTTTGACCTCTTTGTCCCCAACACCGCCGACGGTGCCCCCAACCACTGCTCCATCGCCATCCCCGGCCTCGAGGCCATTCTGCTTCCCAACGTCACCGATGCCAACTGCGACAGAGTCGGATACAAGTTTGACTTCACCCTCTACACCATGACCGGCGGCTTGTACTCGGGCGCCGATCTCTGCGTCTATGGAGGCGACTCTGTCCGCCGTCACTACATTAGCGATGGCGACTTTGTCTTGGTTCCTTACTATGAGGAGGATGGCACCGAGCACCCCGACATCGAGTACCGAGGTGCTTCCGAGTTTGACTTGGACATGGCTTAGGAAAGGACAAGGAACTGAAAGTGCCTAGAACATGAGGACAAGGCATAGGTACAGAGATAGACTGCATGGGGCTCTAGTAGAAGACAAGATCAAAGTTCTTCATCACAATGAACACGGACCTGTGATTTATTTATTTTGCCACCATATTGTGACTCAATTCCCACTTGCGTTTGAGCACAGAGCGCGATGGTGTGCGAGGATTGACCTCTATAGTTCATTATTTGTGTGACTTCCTTTGAAATCCGGGAATGATCTTGTTCATGTATTGCTTAGTCTTGGCTGATTATATTCCCCAGGAGTGCCCTCTTACGAGCTCCCAGTGCGTTTTGATTCGTCTTTGTCCCTCTTGTGTGTGTGCATGGGCTTGTGTTGATCTCCTGATTAGGCCATTGTCCCTCAAGGTTGATGTCAATGTCTGAATTTTGCCTTGCCAGAGCTTGAACTACTGTTCTCTATAATCTGTGGTCGCTATAATACACGCTGCGGCACTCTCATGGATTATCAAGAACACATCAGATAGAGTAGTAGAAGAGACGCCAAAATCCGGCACACACAGTCCCTCGATGCTGGGAACTCTTAATTTGGGTTTAATCACCACCGTGAGATTTGTTCTCCACGTTGCCTGTGCGAATGACAAGAGCGTAGGCAGAACTTGGCACGTGAGCTCATTCATTGACACAAACTTCTGATGTGAGATGAGATCCTGAGGTAACTATATGCTTGGTTGAGTCCTTGACCATCTCTTGCGCCTTATCTCCTTCTTCTACCAGAAGGGCTCGTAGGTCAATTGAAGATTGGCAAATCATTATGAAACACGCCTTGAATTTAAACGTTTGCTGCATATGCTTATTTTCCGGTAAACAACCCTTGGACATAATGGGATTCAGTATAAAAGTAAGGGTGCGCTTTCGCATTATTTTAAGTCTTCCTTTTCTCTTTTTTTCCTTTTTTATCTTTCTCTCTCTTTCTTTTTCTTTTTTCTTCTT